TTTGTTTTTAGGGGAACAAAAGTTGTTGATCTACAAGAAATTTGGAGCTTTCTTTGGGCACTTTCAGCACGATTTAATCCCCGTTGCCGGTTTCATGGGACATTTGCCTGATTTCTGAGAAACAATCGAGGACCCTATTTTCGGAGGTGAGTTCCAGGACGCGTCCTGGAAAATCAGGATGTATGGCAGGAAGAGAAAGACAAATGAGAATCAGTTGGCTTTGCCTGTCATTGGCTCTGGCTCCCCCTACTGTTCACCTCCCTGCCTTACGCCCTGCCAGTCCCAAATGGGGGACCAGCCACGCTCCAAAGCTGGCAGAGTTTTCTCTCACTGCCAATAAAAACCAATAAATGAATGGAAAGAGAACATACCCAAGCTGATGCAAAAACCTCACGCATGCACTAAGTTTTTAAAAGATTCAGTTTACCACCCACCCTCTCCCGCAACTTGTCTTCCCCTCCAACCTTATACTGAGCATCAATGTCTTGCATTGAACGTAACTAATCTATGACTCCGAGACCTGAAAAGAGACATTGCACGTTCTTTTGCAATCCAGGAAAATCTTTACTAAGAAACGCTTATCCAAGAAAGGAAGGAAGGAAGGAAGGAAGGAAGGAAGGAAGGAAGAAAGAAAGAAAGAAAGAAAGAAAGAAAGAAAGAAAGAAAGAAAGAAAGAAAGAAAGAGCATCACCTCTGTAATTTCTTTGTCAGGCTCTTGTAAAACACACAGGGAGGGAAAGAGATGACAACCCTCTTCTGGGCCTTGTATAGGATTGACTTCTTTTTTTATTATCAGGCCTTTTTTGTGCCGTTAAAAACTGCAAGACCCTCCAACATTTCTCACACGAAAATAGTGACGTTTTATTCTGCATCAGGAAGTTTCTCCCGCGTTTGATCTTGCTGCACACACAGATGTCATAAACACATACAAATCTGTCTCCTTGAGCCAACAACAGCCTCTCCTCCGAACCTGCCTCACAGGATTATTGTACATAAAAAAATGTGCAAGAGAAGGGATCGTGTGAAACATCTTCCGCAGATAAATAGAATGAAATTAAATTCAAGCTGCCTCAAGTCACTGTTGGGGAAATAACAACAACGGAAACTGTGAGATCAGAAACATACCAGAGAGTAAATCCTATTGAACCCTGGGGGACTTAGTTCTGAGTAAAAATGCTTAGGATTGCAGTGTATGGCTCCCAGTGTTGACCCATTTACCTGGGAGTAAGCGCCATTGAATACAGTGGGGCTTCCTTCTGAGCAGACAGTGTAAGGCTCCATTTGCAAGAAAGGAATCGACACTCCCACCCATTTCCTACAAAATCGCTGGCTGCCAAAGCACTGCAATTAAAGAATTTAAGGCGGATTGGTGACCTTTCCCGTCAAAATCATAGGAAGGGCTTTGTATGCCAGCTTCACCATTTCCTTCATTTGCTGCCGATATTTTATTTGCAGTATAAACAGGGCTCCATTTTTGCGCACCCACACACACTTTTTATTGTTCTCTGCCGATTTCCGCCTGGACACTGCTTGTGGCTGCAGTATTCCAGATATGTCCTAAAAATTCCTGACACGTGGCAACCCTAGGGATGGGGAACTCCAATAGTTAACATTTCTGCCCATCGTAGCAGAGAGTGATGCACTTTGGGAATGTACAGAATTGGATGCCACTTAATTCCTGTCTGTGATGTCAACTCTTTATTCAGAAAAACCGAAAAAGCACAGGCCTCGTGATCCCAGGAACTCTTACTAGGTCTTGCCCCAATGAGGCCATTGTGAGGAATGAAGGTCCCCACCTTCCCACCGCTATCTAAGATTCCTCCCCCAGCAACCAGAGGCTCCTTTTCCTCGTTTTTCTTGTCTCCCGTGTTCTGGAAGGCGAGCGAGGAGGGTACTAGACACAGAAGGAGGGGTAGACTCCCTGGCTTCTTCAGCAGCCTGCCCTCTCTCCTCTCCAGTCTCTGCTCCTGTCTAGGAGTCTGGACTGCTCTCTGCCACAATCTCTTCCTGCTCACTAAACCCTGCTGCCTCATCAGCTTCTGACAGCTCCTCCTCCTCCCAGTCTGCTCCCTCTCCTCTAACCACTCGCCATCATCCCACCACCAATCCCCTGACTCTTCAGCCTTCTTCCCCTGGGGGTTCCCCGACTGGTGCTCCACAATAAAAATACCAAATCCACATTTACAAGACTTCTTAAAACATCTAATACCCAGAAGCTATGATAGGGCTGATATCTGTCGGGATTTTCCCCAGACATTACTGGGATTTCAAAGGTGGAATTTCCGAAAGGTGGTGCTGGATCATAGATAAGTCAATTGAAAAATCGTGTTTTTGTAAAAACAACAACAACAACAACACACCTCAACAACTTTTGGGTTTTCCTTAAAAGGCCTTCCCCCCCAAAAATTCGGGGTGTCTTGGAAATCCTAAGCTATGAGCCTACATCTTGTTACGTGTGCACAAGTCCCATTCAAGTAAGTCTCCCCAATTGATGGAGATTCTGTATAGGAGTCACTCCAACGGCAGATTTAAACGCTTCCTATGATACTAGTAGCTTAACATAGAAGTAAAAAAAAAAGCAGGACTTTCTGCCAACATGGCAATAACAAGAGACTACAGCCAAAAACCATTAAAATGTTCAGAAGAGATCGTCTAAGTCCTGTTTATTTTATTTTCCTCAAATAACTCTTTACAAGAACAATGTCTACTAATCCCTCGGCTTTAATATTTGTCTGAAGAGAGCACAAAATGAACTTGAGATAAGTTCACAGATATCCAGAACTGAAGTCAAAGAACAAAACTTTATGAATGGGCTGTTTAAGGTTCTGCTATTTTGATCTCTGATGCAGAAGGAGTTTTGGTCCCACGAACTGAAATGCCTGTTTCAAATGTAAAACAGATTATTTTTTAAATCTATTTAATATCAGACGTCTGTTAAACTCTATACTTAAATCTCTTAAAAACCAAGTCCATGAGCCTCTATTAAAGCCTATTCTACATTTTAAAAAACTATTGGGAACAATATCCAAGCATTTGACACTATAGATCAGAGTTTCCCAAACTTGGATCTCCATCTGTTTTGGAACTTCAAATCCCCATCTTCCCTACAATTCCCATAATCCCTGACCACTGGTCCTACTAGGAATGATGGGAGTTGTAGTCCAAAAGCAGCCAGAGACCCAAGTTTGGGAAACACTGCTATAGATTATGTATTATTGTGGCAAATTAGCACGTTCCCCCCCTCCCCCACTGAAACCAATGCAGCTATAATAAAAACCCTTGTAAATAATTCAGGTTGTTTTTCTTAATAGAAGAACTGAAGAAAGGGAAAGGATGAATTCATAGTCAAAAGCCAAGGGACCCAAAGCAGCAAATTAGGAGCTTGTACCCGTTGAGACAATGTATTGTCCTCTTACTACCAGTCCTTCCCCCTTATGAAAACTTCTGAGCTCTTGCATCTTGAAGCATGCACTGTTTTTCAATGTCTGCTTATGTGTACAGAGAAACCCAAATAATTCATTTCATTATTACTTGCCCTCCCACTTCTAAGGGCTTTGGACTGCACTTGTAGGTAGAATGAAGCTCCTATTTAGCTGAACACTTTCACATGGAGTATACATGGGGAAAACTGATTCTAAATAATGTCTCATCTATATCTTTCATTTAAAAATAATCCACTCTGGGGCAGGTGTAGGTGTGGAGCAGACACAATAGATTCAAGAACTTAGCCCTACAACCTCATTATTTTTAAGGGGACTGCAAAGTACATATATACAACAGAAACTTGCAGGCTTGACTTCTCAGGGAAGAATAACGAATGCAGTCACTTCCGCAGCAAGATCAATCCGAATGAGAAATTCCTTTATTGCCTTGCAGTTTCCAGGCAGGAACCAGTTTCTTATAAGCAGCAGCAAACCTAGGAAGTCACCTTAAAATGATTTATTTCTAGCCATGGGAAATAACTTTTCTACTCATCTCAAATCCCTGTATGTTTTCCCTTGTGGGCAAATATCAAGTCTCTTTCTTTCTCTGTGCACACAGTTATTTAAAAACAGGACACTGCCACCGGGATGGGGGAACCAAGAGACTCTCCCTTAGTGCCTTGCCCCTAGTATCTGAGTGTTTGAGGACTGGGACATTTGCAGGGAAACCAAAATGCTTGTTTACAAAGCTATTGTACTACTAACTTTACTGTATGCTTATGAAATATGGACCATTTAAAAATGGCATCTCCAGCTCCTCGAAAAGATTCCATCAACAATGTCTCAGAAAAATTTTACACATCACTTACACATCACTAATGCCACTGTACTGGAAGAAGCAAAGATCACCAGTGTCAAAGCAACATCAACTTCGTTGGACTGGTCATGTTGTGCAGATGCCTGATTATCGTCTTCCAAAGCAACTACTCTATTCCCAATTCAAGAATGGAAAGTGTAATGCTGGTGGTCAACAAAAGAGGTTCAAAGACTCTCTCAAGGCAAATCTTTAAAAATGTAGTATAAACACCGACAGTTGGGAAACACTGCCCTGCGAGTGCTCCAATCGGAGAACAGCCTTTACCAATGGTGTCAGGACGAAAGGGAGAAACTTGCCAAGAGGAAGTCATGTTTGGCAAACCTTCAACTACTACCCAGAAACCTATGTCCCCACTGTGGAAGGAAGTGTGGATCCAGAATTGGCCTCCACAGTCACTTACGGACTCACTGTTAAGACCATATTCATGGAAGACAATATTACTCAGCTATGAGTGATCACCAAAGCAGCAGCTTTGATCTTAGATAAAAACACCACTCACACAAGTATGTTCTCTCTCTCTCTCTCTCTCTCTCTCTCTCTCTCTCTCCCTCAAACACACACACAGTTTACAAATCCTCCACAACACTGTAACAAATTTATAGTTTTAAAAATGGAACCAAGCAGAAAGAATCCAGACAAACCATTTGACCTGATAGAAACTGCAGCAGAGTTTCCTAATGTGCAACATAAAACCAGGAGCCTTTATTCCAAAACAAAAACTTTTATTCACCTGCCTCTTATGAGAACAAATAATGCAAAAAAAGGAAGATAAATAAGAGAGATAGAGAGGAGAGAAAATCATAGAAAAAATACTGATGAATTCAGAGAGAAACACATGGGAATTCCCAAGAGACTCTTGTTTTCATGAAAAGCAGTAGTGGGCTTTTGCTTTCAAACTCTTCGGCCTTTTTTTTTAATTATTATTAATCCTGAAATATTAAAGAATATAAACCTTATGCATACAATAGATACAAAATTGGATACAGCACTAAATGAGACATATAATTCCTCTACACATTAGTATTAAAAATGCAAGAGTTCAAATTAAGAAACAAACAAAAGAATAAATGTGCATCTACCACTCCCCAAATGCAGAGTGATTAGTGATTGGCAGCAACTGAGATGAGAGCTGTTTGTGGATATCTGGGAGATTTTGTCTCCCGTCACGCCAGAGTGCAGAGTCCCAGAGATGTTTGGGGAAGAAACACATGTGCTTCAACATTTGCCTCCCCATAAAAAGCCCTAGATATATTCCTTTGCACGGGAGGGCCATCATTACTATGGTGCGGATACCACTGATGGCGAATTGCTTGTATTTTTGCAAGGAAAATGAAAATGTGCCCAATGGAATTGACCTAAACTTAACATCATTCCTGTGAAAGCATGGCGAGTAACCTTTGGGGTTAAGGAACGGCGGTTATGGAAACACTCCCACAAAACACAACAACAAGGAAAACTGACACTCCGGCTTAAAGAACTAGGTTGTTCATCCACTGGTGGTGTGCAATGTCTGTTCCTTTCACCTGGAATGGAGCAGGGCTCCTTGACAAACTCACCTAGAGGAGTGGAGGTTGTGCAGTCGGAGTCAGAGAGTGTACAGTCCTGATCTCCAGTTAGAGCCAATGATTGTAGGGTGAGAAAAAGGAGTGGGGTAGAGGTCTACCTACCTAGAAAAAAGTGCAGGATCAGACTAGCAATTATCTTACACTAGCCTTTCCAATGAGATGATGGACATGACAGTGAAACGAGTGTACGATTTCCCCCCCTGCAGGACTGGGACTCAAAATCCATCAATTTGTGCCCTTAAGGAAACATCATTGTTCTGATGCACATCTTAATTCTTTTGGCTCTGTACAGATTGTTGCCAAAAGCTTTCTTGCAGGGCTTAATGCTCATGAAGTTACACAGCCCCAAAGACCCGTATGCACATCAAACTGGTAAGACATTGGAGAAGAAGTGATATTGCTAACGTTTTGCCATTGTTTGTAATCCGGACACTTCTTTTTGAAGTTTAAGGGCTGGTGGGAATGTTCTGGGAACAGCGCAGCCACTGATCCAACATGGCTCAATCCCATGTTGCTCTGCTAAGGCAGAAATAATGGAGAGGCCACATAGGAAGAGAGAGAGCAATCCCATTACTTCCTGATCTGATAACTGAGGCTACTGCTCCAATCTCTCTTCCGGTTTCCTAGATCACTAGAACAGCATGGGATGGTGTTACACTTTCCTGTAATATAATTATCAGATCAAATATTGGGACTTTACGAACTATAGCACATGCAGATTTTTTTACTGTATATGCTTACTTTAAGAATGTGTTCAAATTGGGCTTAAAATGGCAGTGATTAAGGCTACTGCTTTTATGGCCCACATCTATGTACGGAGGGGGGGACCCAAATTCACACCAGTGTAAGAGAGGTGCACTAGGGAAACCTTGGTTAGCCCTCGACAGCTTTTCAATGCGTGTTTATAGAACTACATATCATGTGATAGAGCAGTTTTTATGTGCATAATTGGATGAATGCAATTTACATACTAACAGAGTCTGAGTGGCTTACTGTGAGTCATTCAGTACAAATTACTTGTACTTAATGAAACTTCTGTTAAGTAGATAGTACATAATACTGTGAAAACAAGTTACCACTTTAAATCTTCCAGATACAAAACACAAATTAGTCAAGTCTGGCTGTATTCAACTGCTTAGCAGACCATATGCATGGAATTTATTCTTTTTAAAGTTCTTGTTAAATTAGCACATATGCATATGTGCAAGACAAAAGGCAATGCTTAATATAAATATTTAGTGGAATGAACAGAAATGGCACTTAAGCATAGACCACCCTGTCATTCCCTAAGCGGCAAAAAGATCCTGCTTCAAATTTATCTCCTGCTTCTAGTAGTCGTCTTTCCCTATTCGCTTGGAAGGTTACAGATTGGCTGGAAGTTCACATTGGTATGAGAAAGGAATGTCTGGTCGATGCAGTCTGGGAATAAAAGAAAAGAGCTGTATTTTAGTTAACTAAAAAATCAGTGGGATAATCAAACAACATATTTAACAATACTGCATTCTGAAATATGTATGTGAATATAGTCCCTTGGGGATATTTCAGTACATGGAGAATTTTTCACCGTTACAACAAGAACTCCAGTGGAGGCAAATTAGTTTCTGGGCTAAGTTAAAGGTGTTTTAATCTTTAAAACCCCATATGCTTTCCCCCTATGGTATCTGAGTGAGCATTTCCCCCCTACATTCCTTCCCAGGTGTTAAGAACAGGAAGCAAGGCTTTTCCTGCAGGTGTAACCACCATCAGAAATGTGACTGGCCACCACCTTAGGGTGGTGGCCAACGATTGTGGAATTCCCTTCCTTCAGAAAAACTCAAGATTCATTCTAAAGCCCATGGGAAGCTCTCTGTTTGGAAACATCTTAGGTGTGTAAACCCTTGGGAGACACGGTTTACAGACTGCTACCTATTCCATGTCAAGGGATGCGGGTGGCTCTGTGGTCTAAACCACAGAGCCTAGGGCTTGCTGATCAGAAGGTCAGCAGTTCGAATTCCCGCAATGGGTGAGCTCCCATTGCTTGGTCACTGCTCCTGCCAACCTAGAAGTTCGAAAGCACGTCAAAGTGCAAGTAGATAAATAGGTACCACTCTGGCGGGAAGGTAAACAGTGTTTCCGTGTGCTGCTCTGGTTCGCCAGAAGCAGCTTAAATCATGCTGGCCACATGACCCGGAAGCTGTATGCCGGCTCCCTCGGCCAATAAAGCGAGATGAGCGCCGCAACCCCAGAGTCATCCACGACTGGACCTAACGGTCAGGGGTCCCTTTACCTATTCCATGTCAAGAATGGTCAGACATTCAGCTGTTTTTATTGAGAATTTATGCTATGATGTTGTTTTCACCTATGCTTTAAGGGCTCCAGTCAGTTATACATTTTGAAAACAAGCACACAGCTCATTTACATTATTCTGAAGCCATATTAAATTGGTTGGTCTACATTCTTATCTGCATCCCCTGAATTATATTCAGACAGTGATACAAAGAGTAATAACAGATTAATATTAGATTATAGTATAGAATAATATATTATAACAGATTAATACTGAATATTGATAACTATTTAAGTGTGAAGATAGTCTTTGCCTTAAACACAGCCTTACCACACTATATTTGGGGTCCCTTTCCTCATTTTATCCCTTCTATGCATCTGCATATAATAATATATATTATTATATATATATAATAACATAGATAGCTTTTGTGGTCAGTTTAGGGGCATGATACTCTGGGGATTTCAAACTCTGGACAATATCATTTATATATAAATTAAACAGTGTGGGAGCTAGGATGCAACCTTGCTTAACTCCCTTTGTGTCTGGTACGGATCCTGAGAGCTGCCCATTTGTCGAGCAACACACTTTCAGCACTGTGTTTTTATACAGACATTTAATCAAGAGCAACAATATTTTATCTATACTTGGAAGAGTTCAGCTTATCCCACAGTCTTACTGGAGAGATTGAATCAAATGCAGCTTTCAGATCAATCAAATCTGCATATAGCACACTACCTGGTTTCTTAACATACTTATCTATAAAATGGGCTAGTACAAAGCAATGGTCTATAGTGGATCCGCCTCATCTAAATCCTGCTTGCTCTTCAGCAAAAATAGCTTCATTGGTTATCCAATCAACTAGCTTATTGTAAAGACGCTTTGCATATAATTTGCTAATTACAGGTAGCAAACTAACTGGTCTATAACTAGCCGGATCGCATGCAAGGCCCTTTTTGAATATAGGGATGACTACCGCTGTGGCCCAAACTTCAGGAAATAAGCCGGATGAATCAATAAATCAGACTATTACGCATTTAAACTACTCTGTTCTTTCCTCCCCCCGCCCCATGAAAGAGCCTTCCGGAAAGTGAACGTTGTGCATGCCACCTCTCTCTTCCTTCAAATCCCTCCTTACAACCCACCTTTTCCACATGGCTTTTTGTTTATCCTCTTAATCCTCATCCAAACTTCAAGTGTTTGCAACAGCATTTGCCCACATTCTCCCCTCTTCTGTTGTCCCTCTCTCCCCACTCTCCCTTTTAGATTTTAAGCTCCTTGGGAAACAGGAACCCATCTACATTGCTGGCATAATTCTGTAAGGCACCACTGCACACTGATGGTGCAGTTTAAACATCCTCGTCCTTGGCCAGGGAGATGAGCATGTTTGGAAAGAGTCAGTATTGTGATATGAATATTATACTAGGACCGCAAGTGTTGCAAAGGGAAACCGCTCATTCAAATCGCACTTTGGCAGTGAACTTGCAAGCTACTTTTATGCACCTTGCTATTTTCTCAGCCCACATGACACACACTCCAAAACTGAAATATGGAATAATAATGCCAGCCTAACTTGCATTTTGTCAGCAGTCCTTGCAAAAGCCTTATGATAAGTGAACTGGAAACTGAAAAGGGAATGCAAATATCATGGGCAATGTTCAATGGGACCATACTACCATCAGTTAAGGCCTGGTATATCTCTTTTCTATTGAATGTGGGTTGAAGTTTAAACGCTCATAGACTTTGAAGACATAATAGTTACACCTGCCAAATGTTAAAAAGGTGTTTAGGGAGTTGATTTATCCTCACTACAGAAGAGTCAAGCATTTATGTAGAGGCTTACAACGTTTAATAAAGTTGGGGAAATCAGATATTAACTGCTTGCTTTTCTGTCAGAGGAATGCATGGGACTTGCTATTTAAAAAAATATATATATGGGGGAAACTCAACCCTGACATTGCAGAAATAGGCTTGAAAAACAAAGGCAACTATCAAGCAATATAAGGCAATATTTGTGCATGCATGCCCAAGTGTGCAAAACGGAGAAAGCAATTTGGCTGAAGGCATTTTCTGTGCCAAGTACTTACCTACGAAAGGAGCTACGGTGCTTACCTCTAGTACAAGAAGAAAAATCTTGTTCTATGAGCAGCTGCCATACTTTCAGACATGTTTCTGACTTTCAGGTAATTAACAAAACCTCGGAAAAATAGGAGGAGACCTGAAAGCAGAGGTGCAATGTGAAACATTGATTAAAAGATGCATTCTCATGCTAATTGAAAGGAAGCAAGCTTACAACGATTTGCCATTTTACACTTTCAGTATGTATGCCAAGGAACTTTTATAGAGTCACAGGCACATCAACATACCTTGGCAAGTTCAAGGAAAGGGTGCTTTCCTAAGCAGGCTTTCTAAGTAGGAAGTCAGGCACTGTACAGAGAAGCTAAAAATATGTGGCGAGTAGGATGAAAGCTTAACTTTCCTATGCAATCAATCACAGTATCTCCAAAAGGAACCTATATTAAGATTTTGGTGATAAATTACTGAATCAATCAACGGCCTTAATTTTAATTAGACTTGAGTTTTACCCTTGCTTTTTCTGCCACGGTATGTATGGGCTATATGGGCATTTATTTGCATCAGTGGTGCATCTATAAATTGCCACTGTTTACATTTAGTTCTTATATTTTATTGTTTATGGGCCGTTTCAAGAAAGTTGGCACGGAATTTTAAAATAAAGTGTTAGGAATAAGCTGTAAATAGTTGGGGTGATAGTTACACCACAAGGCAAGATCACCAGCTGACCCAAGCAAGTGAGCCAAGCTTCGGACGTACAATAGATGCTCAAATACACTTTTAAAAGCCTTCTTTTCCCCAGCAACCTTCCCTGCAGCTGCCCCAGAAGCCTGAAGCTCGGCAGACAGCTTTTCAAAAGAAAATTGAGGGAACAGAAGCACTGTGTTCAGCAGCATAAAGCCCTTCCCCTTGCCTGAGTGAATAATGATTAATGCACAGTGCATTTCTAAGGCAAAAAGGATACCTCCATGGATTGAATACAAAGTGACAGGCACACTCGCATTCAAAACCATTCATATAGTCCAAGAAAATAATTATAAAAACTAGGTATCTTAAAAGGAAAGCTTATACGTAAACTTTGACCTTATATACTTGAATAGTCTTAGTTCAGTTATGATGCTGTGTTTTAAACATAATGAGATCAATTCAGAAATAAGCTTCATCTTATTCAGATTTAGAAAACGTAAAAAATAATTCAGAAAAATCTACCCTCTGTCTCTAACAGACTTCTATTTTTCTGACTTTTAAAAAGGAGTGGTAGTAAAACAAAGAGTATCAATGAAACCCACAGAGGATGAAAAATATAAAACAGGTTTTCAAACAGAACGTTGAGGATACGGCCTCTTGTGAAAATTACTTTGTCTGTGAAGAGGCAATATGGAAATACTATCTAACGTGCTTGATCTGTGATAAGTTCTACCACTGCTACAGTAAGCCCTTGATTTCAATGAGCATACATGTGCAAATTTACTGCCAATCTTTCTTAAACCCAGTTAGGATTGTTCTACTCAGTTATCAAGTTATTTGGAAATTCAAAAAGTAAAGTTTTTGATTGGGACTTACCAAGTACAAGAAATATCCACCAAAGCCAGTATTGTCCATTGAAATAACCAGTAAAGTAATCTGAGAACTGGAAGGGGAGAAAAGCCCCCAACATGTTAGCTACATTTCATATCATGCTTGTAACATATTAGGATTACTGAAAATACATATCTAAGACATTACAGAACATACACAACAAATAAATAAAAAATCACAATTGGTGCATTTGGGAAGACAAATATACTCTGTGCAGCTTTAGAATAAAAGAGGAGTTATTTCTTTTATTTTCTTGCAAGCAAAGAAGTCTCAACCAACCTGTGAAAAAATGGTTTATTAAGCATTGCTCATTAGAATCAGACAGTCACCATAATAATGGTTGCGTTTGTAAATCCGTCTCTCACCCCCCCTCCCGCCCCGTGTCTGCCATCTCAAACACATTACAGGAGCCTGCTGCTTTCGATATTAACACCAAAAGTCACATTAGTTTAATCTTATCAGATGGGGATGTTTGGCTGACCCCACAAAAGGAGAGCTTTTGACCTTCTGTACACCCCCTACTGATAATCGCTGCCAAGAATACCAGTTCCATAAAGACCCCTGATTCATTAAACTCTTTTCATTTTCAAACTAGATTCTCCTGCATTCAGTTCCCAGCAGTGAGCTGAACGCAGCTAAATGAACCTTGAAGGGCCAATTCAATCGTTCCTGTTAGCGAGCACGGTAGACAGTTTTGTCTTCTCTGTGATGTGGGAATCTGAACAGGCAGCTGGAGGGTAGGGTGCGATGGTTTTGGAGACAGGTATCTGGCCTTCAGCAGACTGCAGACTGCATGCTTCACTGATAAAAAGGGTTGACTCAAATGTCTCCAAGAACTCAGCACAGTTACAGCCTGAAACTCAAAAGTAACGCAGAACGTCCACTGCAACTTTTAGAGGGTGGTAAGAAACAATTTAGTCAAGCAGGGGCTGTTCAATCACTTCCTTCTCTATTGCTACAATTGTCCCAACTTGCCAATCAACTCTAGGTTATTTCGTGTCAGTAAATAATTGGCTAATTGGCTGATGCAGTATGCAGTATGTTAAGTCAAACATTTAAACAAGGCAGGGCCAAATGCTCTTATAAATGATTACATAGCAGAAAAATAAGGCCAGTTTGCACATAATCATTTAAACTGGCTAATGGAGTATTTCCATTATTTAAAGCTTGTTAGTGTATTTATGGCATTTGCAAAAAGAAAACACAGTAGAAACAAAAATACTTCCAACAAGGTCTAACAATATGCCTTCATCAAATGCAGAAAAGCTTCCCACAGTATTACAACACATTCACTAAACTTTAGTAAGAGATGGCCACATTATTATAGCTTGGCCAACTATGAGTGTCTCATAGGGCCATGAACAACCTGTTCCTGCCAACTGCAACCAAGCAGTACACTTGCCTCTGTTTTTGTGTGGTCCCACCTATTTATATCACCTAGATTTGGCATCATGATGCAACTGCAGTGCAGCAGAGGACACACATTGGAAAGGGCTTAAGCCTGCTGTAAGTCCGAGATTTCCCCAGGCTGTGGGCAAAAAGAGGGGAGCTACAGGAAACCCAAACAGGCCAGCAAGGAAGGTTTGTAATAGCTGTAGACAGAACAGGTCAAGTATCTGACATCTATTAAAATTCCCATGCCTGAGCAATTTTAAGGGGGTCTCTGCTGCTGTGTTAACAGACTGCCTTTGCTCCCACTGCTTTCCTTTGGATGTGGCCTTCTTGTCTCACCTTTGAAACCCTCTCAAAAATGTGGCAGGAGCAGGGAATCTGTGGCATCCTTAAGTAGCTGCTGGTACCCATGTGCCCTAGGCGTGCCTAGACCCTCACGCCTAACCTGGGCCCAAATTTTAACATTAATAGCACTTAGAAAAGCTTTTAATGGTTTGGGGCAAAAAGGTACCATGTTGTATCATTTATTGGGAACTTCTGTACCCTGTCCCACAACAGCTTAAATACAATCAATTAAAAGAGGACACTTCCAGACTTCAGGCCAAAAAATCCAAAATGCATGGCCCAAAATGAAAAAGGGATCTGAAGGGAGGAGGGGGAAAGCAAACTCGGACACCAATTCTTAAATGTGAATAGTAGGTCTTATAATAATGACTAGCTAGAATGGAATACACAAACTACCAAGTTACTTGATAGACATGTTGTTCCTCTTGCCTAAATTGAATTATCTGCAGAAATATCAACATCATAGTTCAATAAAATTAAAGCATTAAAAGATAACCAATGAAACAAAACAACTATAAAGGCAAAAGTTCCCATGTCACAAAAAAACCCACATAACTCAAATTTTGTTGCGTTAAACTACAACAAATTCTTGGTCCTTTAAGTAGATTCTTGATCAAAGTGGACATAATTATCTGCCAATATTCATTTTAAACAAAAAAAGTACTTTTAAAATTCATTTTAAAATCTGTAATTGGAAGAGACTTACTCGAACAATGAGAATCCATTTGATCAGAGACAGCCCAAATCCACAGATGGCACCATATCTTCCTGCTATGGTGTTCGTTATACAGAACGATAAGCAAAAACCAATCCAGTTGAAAATGAAGGCCACTAAAATGAAACGTACGCCTTGTTAAAACTTAAATGCATTTCTTTTAACTGAATTCATATGTGTGTGTGTCTGTATGTAAATTGACTTTATCAAGATACTTATTTAAGACTGTTTAAAAGGTAAAAGCAAACAATAAAAAAGAAACCGCTAAGAACAGAGAAGCAATGGATTAGCTTGTAATACTTAGGGTGAACTGGGATGAACCAAATCAAAGTTCTAAGACATGGGTGAACGGTCTGGGAATCAGCATGTTTTTTACATGAGTAGAATGTGTCCTTTTATTTAAAACGCATCTCTGGGTTATTTGTGGGGCATAGAAATTTGTTCTTTTTTCCCCTTCAAAATATAGTCCAGCCCCCCACAAGGTCTGAGGGACAGTGGACCGACCTCCCTGCTGAAAAAGTTTGCTGACCCCTGTTCTAAGGCTTCACAGACACTCCTGACAAATGTCTAGAGTGAGCAACTCTGAGGATCTCCCAATAAATAGCAAAAAGCTTGAGTCAAAAAAGTGTATTATGGACATATGGACTTCCTCACTTCTAACACAACAAAGTTTCCCCATGAAAGATGGCTTTAAAAGAAGCACTCATTGTTTTAATACCCAGGGAGGTCATCCAGAGATTTGGAGCAAGATGTCATCAACACGCAGATAACATCCAGGTGCACTTTCACTTTTCATGCAAGACAGGTGAAACTGTAGGGATGCTAAACGGATGCCTGGATCTGGTAAGTGATGCATGAGGACCAGAAACCTGAAATCCAGTCCAGACAAGATGGAGGTGGTGTTAGGAGTTGGGTTGTCTGGTCTAGGAGAAGTTCAACCTGTTCTTGATGGGATTGCATTCTCCTTGTCTTTGGAGCCCTGAGTAGCTTCCATAGCACAAAGCATCTTTCACCAGCTTTGGCAATGCACCAGCTCTAGCCCCTTCTGAACACAGATACCCTGGCGATAATTTATCCATGATCTATTAACATTCCCGTTGATTATAGTGTACTGTGGTGCCTTTAAAAACTCTCAGAAAATGTAGTTGGCAATCTAGCCATATTTCAAACTAGCTGGGTCTGGTTGAACAAAACATTACACCCGCTTTAAAATGGCTAAAATAGCTCCCTGTTCATTTCCAGGAATAATTCAAACTATCCGTATTGATCTTTAACGTGTATTAAGATCTGCCTTAGAGACCCTCCTCCAGGATGTTAGGATGATAGCAATTAGCAATTGGACCTTCTCTATAGCATCATCCTGGCTTTAGAATTATCTTCCCAAAGATTTTCCAGATACCAAGTTTATCTTTTCAGCATAGGGTGAAACACTTAACAGGCTTTTTAGGTCACCAATTTCAACTCTATTTTTAGCTGGCTGCTGGCTGCTCCATCTGTATTTTTCATTGAATATATTTTACCCTTTCATTGTTTTTAAGGTTTTACATTGCATGCGTCTCTGGAAATTTCTCTGTTAAAAGTGAGGGGCTTCAACTGCTGGGGATAAGCACAACCCACTATCCAAAGATTAACAGATTTAATGGTCCTTTTTTTTTAGAGGTCCAGAAATTGCAGGGAGGTTTTGTATTCCCCACCCCATTGCTCAATACTGCTAGACAGGAAAAGCAGCCTCCACAGTGGTGTGCTAAATATTTAAAGGAGCATCACGTCTTATGCCTTGTGCTAAAGAGGTGCACAAACTCACATTTCCATTTACAAGTGGCAAGTTCCATCATGTGGAGCTCTTATTTTCATTAGAGTACTCAGCTATTCGAGAAGCTGCTCCAGTTTCCCAGAAACATTAATCAGCGCTGTCAAAATGTAATTTTACTCTTCCACCAGTTCCTTGTTTACATCTAGATTGCACAACTTGCAACCCACCGAACTGAACATAGCCTAAAGGCCATATATGGTGACTACACAGAGCTTGATAAATCTCCCGATTTTGCTGCCTGTGAAAATTAGGGGCGGCGAAACCATTTGGTATTATCATACGTGGCTCATCTGCTGTGCTTGGGCAGTGCTGACCTGGCTGACATGAATTGAAAAAAGCCCCTGCCCCATTATCCTAATGCTGAGCTTTCCAAACATTTCATGTTGGTGACACACTTTTTAAGCATGCATCTTTTCGCAACACAGTAATTCAGTTTTACTAGCAAACCAGAGGCTTTCATGTGACACATGGACTGCAGCTGACAAACTAACATGTCGTGACACACAGTTTGGAAAGCTCTGCTCTAATGTGCTTTTTTTACTTTGCAAACAGCACCCAAAGATATGCTTGTATAACATATCTGTAGTATTCAATTAAAATACAAACACAGAATCTCTATGCTAAAGACCTGAGTTATTGCAGGTAATTTCAAGTATCGACATGAATAGTTGCAAAACATTAAACACTTGTTGCGTATAAGTCATGAATGACAGCAGCTGCAATACAGAGAATTGTCACAGGATGGCAGTCACGTATCATGATCCACAGCAAGGACGGAAATTAATTTAACTTCAAAATAAGGAGACATGTTCAGTGTGTGTGACACACTATGGAACTACTGGATTCAAATTACAATGCTTCAATTACTGTAAATTCAGAACCAGGTGCTTTTATCATAACACTGCTCTACTGGGGAGGAGGATAGGAGCTGGGTGAGAAAGATTATTCATCCTACTCCACATATCAAGAGCCCAGCCTATGTTATTGATGTCAGTAAAAACTGATATTTGAGAGTACAGATAATCATCCTACACTTTGCCTCCACTTATCCAGCCTCGGAAGTCAAGTGCAAATATATCATTGGCTGCTCATGGAGTTAAATTTGCTCAAACCGCATGTCAATGGCAACTCTTAACAACACAGATCTTTCTCTCAAGATTCTAACATGCTTTGCAATTTGACGCATATGCCTAAAATCGTAAAACGTGAGGATCAAGGCTGGTTGTGGCTCCTTCTGGCGTACATTGCCACTGCCTAATGTGTGGAAGAGAAGAGAGCTAAAGTATGAACAAGACTTTAATATATTTCTCTATTCTCCATTAGTAAATGCTGCATCTTGTGTGACTGGGAAGAGAGGATTCTTAAAATCATACAACTGTAGAGCTGGAAGGGACCACAAGGGTCATCTAGTCCAAACCCCTGCAACGCAAGAATCTTTTTGCCTAACATGAGGCTCGAACCCATGATCCTGAGATTAAGAGTCTCATGCTCTACCAACTGAGTGACATCAAGAATCCTGCTGCATTTACCATGGAGGAAGAACCTCTGGCTCAGGGTCTGAGTGTGTCCCCAGGACTCAACCCAGGCTCTGTGCTCCCCCTTCCCTCTACTTCCTCCTCTGTCGATTTTACCTGGCTGGAATGTGTCCCTGAACTCTGGTGAAACCTTCTGCATGTCTGAATGGAGGATGGACAGTGATGGGTGTCTGGCCACTCCCATCACTGATATGCAGCTGTCAGAAAGTTTTTGCAATGAGAAGGGGCCCTTGGACTGAAGGGTGTTCCCCACCCACGCCTCAAACAACTGCTGCTTACGAGGACACCAAGATGTGCTACTTACTGAAAAAAGCCAACATGAAGATGCCATCATTGCCCACGCGAAGCTGGTCTGCGTCACTGAAATCGTCCCTTGGGGGATACTCTTCTTCCTTGAAGATGATGATGATGATGATGATTAATAAACGCACATTGCATGGAATTAAATTAATACTTTTCAAACTACTAATTTAAGTGGGAGTAGGTATCTCGGTAAAAAACCAAGGTGACTACATAAGTACACTTCAGTTGCTTAGATTGCTTGTTCATAATAAGTTATTTTTATTTATTAAGTGTACATGGCCACACATCAGTAAAATTCTGTGAAAAATTCAATAAAAATTGAAATATTTAAAAACATGAAATGCAATAATTAGAAAAATAACTAAGAAAAAATCCCTAGTTCAGTATCATTTATTTTAATATTGTACTGAAGCCAAGCTAAACCTATTTACTGAAGTGTTTCTAAATTGCTTCATATTCTAAGATTTCTAAGGACAAACAGAAAAACGGTATCATAAAAACAAATATAGTAATGGCAGGGTCGAATCTTATGGGTCTGGGCAAACTTGGGACAAAAAGTTCCGTCTTTGTCAGATGCTCGAAGCAACTGATAGAGGACACTTCAGGGGCAGTGGAGGGATGCAGGATGCAGAACACAGGAGCAAGAGCAGAAAATTCTGATTTTCCGCTTAATGCTCGAATGGGAAACATGCAGCCTTCCATATGTTGCCTGACTACGAATTCCACCATCCCTGGCCAAACCACGCTGGCACGGTTTGATGACAATTGGAGTTCAGCAGCATCTACAGGCCCCATGGATTCTCTCCTTGCTGTGGGGTGGGGTATGAGTACAGGACTTTACAGAGGAAGGCAGTCCTTTAGGTAAATAACTTACAGAAGCCCTGTCCAACTGGAACAAGACCTTGAAAATGACCTGGCAGCTAATTGGCAACCAGTGTAGTTCTCTCCATAATATGTCTGCAGCCATGTACTCAACTCAACAACCTGGTTGCGGTGTGGTGTTCTGCACTGGCTATGGCTTTTGGAGCTGTCTCTTGAAAGGCACATTAAGGTAGTCCAATTTGAGATTACCAACACACATACATCAGGCGGCTACCTATCCTTGCTGAGGAAAAGTCACAGTTGGTGAACCAAATTAAGCCAATAATAGGTATGCCTTGCCATCGATGTTACCCAGATCTCCCTCGGCAAAGATGGATCACAGCACACCCCGCCCCCAAATGACACATCTGGTCCGTCAGAAGGAGTGCGGTCCCATACAGACCTGGGAACTGCTCACCAACCAAGTCTCCCTCTTACCGAAGTATAGGCCAGGCTTCCTCAACCTCGGCCCTCCAGATATTTTGAGACTACAATTCCCATCATCCCTGACCACTGGTCCTGCTAGTTAGGGATCATGGGAGTTGTAGGCCAAAAACATCAGGATATCCAAGGTTGAGGAAGCCTGGTATAGGCCCATGAATGGCTTCTATATTCTCACCATTCCTCAGCACTTCATCTCTTTCCCAAGCTAATGGGTTAGGCCCACACATTCCTTCCTAGTTGTTCCTTTGTCTCTCTCAAGAGTCAACCAAAACAAGCAGCAAAGGGTGGCGGCCTCACTGAACCACATAATTTTACGAAAAAGTTGCACTCTAAAATTACTTAGCCACTGAAGTCAGAGAGCCCCTTCACATTTCAAGTTGTTGGGGTGCAGTGTAACATGCATGACAAAGACACTGGTTAAAAATGCACACATGAAGGGAGCAGTGACTGGCTGCTCCCCCAAAATGTACATTTATGGGGAACACTAAAATGTCAACGGGCCACGAGTTTATGTATGGATATTTAACACAACACCCTAAAGTGTGAAACACCTGTGTGCTTTCTAGTGAACTCAACGGAAAATTTCAGGTGTGTGTCTTTCTTCCCTAAGTCTTGCTACAGTAATTAAGATTTTAGATTCTGTTGAGCATGTGTCTCAACGAGGAGCCATAGTTTACTGAGGGACTGCAGAAAGGTCTAAGTTGGTTCCCCAACTTCTGTATTGAAAAGGAAATCAGTTCCGGGAAAATTATTTCCGCTGTAGAGACAGACGCAATGAAACTCCACCAAAGCCCAATGTTTAACCTGCTCCCTATGCTTACTAGCCTTGGGCTTCAAGTCTTAACTTCTGGCTTCTGCTCTTCAGTAAATAAAGTAGGTGGTCAGAAGATATCCAGTTGGTATTTTAGCGTTAGATCAAAATGCACAGAAGTTAGAACTACAGCTAAGACACTCAGCAACTTCCAAGGATTCAAGTCATTGTTTTTCTGTTGTCTTAGTGGCACTTTGGGAAGTTTGAAGATTATTTTTGTTAAGGGAACTTTGTTATGAAAGAAGCTGGAGAACCCCTAATTTTACTGCATTCCTGGATATATTTTATTTTGAAGATGCATATAGAACATTATTGAGCATTATTTAAAATGCTGCAGCAGCCCCAGGGACTCTCTCTAAATTCCCACTAAATAATATGAACTTAAATCTCATTGATTCTAGCTGCTCTATTGAGATATTCAACATGTGCTCATGTAATTGTCCAATGTAAGACAAGTGTGTAATGAATATTCTAAATCAAAAGCTTTGCTGCTATCAGACAGCAGAGGGTGCTAACATCCTAAAAAATACAACTTCAGTTGAGGTACCATAGTTTTGTTGCTCATACCATTGCAATGTAAAGCAGCAGTATGGCGTCCCTACATTAAAGAGATATTTATTCATCATCTTTTCTTTCTTTTTTTTACTTGCTAGTATGTACTATATAATAGTGAAAATTATACCTATTTTGACTATATGGAAAGACATTATAACAAACATATATTTGCTTTGCGTTCTGCCTGGTAATGTTTAGTAGCTGCAGCATAAACAAGTATTTGACAGAAATTAGCCTAAACACACCTTTGTTGATATTTTAGAAGTACCAAACAATCATCATTTGGAAGCATGAAGGTGCTGCGTAGTAACACCTCACAGAAACTCAATGAACCGAAAGCAAGTATTGCATTTTATTTCCTTTCATCCTTCCTACTGGATACATTTCCCACTCCAACCCCAGCCCCAAATATTGGAAATTGCAACAATATCCAATCCAAAGGCAGAAACCTTGTTCACAGCAAGATACACTCTAAAACAGGGGAGGCTCAATTGCCCACAGAAATGATACTAGTTTGAATGACCATGATCAGTGCTCCCCAAACTGATGTTATCCAGTTGTTTTAGACTAGAACTCCCATCAGTCATAGCCAGTATGGTCAATAGTCAGGGATGATGGGAGCTGTGGTACAAGGCACACAGTGAAGACTCTTCTAGAGCAAGGATGCCCAGCTTACCAGGTATTCCTGGTTATTTCCCTCATGTTTTCAAATTTATTTCCACTACTATAGCAGATGAAAGGATATTTTCATAACAGCAGAATCTCATGCATGCTTACAATTAAACGTAAGTCCCAATGTGCTCCGTAGTCCTTATCTCTATTTAAGTCTTTATAGAAAACTAATGAGAATCTTCATACAGCATTGTGATATTAGAATTGCGGCAAGTTCATCGAGTGAAGGCATTGAGAAATTCATTTGTTTCTGCTTGGCAGGAAGAAAACTCACTGCAAAATCTAAACTTCATAGAACTGTTTCATACCTCTGGTGGGCTCAGGAATATTTCATCAAACAGACTCCTAGACTCCCTAAATTGGCCGTGCTAAGCATGTAAAGAAAATAAGACAGAAGAACTAAAGGAATGTTAAGCCATTCAGTACAAGTCAAACATTCAAGCAATGTTTCTAGCAAACTAAATTATAATTTAAATGTAATGTAATATAAAAGGAATTGAAAATAGCTCACAGAGAGAGATCCAGTACTTCAAATACTGACAGGGCTCTTCTATACATTTGTATTCAGAAGCAAGCCCCACTGTACAATGGGACTTACTTCCGAAGCATTGAATTTTAGCATGGAAATAGATAATTGCTATTTGGTCCGATTAGAAATGAAAAACTCACGAGGAAAGTGTCACACCAAAAGGTGTTCTACTACACAGTATGCAACAGCTTTTACAAATGGGCAACTGGGGTCAAAAGACAGGCTAAAACAGCTTTCTGTGGTCTTAACATTTATCTGAGATAGCATATCACATTGTTACTGTGATGGCAAACCCCTGTATTTGAGCAAACACTTTCTTATCCGATTTATAAGATTTGAGAGTAGTTAAAAACGGCAGGAAGTTTCCAATGCTACCCCCATTTAAGTGTAAGAGTGAGTGAGTGAGTGAGTTTGTTTGTTTAAGTAAGCAAATGTCTTTTCATTCAGATAAATACAATATGTTGCATTCAATGTAGAGCTAACCAAAACATTCCATCACTGCAAGGATTTCTCCTGGTACCTGCACCCCCTAAATCAATTTTGGGGATTCCTCCAACCCTGTATAGCAGATTTGGGGTGGTACAAGGTGCATGTAAGGAGGTGGGGAAGGGAAATCTCCTTGTAACAGCACAGCTATTTAGTTGAATACCACCTACAGCCCAGTACAATGACATCAGAGATGGAAAAACATTTCAAATATTTATGCACTACCGTAGTTTTACATATATATAAATAATACCAATCTTGAACAAGAATGAGAATAAAAACCTGCAAAAATTCCTATGTGCCAGCAAAATTATTAAGCATGTGCATGCAGCCAGGTACCTGTAGTTTTGTACTGTGACATATACTTACTCTCTAGCATTGTAACTGGTGTCCCTTCAGATTAAATGCAGCTTAACCACTGCATATGGTGGCCCACCAAGAATTGAGTGGAGCTACTCTTGTTGCCTCTCTAGGTCTACAAAGTAGAAAGGACTACTGAGCTCTTGTAGCTGGTGGGCTGTGCATGGTTTGATTAGTTATGAACTGAGTTCATGAATATTAAGCATGAAAGAAAGCTTGAAGCAGTCAACGGGTCTTTTTTTTTTTACTCCATAAAGTGCTACAGAAACATTCTCGTGCTTTGTACAAATAATAAAAACAAACCCCACCTTCATTTAGCTAGCTACTATCTCCTTTAACAAGCTAAGCAAGTGTCAATGAAGTTTGCTTCAGAAATTGATTTTTATCCAATATATACTGAAGCCAATCCAAAGTTACGTATTTCAAAATTGCATGTTTTCATGCCGCACAGATTGCTCACTCACTCTTTGAGCTGCTGCTGCTTCTGCTGCAACAGCTGCCATTGCTGCAGCTTTGGCCTTCTCCGCTTCATCATAAGTGGGAAGAGAGGTAGCTACACTGTATGGAGGTGGCACAGGGTAAAAGTCATTAGGCGATTCCATTTCTGTTAAAAAAAACAACACACACATCAACTCATGTTTTAGAGGCTAAATAATCATTAGTCAGAACTACAAGTCTATAAAGCCTTTAAGAATGCTGTATTGTTTCTTATAGCTAGAAATACTGAGTGAGGGTGGTTTTATATATTTATCAGTACAATTGATTCCTCATATCTCTGCCCTGTTAGGATTGTGGACCAAGTTTAATCAAATAAGACATGCTAGCCTTATCATACATAGACAGAAAGGCATCCAAGACAAATCCATATCACAAAGAACATTAATTTAATCTGGTTATTTGCTCTATTAAGCACAAAGTCATTTGGGGTCCTGTACAAAAAGAAAAGAGCAGATCATATTTTATAAAGGGCAGCAGAACGAAGCATGAAGAGATGATGGCACCACATGCTTCTGAAAAGATTATTCAAGCTATATTTACTGCTCCAGCATTGCTAAAAATATCTGAAGTTATATAAATGAAAGGAAATACCTGCTGTTGCAGCTGCTTCTGCAGCAATACTACAGTAAGGTGGAGGTGAAGTATCTTCTTCAGGTAAAGATGCCTCCATTTGAGAGGCTGGTGCAGTTTCTGTAGAGGTGGAAGGTTGTTCAGCCACTGCTGATTCTGGAAGATCATCTTCATTGTGAAGCTTTTAAGAAAAACAAATACATTCAGGGAACTGTTTCATCTACTCCGATACAATTTATTAAGTAATGACTAAAGAGAAACCAGTAACAAGAGTAACTCCTAATCTGGACTTAACCATACTACAGTGGTACCTCTAGTTACGAACTTAATTTGTTCCAGAGGTCTGTTCTTAACCTGAAACTGTTCTTAACTAGTGGCGTGCTTTCACTAATGGGGCCTCTTGCTGCCGCTGCACCACTAGCACATGATTTCCGTTCTCATCCTGAGGCAAAGTTCTCAACTCGAGGTAACTCTTCCAGGTTAGCGGACTTTGAAACCTGAAGCGTTTGTAACCGGAGGCGTTTGTAACTCGAGGAACCACTGTACTCACCTCCTGCCTCTCCCAAAAGGCAGCAAGTACGTAAAATGTTTTTTCCCAAAAAAACATGTACTACTTACAAGTATTTGCCCATAATAAAAGGCTGAAAGGTACTGTAGTGTTTCACCATCACCCTATTGTGTGTATTGGGGGAAGGGGTGCATTTGAGAGTTTTCCTAAGAGAACATAAGGATCAACTAGACCCAGACAAAGTAAATGGGTGAGAATATATGAAACCATTTCATGATATGTAGATAACAATGTGCTATTTCAGAATATCACAGAACATTGCCTAAACTGTCAACTGCCCTCTTCCTGACAGATAATTGGGAGCAAAGTCCAATTCATTGCACCTTTGATGTATTGCGACTTATTATGTAGCTTGTACTAGGCAATCTTCTAACAACCCTTGATGTTAGGCCCTATAATGTGTAATTATGGTTGATTCAAATACTAGTCCAGAGTGTGAAGCACGAGTTTCCTATGAACAACAATAACATTTCAGATTTGCCTGAAAATCTTCCAATTATTTCACTATGTCTACAAAGTCCTAGTTTCAGAATATGAAGCCAGAACAAGCCATGATAGTAGAAAATAAGGGTTATGCAAACCACTTGTAGCTGCCCAGATTTTAAAAAATATATATATTCAGAAATGGTTGAGATGCAGCCATTTACCATTTCCTCAAGAAGTGTAAATTCTTGTCATCAAATTGGTGCTTGTTCTTTTTCTGAATTCTTGTTATACAGCTCATTCTGTTTGCCAGGTTGTGATTCATCTGCATTTACATTATGATTCATCTAGGTACGTTCAAGAGGCTAGTTATAGTATGCACTTACGTGATATGAACTAAAGAGATAAAAAGAACTGTACTATAACTTGTTCATTATCAGCAGTTACACTGCTTGCATTGTGCGAGTCAGAAGTAATTCTACTAACAACTAACATCAGATCACATTGACTGTTTTAAAGTCCTCCTCTTGAGCAAGAGTTGAAAAATTCCACCACTCAATCTACAACCAAAAAGGTTATATAACAGCACTCAAAAAGCATTATCCTGTAAGTGAAAGCATTGCAAGACACCTTCCAATTCCTCAAGCCTTTCCTGATGTCCCTTGATGAAAAGGGACCTTATACCAAAATTTAAAAGCTCTGTAAAATCTAACAAACATCCCTGATTTCACAGTGTTGTGAAGGGGTGTTTGTGTACAACAGGGCTGTACAGACAATGTCTCAAAGCACCCTGAGGTCACATGATACCACTTGCCCCAACCCCAATGTTCATATGTTCAATGAAGATGCCCTCTACAAAGAAAACCATATATATACAGACGTATTTACACAAGTTTTACTTTGCAGACATCTAGGCCTAATGATTAGACATCCAGAGCACTTACATTTCACAACCCTAGATTCATGTCCAGATGAACGTCCTCACATTATTCACAGCATATGATTTTACACCATGCACACATGAAAGTGTATAGTATTTCACAATACTGCAGCTTCTCACACACAGTTTAGCTCTGTGGTGTCTGTTCTTTTTAGGGGGTTTTATTTCAAACACCATACTTTACTTTCTGCTTTGGACATTTGGAGATCAACATGCTGACGTTATGCCTTTTGGGGTTGCACAGAGTGTTAAATGCAAAGACAGATACTAAGCAATGCACTGGATTCTTAGTGACCCCAGGTATTCTGTTTCATGAAACCCAAATTCCTGTGCCATGAAATGCACAGTTGTTTGAAAAATAAAATTCTGTTCTGAACTTTTTAAAAAATGCACTTTTGTAACTTTGGGGGGGGGGGTGTTGTAATATATATGCAAATTGTGGGAAGATATGAAGTGTTACCAGATCTACTCATGTTTCTATGCAAGAAACAATTGTGCACCACAGATTTCATTGCAACAAGCATGATTACTCTGCAAATACCAACCCTGCTTTGCTCTGACACAGAGGCTGATCTTATTAAGGGCAGGGCTGGGCTTAAGAGGCACAGCATTAAAGAACACAGGTAGCAAGTTATCCTTTGTCATCACAATATAATTTCTGGCCTCCTGCCAGAAAGGAGGCAAAAGACAGGTCTCTTGCCAATCGGACCATGCTCTTAGTACACAACTTTTTCTACTTCAAGGAATATTATCTTCATTAATATTTATTAAACTTGCACCCTACCCTTCCTTCCAGGGCAGCAAACATCAAAATGTTAAGACAATTTAAAACATCTATAAGCCATCTAAGAACATAAGCACTTTTTCAATAACTGTAAAATAACTCCCAGTAATCTAATCACTGCGAGTTGGTACTTGCTGCGGGGGCTGCCTCAGTTATTTTAACTAACCAGTTAGGTATGTAGTTACATGATTCCTTATGTGTATCGTTTATAGACAAGGAACTTCCCTGTGCAGCACTGCTAATATAGGGAGAATATTTGTCAGTATCTACCAATACTTAGCTTGAGCCACTCTGTGCTTGGAGAATAGTAGGCTGGAGTGATACTTAGTTTCAGCTACTGTAACTTCCTTCTGTTTCTTGCAACAGAGCCACACTCATTACTCACAGTCAAGCCAAAACAAACATATTATAGGGCATGTGCAAAGCTCCAGCTGATTTGAGCATTTGGGGAACCAGATTTGGGGGAAGCCGATAAAAAATATGTAGGAAGCCCACCGCAGAGTCAAATTTCTCCCACTGAACAAAATCTTGCTGCTTGTACAGAGCAAGCTTTGAATGCTTAGCCTGGAAAAGAGGGCACTGAGAGGAGATATGATATCCATCTTCAAATATCTAAAAAGCTGTCACATGAAAGAGGAAGCAAGCTTGTTTTCTCCTGCTCTGGAAGGCAGGCCCTAAACCAACAGATTCAAGTTACAAGAAAGAAGATTCCAACTAAGCGTCAGGAAAAACTTTCTGACCGAAAGAGCTGTTTGACAGTGGAAAGGACTCCCTCAGAAGGTGATGGATCCTCCTTCCTTGGAGGTTTTTAAGCAGATGTTTTAGCTGTGATTCCTGCATTGCAGGGAGATGGACTAGATGACCGCTGGAGGTGCCATGCAACTTTATGGTACCATGATTCTACTAAATAAGAGCAGGCTGTGTGGGTGAACTGTAGGAAAGAGTAGATTTTCCCAGCTCTACTTTATTGCTTCTTGGGTTATTCCTTGAGTTGTATTTAGTAATAAGGAAGAATAATTTCCAGAATTCTGGTAGACAAAGAAAGCACTTCTGAAGAAGAAGAAGAGGAGGAGGAGGAGGAGGAGTTTGGACTTGATATCCCACCTATCACTCCCCTTAAGGAGTCTCAAAGCGGCTAACAATCTCCTTTCCCTTCCTGCCCCACAACAAACGAACTGTGAGGTAAGTGAGGCTGAGAGACTTCAGAGAAGTGTAACTAGCCCAAGGTCACCACCCAGCAGCTGCATGTGGAGGAGCGGGGAAGCGAACCCGGTTCACCAGATTACGAGACTACCACTCTTAACCACTACACCATGCTGGTTTATTGCTTTGACCAACATTAAACTTTTTTTTAACCATCCCTGCTTCCTTGAACAGTGAATTCACTGACGGGGGGGGGGGCAACAGAAGACCAAGCACTGCCCTCTGAACTACATACTTCTAAAGGAAGCAGGGAAGCAAGATGAAAATCTTAGCCCAGCAGCTTGATTTACATTTATGTTTCACAGATGGAAACATTGACAACAATAATGATAAGCAATCTTACATTTTTGAGTGGTGTGCCTATTCCCCCCCCACCTCTGTGATATTTGATCTAGCCACAAATGAAAGAAAAGCTGCAGTCCTATTCACCCTTATCTGGGAGCAAGTTTCACTGAACTCAGAAGACTTCTCATCAGACTTGGATAATATTGCATTGGAAGTGATACTCGTATGTGTGTGACGGAATGCAGATGGGAATGACAAACAAGGTAGAAGCTTTTAAACCATCTACTTTCTCAGCAGAAAGAAAGAAAGAATAATCCGCAACACTTGTGTGTTGCAGAGAATTCTGCAGTGTTCTAGGATTTATGAGGGGAGGGATGGCAGCTCCCCCTTGGAATCCTAGCTAACTTCTGATGGACTTATTACTGCCTGCTGGAATTCCTGCAAGAATGCCCATCTAAGGAGGACTGAGCAATTTATCTTTGCTGAAAAACTTTACGTACAGATTAAGTTATGCCCAAATCTTGCTTTGTAAAACCCACATTGGGGGAGCATAAGAATTCTAGTAAAAAAAAGCACAGATGATGAAAACTGAAGTCAGCCCTGTTCAAGGGCACAAATGAAGGAAGGGCCCTGGGCCAATCTTGATAGGCACCATGTGAACTGAGAGTGAATCTCACTGTCTCTATTGCTGCAAACTGAAGGAGAAGATCGGTAGCGCTGCAGAAGCTACCTTACTGAGAAGCTTGTCCACCTTTACAAAACCCTGAACAGCCTTCCACGGAATCACTGGAACAGAGTTCAAACACTATTGCAACAGACAAAGTGAATGATTGTTACTATAAGCTTCAGAAACTGGGAAAGTTGCCAGTTGCTGCTGAATATTGGTGACCCCCTTCACTTGTGGTTTCCTATATTCAGAATAACAACAAAAATCTGTTTTAAAAAAACCCTGTAAATTTCCCACATTCACAGTAATAGACAGAAATACATTATTGATTCCAAGTGTAGCACAAGCCCCTTTCACCAACTCAAGCCTATCACATTCAGATATACAACCTACAGATTTTCTTGGCTGCGGTTCAAAATTTCACAGTGAGGTTGATCATATCATATAACATGGACGGAATTATGTCAAAAGTGAGACAGCAGATATCTACTGAATTTTCACTAGTTAGTAGTGAGTTCTGTTCTGAAGCTTGGTGAAGGCTTGGAGGCCACATATGGCCCACTAGGACTCCTGATCTGTCCCTCAGGACTCAAACCAGGCCACACCCCTTCCCCCAGTCCTGCTCCATGCTTTCCTTGAGTGCTTTTACCTGGCTGGAATTTGCTCTCTGTGATAACGCCCCTTGCTTTCCTGTGTGTGAGAGAGAGGGAGACAGATAGAAACATCTGGCTTATGCAGCTTACTGTACAAAGGTAGAAGTCTAGAGTTGGAAGGGACCCTGAGAGTCATACAATCGAACCCCCTGCAATGCAGGAATCCTGCCCACAGCCACACCTGGTTAGGCTCAAACCATCAACTTTCTGCTTAACAGCCGGACACACTGACTCATGGCGCCATTGGTAAGAGTCACATATCTTGCTCCACCCACTTACCCACTTTTGCCATGGTCCCTACCCACGTTTTGACTCTGGCCACTCCCACCACTGCCATAGTTGTCTCTCCATGCCAATGCCTACAAGGCAGTGAAGCCCTTGAGCTGAAAAAACATTCTCCCCCCTGCTCTTCTCCCTCTTTTGTTATGTAATAGAAGTAAAGGGAGAAATAGGACATTGTATGCTGTATTTCCTTCCTGTTTTCTAAATAGTTGATCAGCCAGGTTGCTTACAAGGTCCATATAGATTTTAGATGCAGCAGTTGCCTCACTTCCTCAATGCATTTATGAGCAACTGTGATACAAGGAACTTGCTTGAAATGGAGCAAGTATTAGAATGATGACACCCCAGGAAGTTATTCATACAAAAATAAGCAAACCTTGCAAAACACTACTGTATAGAAAGAGGAGTGCCATCATAGTTATAATCTATTGATGGCTACCATACTCTGCCTCCTGTTATAAGAATTCTAAGGTCTCAAATATAGAATAAATCTCTGACTTTTGTCTTCTGGGTTTCTGGGGGTTTTCCTGTTGTTATTCTGTCTCTCACGGCTACAATAAACCTACCATTAAAATTATGGACTGGTCATTTCTTCGTCAGAGGGCAAACGGGCAAATTTAGCAGGGGATCAAATACTTTCCTCCCTCACTGTATGATGATTTTGGGGTGGTCTTTGGCTAAGGGGGTTGGGCAATGTCAAAAGTCTTTAAAGGTTCCTGCACACTTTTGTCTCCCTCCTTGGAACAGAAAAATAAGTATCTGCCTTGCTTTCCACTGGATCCAGCCTCCATCCATTTTTCTCTGACCGATCATGGACTTAGGGGACTCAAGAGTCCCATGGGGAATTTGGCAGCAAAAGCCAAACCCCAATTTTTACATCACTCCACAGTCGAGGCAGCAACACTTCCGAGTACCACAAGAAACCACAGGAGGGGGAGAGTGCTCTTGTGCTTGAAATCCTGCTTGCTAGTTTCTCACAGGAATCTGGTTGGCCACAGTGAGAACAGGATGCTGGCCTAGATGTGCCAATGGACTGATCCAGCAGGTCTTTATGTTCTTATATAGAATGCTAATTAATGCTCAACCAGTTACCCTTACAGCATTCCTGTAAACTAGGTCAGTAAAATTAATATACTGAAGTCAAGGAATTGAAGTGGAGAAACATTTGGCCTAGGTCAGAGATTTCAACCAGCGATTGTGTGGAAAGCCATCTTGTGAACTACTAATTGGTCATATTCATAATGCGCACAGATACTAAAAGCTGATATACATAACCGGTATACAGGAGGAACAAATCCAGCATAAATTTCCAGCTTTCCCTATACAGCATAGTAAGAGTTGGGTGGTTTTGTTTTTTAAAGAGAAATGTAATACAAAGGAGGAGTATCTGGAGCTGACTGTAACAGCAGTGCAATTAGTTAAGGATGGGAGGGGTGAAGGGAGCAAGGGGAAGAACTAAGGGTTTAAGTGGCCAGTGACAAAATACTTCAAATGGTACATCAATTTTCAGGCGTACCCCTTGCTGCCTGCCTCCCGCATACGCATATGGTGTGGGCAGGCTTTCAGTTTTCAAAAAGTCAAGACATCTAGGGAACCATTCCCTTGCCACTTTCCATTTCGTAAGCTAATGTTTTTGGGGAGAGAAGATTAAACTTTAAATATTGTCATAGGCCAGGGATGGAGAACCTATGGCTCTCCAGCAGAATTAGGATTCCACCTCCCATCAGTTTCATGGCTAATGGGGAGTTACAGTCAATGGGTGGCAACCAATTTCCCATCCCAATATATAGGCCAAATATGGGAAGTGACTTGATTCAATCTGTATAGTCAGTTTCTGCTTGGGGGAGGAGGGGAATAGTTCTTTCTGAGCTTGATTTTCTGAAGAAAGGGTAAGTACAGATCTGCAGCAGTTTCCTCACTCAAACTATGCATATCTATGTGCACCCCAAAATACTCCTTACTTTCTCTTCCCAAAATATGCATGAAAGGGTATACCTTTTTGTATATTGTGCATGAGCAATCAGATTTAAAACCACATCAGCATGTAACCTAAAATCAGAGGCATGGGGGAAGTCTTACAGTACATCATTTCATTAATACCTATTAAAGTTTCATTTGCAAGCCAAGGGTTATGTTTTTCTGATTTACTTGCTTTAATGACTGGAACATATCCAATTATAAGCCTATTTCTTTGTTTCTTTTTTTTTTCTTTTAAATTGTTTTAACACCCTTAATTTCTACTTGCCATGAGCAATAACAAACAAGCAAAAGCAATAAGTGCAAAGGAGTTTGCTTTAAGGGTTGCTCCATGCCAAAATCGTCCATCATGTGATAAGCCAAGGAAGGAACAAGTTAAGTGCTATGTGGTTAGTTCCTTAAGTTCTGCAAGCAGCCAATCCTTAAAGGCACCTATGATGTAACTACAGCTGCCTCCAGCAGAATCAAGAAACCACCTACGGTTTCCCAGCACAAACAAATGCTATTATCTGCTTACAGAAAAGGTTCAGCAGGGGTGAAAGAAACATTCTAAGAAACATTGAGCTTTACACTCTTTCCATTCATAAAATGAGGCACAGGGTAAGAGATGCTCTGGTTCTAAATCTTGTATGTGCAAAGATCTGCTTTTAAGCATGTTTTAATGCACACTGTTTGAAGTACACTTTGTATATAGTCACATTTCCAGGGACTGTGTGTATTCAAAGCAAAGAGAAATATAAAGAAATAGCGAAGTCCAAAGCAACTTTTTGCCAAATACTTTTGTTTATAAATTTAAATCCAGCATTCTTACTCAGCAATTCTCAAAATGGTTTGCAAACCATAATAAAATCACAATGCCGGAATAACTTTTATTCCAAAATATGAGCTCTTTTACTATATTCAGATATATTCCTTATTTCAGGGCACAACATTTTATAGGGTGGAGCTTCAGAAAGTTGAGGCTCACTCATCCTAAATATAGGAAGCTGCTTTATAGTGAGTCCTTGCCACTGGTCCATCTAGCTCAGTATTCTCTACATTGACTGGAAGCAGCTCTCCAGCGTTTCAGACAGGGGACATTTCCAGCCCTGCCTGGATATGCCTGGGATCTTCTGCATGCAATGCAAGTGCTCTACCACTAAGCTCCAGCCCTTCCCTACAGAGAGATGTAAGAATCCAAAGACTTGTACTAATACGGCATGTTAGTTTACAGATAAGGAGTGGTCATTAACATCTAGAATGAGGTAGGTTCTTTTTAATAGTCTACGTTTCTAGTAAAATGCTTACCCATCACTGAAAAACACCTTAATTATGTAAAAGCAGCAGCAAAGAATAGGTAACATCCAGTTTGGGGATGTAGGTTTCACATCTTTTGTCCAATCTGGACCCAAGAGCATTCAAACTGACCCCCAAAAAGACATCCATGAGGTACTGGCAAAAAATTTGGGAGCATCATTGAAACAATGTAGAAAAAATCTGTTAATAATGGCAAGGAACAAATCTCTCTTTTACTTCATTTTTAGATAAAATTGCTCATATAAGTTGAGAAATGACTGGCATTTGGCATACTATATGTACACCAACATTTTCCTCTCTCAGCTTGCTAGCTGACATCAAACATCTCTATTATGATAGTATTCCTGGTATAAAACAATACTCCCCACCCCCACCGTATTTCAGCTAAGTTCCTTCTATTTAGAGGGCAGTAGGTACCATCTTGAGGAAATAAAATAGGTGGGATTTGTTCCAAAGCCTCAGACCCTAATAAAAGTGTTAGTTATGATGGCAGTCAATAACGAGTGGCTTTCACGGAAAAAAAATATTTCAGAAATAGGTAGCAAAAATATGAAATATGAAGCAACGAAATGACAAAACTACATGATCATCCTCAATGTGAAATAAAAAGCAATTAGAGGAAATTTAAAGAGAACCTGATTCCATGAGAGTATGTTTTATTATGCCAGTATGTTGCCAATACATATTCCTTTCTTCGGACCACTTATCTCCATTACAAAATTCACTTTCAAATGCAATACAGAAATCCGAAAAAGCATTGTGCTTGGTCGTTTCTTCATTTAATAAGAGAAATTGTGCGCCTATGGACTCTTCAGTGTTACCAAGCAATATAGGTCTGGGATGCCCCAGAGTGGTATAGGTATGGCATTAAGAATAAGAGCTGGAGCTGGAAACTGCATGTTGTTTTACAGGCTTCAAGGTTTTCACGGGTAATCAGTAGATTTCTTAACTGAAGCTTTGCCTGATTCATTGGTGTAGGCAGTGTTAGAAACTTGAGATATGAAAGCTAGGAGCTCAATGGCACCATAAACCCAGGTTATGGGCGCCACAATGGAATATCTAGGCGCGCTTTTTTTTTTAATAACAAGTATACAAAGCTGAAAAGGAATGAACGGCAGCTAAAATATTATGTTCATTTTTCACATGGTCTAGTCCTTCCCCTGCCCACCTCTTAATACTCTTAAGAGGCTGTCTTCTCCAGTCTTCATAGAGTAGCTGGAAGCGGGGAAGCAAAATAAGGTCACTCTGCAGTTTTAATCTGAAATCTTATGTGCAGAGCTCAGAAACCGCTCGCGCTAAGGAAATTCCCTGTCGCAAAACGTGCCTCGAACAATGGGCGTTTCAAACGCTGGGGGTGTAGGCCATTTTCATTGGCGGCCCTTCGAAAGCAGCACACACGCTTGTTAGGGCGGACTCAAAACGAGGTACAGTGGTACCTCGGGTTAAGTACTTAATTTGTTCTGGAGGTCCGTTCTTAACCTGAAACTGTTCTTAATCTGAAGCACCACTTTAGCTAATGGGGCCTCCCGCTGCTGCCGCACTGCCAGAGCACGATTTCTGTTCTCATCCTGAAGCAAAGTTCTTAACCCAAGGTACTATTTCTGGGTTAGCGGAGTCTGTAACCTGAAGCATATGTAACCTGAGGTACCACTGTACTACTGTATATTGAATGCTACTGTAGCCGAACAGGAAGTGACAGCACTGAAGGCTGTCTGCGGTTGGCAAAAGTAAAGCATCATCACCTGCTTATTGAATCATAAAAGTTCCCTCTCGCTCCCTTCACCAACCGAGGGCGGGCAGGGAAAGGGCTTAAAGTAAAACTTTGGGTAGGAACTGAATTCACATGAATCGATTCATTGATGCAATCATATCCACCGAAAGGCAAGGCAGGTGATGAAATACTGTTGTGGCGGGAAGCCCTACAAACCCAACCTCACTGTGTTGACCTCTGAAGGGAGCATGGCAGCATTTAAGCCGCCCAGAGTGGCTGGAGAAACCGAGCCATATGGGCAGGGTATAGATAATAAATTATTATTATTATTATTATTATTATTATTATTATTATTATTACTGCAGCCCTGTGGTGGAATCAGAGGTAACATTGAACTCCACCGTAGCATAGAAAGGTCTGCTCTTGAAAGGCAAGCACGAATCATAGCCATAATAATAATACAGTGGTACCTCGGGTTAAGTACTTAATTTGTTCCGGAGGTCCGTTCTTAACCTGAAACTGTTCTTAACCTGAAGCACCACTTTAGCTAATGGGGCCTCCTGCTGCCGCCGTGCCGCTGGAGCATAATTTCTGTTCTTATCCTGAAGCAAAGTTCTTAACCTGAAGCACTATTTCTGGGTTAGCGGAGTCTGTAACCTGAAGCATATGTAACCTAAAGCGTATGTAACCCGAGGTACCACTGTGCCTTTATTATTTTTACGCCGCCCATCTGATTGGGGTCGCGCCAGCCACCCTACAAAGACGCAACAATACATTGTGTACTATTTCACATCGAGGGTGGTGTGTCATTTTGTCCTCGCGATTTGGAACATTTCCTCTTTTCGCTCCCTATTCCCCAAGCCCAGTATGTTTTGCTTTGTTTTGTTTTTTCGGCGAAAGCCACGGGCCGTCGAGCGGCGACCTCCCGCTTCTAACGCGGGCTGGACTAGATGACCCTCGGCGTCCCCTCGACTGGGGGCTCCGAAAAGCTCACCTGGGCGGCAGCCAAAAGGGAAGGGGAAGCGCAGAGGAGGAAAGGGGGGGGAAGGACGAGGAAGGAGGAGGCCTCACACCAGGTACGCGCTTTCCATTCGCCCCCGGAGGCCTGAGGCAATGGAGGGCTCCCCTCCTCAGCCTCGTCTCCCAAGCTGGCCAGGGGAGGCCTCGAGTTGGCCTGCGGCCTACCCCAACCCCAACCCCGCCCTGCCGACCCGCTGACAGGACCCCGCGGCGCGACTCACCACTTGGTACCGGCTGGCGGGCTGCTGCTGGTGGTGCTCCATCCCGGCGACGGAGGCCTCTTCGGGCCTCGACGCTCGGCTAGGTGCTTTCGCCGCGGCCGCCGCAGCGTCTCTCTAGCTTCTCCCTTCTCTCTCTCTTTCCCTCCGCCTTCGTCGCTCTCGGGCCGGCTCCTCCCCTCGCGTCGAGGCCGCCCTCTCCTGGCTCGTCCCCCTCGGAGGCGCGCGCGTGACGGGAGGAGGAGGAGGCGGCGGGCTGAGGCGGCGTCGGCGGAGGCCTCATTTCTCCGGCGCTCGCCCCGAAGCACCGCGGTAAAGGTGGCCCGTCTCCGTTTTCGCAAAACCCGCTTCTCCGAGAGGCTCCCCCAATGAAACCGGGGGCCCCCCACCCTCACAAACGGCGCGTCCGGATTTGTCCGGACCGCCCCGCCGATTTGCGCGGCCGCGTGTCCGGGAAATTCCGGGCGCGTGGCGCCAGTTGGAGGGAAGCAGTGCCGTGTTTACGTATAAGCTAAACAAGCTATAACTTAGCGCCCCTTCTCTCTTGGGAGCCCCCAAAAAATTTAAAGGGGGAAAAAACCCAGGATGTGCATTTCCAAAATAGAAGATTAAAAAAAAAACAAATAAAATAAAACCTACATACAGCAACAGTGTTTTGTGTTGTGTAGGCTCCTATTTGTTATGTGCAAATAGCTTTAGATACCTATCAGGTCCATAAATAACTATATAGCACATATCCAACACACACAAAAACAGCGGCAATTTGTTGTTGACAAAGGACAGCTGGGCATATAAAGGGCTCCATTACCTTCAGTAGCTTAGGGCCTCATCAAACTTTAATCCGGCCCTGGGAGAGGCAAGGCTCTATTTATGGATAGAGGAGCTTTTTTTTTTTTAACTGGGGCAGCAGGGCTGCCTAAAATGAATTGTGGAGATGAGAAGGGACCCAAGGGTCATCTAGTCCAACCCCCCCCCCCAGTGTAATGCAGCGATGCTTGGGAGTATTCAGAGCGTATGACTATATAATAGGACAGAGCATCGCTCTAAGTAAGGCATAGGAGGCAACTCTTAGGGGTCGAGGCTTGGGCGCAGCCAAGCCCCCCCCCCCCAAATCAACCGAAATGGATACAAATTTGAGGTTCTGAACCCCCCCAACAAAAGCCTACCCCCAATAAATTCAAATCAATACAAATCTGAGATTCTGCCCCCCCAACAAAAGCCTGCCCCCCAACAAATCAATACAAAGCTGAGGTTCTGCCCCACCAAACAAAAATCCTAGCTACGCCCATTGGCCAAGGGGTCTTCCTGTGCGCCCCCCATAACTTATTTGAGGGGGTCACCCCCCACCCCAAAGTTGCATTGCCATTCAAATGGTGTCCGTCCACCGCGTTGTTATCATCAGCAACATCGTAATCGTCAGTGCTGTTTTTCTAGGGAAAGAGGTGCCGGATCTCACCGTGAATGCTTCCCTTGTACTCTTAGGATGGCAACGGAGCCCACCTGAGAGGTGCCAAAGGCTCGTTCACATGCATATCTTCAAACACGATATATGCCATCATGATTCCACAATGCCCTTCAGCAACTGGCATAACTCAAATAGGTCAGGTTCAACTGCGGAAAATAAATGGGCACACATCACGACATTTAGACTGTTTCCAAAACCAGTGAGGGGGCATTTCAGTCTCTCTGGAGGCAGGCAACTCTAGCGTGAAGCTTCCTAATTGGAATTCATTAGCAGTTCTGATGCTATGGCGTGTGGTTAGCTCATTACCGAAAGCATTTGTCTCTTTTTAGCTGTTTATTTGCACTATTGTTCTTGCTATACCTATTCGTCTGTTGTGGCTGCTCCTCAGAAGTAGATCACACCCATGCTGACAGCATCTTGAACTCATTCATTTAATCATTCCCACTTTTTCTGATTCACAGGCATGACTGCTGTTGCTTATGCAGCCAAAAACAACACCACACACTTCCACAAGAGTTGACAGCAATAGGCTTGGTGAAACCCTGAGGCTTGAAGCAGTAGAAAAAAATATTTTAGTAAAAATCATTAAGAAAAGTTGATGAGGACTGGGCATGCTCAGGATTCGTAGAATGCTTAATCACTCTGGCGGGGGGGGGGGAGAGGTGGAAGAAGGAATGGAGTGAAATGTCCTTCCAGACTGGCTGAGTAAAATTATAAATTGTTCACTCTACACTGCAACATTTTGTTGCAGGTACCACTTGCTGGTTTCTGCATTCATTTGTGCTCTGCTCAAATTCAACTGTAATGCATCTACTACTACCTCTTTCTTCGCTTGCCCTTGCTCTGTAAAAATACTCTTCCTTGCATCCTCTTTAATAAGGTCTCTCTCTCTCTCTCTCTCTCTCTCTCTCTCACACACACACACACACAGTTGCTGTTTTGTTGTTGTTGTTTTGAGATGGTGTTCTTCTTCTTCTTCTTTGGCAATCACTCGTAGCCGAGTAAGATTGTCTTCCATAAACACAGTCTTAACAGTGAGTCTGTCAGTGACTGTGGAGGCCAATTCTGGATCCACACGGCCTTCCACAGTAGGGACATAGGTGTCTGGACAGGACTTGATCACGGTGTGGATTTGCCAAGTGTGCCTTCCTCTTAGCTTGTTTCTCCCTTTCCTCCTGAGTTTGAGCATCTTCAAAGTCCATGACACCTTTGGCAAAGGCTGTTCTCCAACTGGAGTGCTTGCAAGCCAGTGTTTCCCAGTTATCAGTGCTTATGTGTGTTTTTTTAAAGATTTGCTTTGAGAACATCTTTAAACCTCTTTTGTTGTGCACTGGTATTTTGCTTTCCATTCTTGAGTTGGGAATAGAGTAGTTGCTTTGGAAGTTGATAATCAAGCATCCGCACAACATGACCAGTCCAACGAAGTTGATGTTGAAGAATCATTGCTTCGACACTGGTGATCTTTGCTTCTTCCAGCACACTAACATTAATTTGCCTGTCTTCCCAAGTGATGTGTAAAAATTTTCCGAGACACCATTGATGGAATTTTTCAAGGAGTTAGAGATGACATTTGTCAGTGGACCATGTTTCACAAGGATACAGTAAAGTAGGTAGTACAATAACTTTGTATGCAGGCATTTTGTTTTCCCTGCAAATGTCCCAGTCCTCAAACACTTCGTGCTTCACTCAGGAGAAAGCTGCACTCGCAGAGCTCAAGCGATGTTGGATTTCAGCATCAATGTCAACTCTTGTGGAAAGATAACTGCTCAGGTAGGAAAAGAGATTGACACTTTTTGACCAAACTGCGGGAGGCAGTGGAAGACAGGAGTACCTGGTGTGCTCTGGTCCATGGGGTCACGAAGAGTTGGACACGACTAAACGACTAAACAACAGCAACAACAACAACAAATGTTACACCATTGAGTTGGATTTGTAGCGTTGCAAAGGGGTTGTTTTGTATTCACCAGTATGGAGAACCAGCACGTCTTTTTATGCTGCTGCTTCTGGCAGCCATTGTTTGCTGGCATCCACAGCACTTTTATCAAGGTATGAATACCAGCACCATTTCCCCCCCACCTAAAAGATACCCACCCACCCCACTTTGATGCCCAAAACATGTATTTGATGGTTGGCTCTGATTCCCAGAAACTCATGTCACTATGAATCTGTTGGAATTGAATAAATTTATGACTTTTTGTTGTTCTTGCTGCAACAGAGTAACATAGTATTTGAATCGCAATTCTTCAGCTAGGAAAAATAATCTGGATACTGATACCTGAACATGACACTAATGGCTTTGCAGATAGTATTAACTTTTTATCAGTTTCTGTCACTTTTATTACTCTAAGCAGGAACTGTGGCAAGTGCTCACAAAGTAGGAGCAATGGAGTTACTCTCAAGCTTAGGACCAACACAACTATTTACTAAAAGGTTCAATATGGGCAGTCTCACAAATTTAATAGTTTCATAAAATATGGAACTGCAATGTGAGTCATTATTAAGCTATCTGAGTTATCATGAATAAATGAAGCCTTACAATGGCTTCATACTTGGAGGGGATAATGCTTTGCATTTAATAATATTTCACATGTATTCTCTTAGTACAGTGGTACCCCGCAAGACGAACGCCTCGCAAGACGAAAAACTCGCAAGACGAAGAGACTTGCGGAACGAATTAATTTCGTCTTGCGAGGCACCACTGTATTGCGGACAACAACTGTGTAAGGTTGGCTGATATTATGATCCCCATATTGCAGAAGTGGACTGAAACTAGCTTGCCTGAGGCCACCCAACGAATTAATGGTTTTGATGATATTTGATTGGGGTACTCTACTTTCCAGTCCAAGAGTCAATGCAGGCATTATTCAAGTAAGCTTGTCCATGCAAACAACTGTTCATGCAAGTGGTCTGCTTGAAGGAGTAGTTTAATGTTGAAGGATAAGACTCACAGACAGTTATGTCTCTTTGGCCATGGGTCAAGGTTGCAATCATGGGAAAGTATGCAGCAACATCTGCAACTTATCTTAGTTACCTTGGCATTCCAGCTTTAAAGATAAAAGTTGGCATCACAAACCCAAGTAAATCTGTATTTGCAAAATATAAACATACGCCATGCACAACTGATTACTAGGATCTTGTTATATAGATACAAAACTCTTAGGTTTTAGGAGCTGGACAACATGTTGAGGTAATTATGGAGTTTTATATGGTCATTAAAATGCAATTTTTGGTCATGCCCTAAGATAGACACAAGGAAACCTGTGGTCCTCCAGCTCTCATCAGACCCTGACAGCACTGTCAGTGATCAAGGATGATGGGAGCTTCTGTCTAACAAAGTCTGGAGGACTGCAATTTCCTCTTCCTTGCCCTACAGCCATGGGGGTATACCCTCCAACATTTCTCCGATGAAAATAGGGACATCCTATTCCATAACGACAACAACAGTTTTATTATTTATTCCCCGTCCATCTGACTGGGTTGCCCCAGCCATTCTGGATGGCTTCCAACTTATATAAAAACATAATAAACATCCTTCCCTATACAGGGCTGCCTTCAGATGGTTCAGGAGTCAAATAACTCCAAACCCTCCAACATTTCTCCGATGAAAATAGGAATGTCTTAAGGAAAAGTGGGGCATTCTGGGATCAAATCAGAAACTTTTGTGAATCCAGGACTGTCCCTGGAAAATAGGGACACTTGGAGAGGCTGTGGGGGCTGTAAGAGCAGAGTAAGGCTTGTGACTGCTGCATGAATTCTTCCGAAAGCCTGCTGATTAGATTTGTCGTTTCCCTCATTCCTACTGCCTCTGCTAACAGACCCAGAAACATTAACGTTTATGATTGTTAGTTCTTTACATTTAGACATTTCCCTCCCACGTTACAAGGTCGGCGGACCTAACCCTCCCCATATCACACTTTGCAGGAGTTATTTGTTACACCTCTATAAGGCGAAAAAAGTATCATAGCAACAGAGGTCTTTATTCATTCAGGCAGCTACCCCGCTTATAAGTGCCTATACATGGTAGGAGGTAATGGGAAATTAAGTTAGGTCCCCTTTAACAGAAAAGTTCTCTTGCCACCCTCTCCACTGTCCTGCACATTTGCTTCATTCAAGGCCACCACCAAGCACATTCATTTAGTTATTACTTATAAGCGTAGGCACTGCTATTGTCTCTGGTTGGTCGTGACCATGTTAAGATGCTGGCCTTGGTGATACCTGAGTCAGAACACTCGAGATAAATAATACAGATTGGCAAGGTTTTGGGGGTAGAGGAAAATAATCTCTGTTGTGGTGGAGAATGGCAATGACATCACAATACTCTAAAACCCCTTCAATTTAGGCCCAATACTTAAAATGCTACGTTTGAAGTGCTCACTTTTCAATATATACTTGCTAAGTATTATCCAGAGGCAATCCTATTGTTTTGGATATAGAAACGCATAGGAAAAAAGCTGTATACGTTCTAAGGGACATTTGTGAGAAAGTTGCCATCATACGTGTCCTCTAAGTTGCTAACTGACTCAGTTAATTTAAAAAAGACCGGTAAAGTTTATTTGGATTGGGTTGGCACCACGCACACAGTCCTAAATCTGCCCTGATCTGGTTCCTCTCCCTCTGTTCCGCATGCAGAGGGCACGTGGAAGTAAGTTGAACCTTACCTCAACACTGGCAATGGGATACTGTTTGAAATATACTCGGAGTCGAGTGTGAATTTCATGCTCTTTATTCAGCTCATATTAGTGAGGAATGGAAGTTCCCCCAAAATGTCTGCTTTATATACATTATTTACACAATGGGCCCCACGTGATTGGCTAGTTCCGGGATTCTCCTGTAGGCCAATCAGGTTGCGGATTCACTTCCACCTGGAGTTGGATTGGGTGGCTCCTGTGGATCAATCAGACTGCTGCATTCTGGATCCTATTGTTCTAGGACCAATCAGACTGCTGCATTCTGAATCCTACTGTTCTAGGACCAATCAGACTGCTGCAATTTGGATCCTATTCAATTCAGTACATAACACTGTTCTTCTGAATACCAGTTGCTGTCTACCACAGGAGAGGAGAGTGCAGTTGCAAAAGGAATGCAGCTCCAGCCAAGGCATCCTGACTGCTGAACTGCATGGCTCAGGACGGTTGCCTCTCTAGCTTAGGGTTATCAGACATCCCCGGTTCCCGGGGACAGTCCCTGGATTTGCAAATCTGTCCCCAGACAAATTCCGTCCCCGGAATGTCCCCAGATTTGCAAATCTGTTCCCGGGAAATGTGGCAGCGGCAGCCTCAGCAGCCTGGAGCCAGCCTGGTAGTGCAGTTGGCTCTGGCTGGCTTCAGGAGCTGCTTGCTGCCATGGCGCCCGCCATTTTTCCTCGCCGGAAGTCCCCATATGATGTGTTATGCACAAGACACATCATATGGGGACTTCAGGGAGGCAAATTGGCGGGCGCCATAGCAGCGAGCGGCACTGCAGAAGGGGAACCGGGGACGTCCGGTGGTACAGATCTCCTGCCCCCTTCCCCCTTTGTTCTGACTGATCGGGGGAGGCTCGGGAGTTGTGGGTGGGCGGCCATTGCCCGGTTTTTTAAAAACTCTGTGCATTAATGTTTCACAGGGTGCGAAATAGGGGCTTTGCAGCTTTATACAATTTGCATGTATGCTTGGGCCCAGGGTCTTTCACCTCATCATCCCCACTACTGACTCCCTGTTGCTACTCAGCTTCAAAAAAAAAAAAAAATCCCCAGATTCATTGAAAAAAATCTGGTAACCATACTCTAGCTCCGAATAGTATTGTCTGCGACATATGAAGAGGAAGCTGGCTATTAAGTGGGAGGCAGCTAGCTAGCCAGCCAGGCCAGGCCACCAGCAAGCGAGCACGGTCACCAGTGGGTTACTAGCTAAGGTGGATGGTGATGACTGGAGGGTATGGGGCTGACCCTAGCCGCTCGCTGCATCACAGCCACCTCACTCTGGCAGGAACAAAAAGGAAGCCACCATATACTGAATCAGACCTTGGGTCCATCTAGCCTAGTACTGGCTACAGGAATTGAGATTCCTATCTGGCGATTCCAGGGATTGAGCCTGGTGCCAAGATTGCAAGTTCAATCCCTGTATGGGACAGCTGCATCTTTCTGCACCGCGGGGGTGGGGGTGGACTAGTTGATCCTCAGGGTCCCTTCCAACTCTATGATTGTATGATCTTCTGCAGGCAAAACAGATGCTCTACCACTGGGTTCCCCTTGGACTGGCCCTGGAGCATTCATCAGTCTATGTGCCAGAAGTATCACTGTAAATAACAGGCCTATGTTGAGTTTTACACATATCATCCAGTCCCGGATTTATGTATACGCTAAACAGGCTATAGCTTAGGGCAGGGGTAGGCAACCTAAGGCCCGGGGGCTGGATGTGGCCCAATCGCCTTCTCAATCTGTCCCATGGGCAGTCCAGGAATCAGCGTGTTTTTACATGAGTAGAATGTGTCCTTTTATTTAAAACGCATCTCTGGGTTATTTGTGGGGCATAGGAATTCATTCCTTTCTTTTTTCAAAATATAGTCCAGCCCACCACATGGTCTGAGGGATGGTGAACTGGCCCACGGCTGAAAAAGGTTGCTGACCCCTGGCTTAGGGCCCCACTCCTTTGGGCACCACCAAAAATTTCACTGTTAATATACTTCTTCTTAATTGTATTTCAGTTCAACAATTACTTCGATAAAATACATTTTGGTTATGTGCAAATGGCTTTAGATACCTATTAGGTCCATAAGGTATCATATAGCATATATTCAACACAAAAGACAAAGACAATTTGTTGCTGACAAAGGACAGCTGGACATATAAAGGGCCCCATTACCTTCAGTATCTTAGGGCCTCATCAAACCTAAATCTGGCCCTGATACCAACAATGAGGCATACTTACTCATGTAAGTGCTCCTCATTACTGACTGCACACTCAGTGTGATGCCACAACTCTTGGGTTGGGGCAACTGGCTAAAAGTTGCCCCAACTTTAAAATGTTTTAAACGGTTCTAATTTTGGTTCCTCTGTTTTGTTTTTGTCGGTTTGATGTTGATTTAATGTTTAGTTGGGAATGGCGGTTATTTTAATTTGGGTATAACTGTAGGCTCTTTATTATTGCTCTTATTGTTACTATTGGTTTCTATTGATTTATTGGTTTGTTTGCTGCTCTTTTAGGATATTTTGTTTTTTACTGTTTGATGCTTTGCTGTGTTTTTATATATGTTGTAAGCCGCCCAGAGTGGCTGGGGAAACCCGGCAACATAAGCGGGATATAAATTTTAAAAATATCATCATCATCATTATGGCATGGATAAATGTAGCTACTAAACCTTACAGTGAGAGTTGGGATAACATAACCACCCCTTTGGGTTTGTTGCCAGGATTCTCTGGGCTCTCTGAACATCAGCTCTCCAATAATAGATGTTACAAGAGGCCTGCTTGAGCTCACATCCGTGTACCCAAGCAATTGTTAAAATTTCCTTGACAGACAAGCTATAAGCGTCTGATGAGCAAAACCATATCCTGAAACACAACCCGAGAAGGCCCACAGTATATCATCATATAGGTAAGGAAGGAAGCCTCCCAACTGGCATCCTGCCCCTCTCATCTCTAAGTAATGGACAAGCCAGCTGGGCTTGCAGTAGGCTTAAAAAAGAAGAAGAAGTAATAGTCTGCTAGAAACACAGTTGTTTTTAAAAGCATTGCTTATTTTTAATAGGAATACTTGCAGGAAACCTCAGGTAGCAGTTCTGTCCTAAAAGAGGCACGCTTCATTCTCTTACACATAGGAGTGAATGGTCCGTCTAAAGGCTACATGCTGGGAATAATTGGTTTGGAATCGCCCAAGAAAGATGTTAGCTTGTTTTTGTATGCCACAACTGCAGCAAGAATTTTGTTAGCCAAAAATTGGAAACTACAAGAAATGCCTACAGTGGAGAAATGGCAGATGAAGATGATGGACTTTCTGGAGCTGGCTGACCTGACTGGAAGAATCTGTGAACAGAAAGAGGAGGAACACCAAGAAGAATGAATGAAATTTAAGGGTTATGTAGTTAAATATGCTAAGATAACATAAGTAGAATTATTTGTAAGTACCAAATTGGCCTAGGAGTTCAATATGTTAAATTGTATAACATTATGGATAAAGGATAATATGAAAAGAAAGAAAGATGTTAATTGACTAAGTTTATCTCATTTGAAAGAAGTATTAGAAAACTGCTACAATGACTTATATGGAAACTCAGCTAGGAGGATTTGAGGAAGTCACCCAATAATGATAACAAAATTGGGATTTTAACAGTTAGTGTCAGGGAGCCGCCATCGGCTCAGAGGCGAGAGGGGAAAAGGCGGATGGATTACAGAGAGCCCCCAAAGATCGTGGGAAGCAGCACTTCCTCAGCGGAGGAAGGAAGCCACGCCTCTAGTGGAGAGGAGATGCAGGGGGCGGAGGAGGCAAGGTGGTGCCGCAAAGCGGGGAGGAGGGAGGTCCCCCGTTACCCAAGCCTTCCTTGCGCAGTAGGCTTTCACGCAGAGAGGGGAGGTGCAGACTGGGGGTCAAGAAACTACTCTGCTGGGGAAGATTTAAGGACCGCCCACTCTCAGATTCTGCCAGTGAATGAGCAAGACATGGAATAGAGGCGCTCTGCGTTGTAAAGTTTTTTTTAGCACCAATAAGCAAGCTTTAGAACAGACTAGTGAGGCATCTTGCCTGATTGCTCTCGAGCAACCACCTGATACCCTTAACAGTTAGGATAAATGTTTGTTTGTTTGTTTTCTATTGTAATGTTTTTCTTTTATGTTTGTTATAAATTTGGAAAATTAATTTTTAAAAATTGGAAAAAAGGCTACATGCCGAGCCAAGGGGTGAGGCAAAGGGTTGCCGAAGTGGAGGTGTTGAGCAGTCCCCTGCAGCACCATCAATCCCTACCCCTACAATCTGTCTCCACGGAGCTTTCTCCTTCTTTCTTTCTTCTGGTCAGCCTCCAAGAGCAAATTGAACCTAGCTGGATGACAAGGGTTAGGGGATAGGATGGGCACCAAGAGGAAATGTCAGGAGCAGAGGAAGGGTTTGTCACCCTCCAGCTGCGCATCCTACTAAATTGCACCCCTTCTTTCTGCTTTGGATGAGAATGGATCAGTCCCATGTCCAGTATTTAAGTTCTGCTGCCGACATGACATGCAGTTTTGACCTTGGATGATGCTTGCAGTGAAATGCATAGGATCGCCATATATCCCGGAAAATTCTGGTGGTGTCCTGGGAGCGGAGGCTAACATGGCCACTCGGAGGAATTTTTAAAATTTAATACTAAACGTCCAGGATTTTGTCTGTTCCTTGGTGGAAGCAGAAACATCTGCTGATTGCCAAAAGAAAGCTCAACAACTTTTTGGACGATTGTCCAAAAAAACCTCTGGAGTTTTTACTTCTTGAAATATGGCAACCCTAGAATCGCACAACAAAAACAAACAGATGCATAGGTTTTTCTACACTGACTTAGCCAAGGACGTAACAGACTGGGAGGTGAAAATTCACACAATAAACCAAAGCAGAAGCTTCTGCCGTTGCCTGCTTACTCATAGTCATAGGCAAGTGACTTCAATGTAACTTACTCCTAAGCAAGGATGGCACCCTTTCTTTATATTAGTGACTACAAAGAAATAACAGCCAATCCGCCGGTCAACTATTATGTTAATTGCATTAAATGAAAAGTGTGGTTCTCAATAGCTAAATGGGCATGCCAGGAATATAGCGAAACTTCTCCTGCAAGTAAACATTGCATCCATAAGTTGCATATTTGTTTAAAAAGACTTGTTTTGAAAGATCAACATGATGAGCAGAACTTGAAAACCCTGAAAACCCGACACAGGTTGCTTTCAAACTGGAAGCCTGATATAACACTTGAGCCTAAACAGTGCTTAAGGAAAGAATATCCACTCCCAAGTGTACCCACACTAGGATTACATGAAAGGGCAAATTGAACACCCTCAGATCTAGCAGAGCTCTTTGGTTGACAGCAGACAGCTGGGTAGGCATCTGATTACCAGTCAAATCTGTCTTCGAAGCCCACACAGGATGTTTTCACCTAAAGTGAAAAAGAGGAGTCTTTCAGCTCCACAATCAATGACAGTTTCCACTAAGGTTAAGCTGAAACGGAACGGGCATTAAGGGGATGTGGGGTGTGTGAAAAGGAAAGCTGTAAAAATGGGTGTTTCTTCAACCCCCCCAAGATAAAAGTGATGTGCCCACTGTCTTGGGTGGAGTGGCTTGGAAGCCGTCTTTTCCAAACTTATCGAATTATCCCTGGATTGGGGAAATCCAAATTTACTGGGGGGAACAAGCAGGATAGCTGCTTTTGGAGTGAGACGTCATGCGGACAACACCACATTAATAGGAATGCAAACAGCATTGAAAGCACATCAAATGTAGGCGTGGACAAGCCCCATTTTTTACTTCTGTGCAAGCAACAATATCTTAGGAGGACTACATTATAGGTCTACTTCTGTGCAAATTGTGCAGTGAAAAGTGCACCTTCGGTGTAGTTTTACCCAGAAAGATCTGGGTTGGGGTTAATGTTTTGTTTGTTGATGTTTGCCACCATGTTAGCCCCAAACAGAAGGTTTTGTGCTCTTTGTACACTGTGCCTTGTTTACAGTACACACACAGTTCCTTCTCTTGTGATTAGTGACGGATGTCTTGCATCTGTTTTGAAACTGATTGTGCCAAATCTGCACACACCTGGCTGCTAGTCCCCTTCATCCCATACATTTACTGCGGGAATAGGGGAGGGGATGGACCGAGAGATTCAGAAGAATGTGATGACAATCAAAGTCGGGTGGGGGTGAGAGATAATTTTGAAAAGAAGCCTATTTGGTGGGAATTTTCGGGAACAGTGAAACATGCAGACTCAGATTTAAAAATATACAGTCCAAACCTCAGAGGAAGATGGAAGAGAACTCATGAGATAAAACCCAGGATGAAAGAAATTTCAGCACAAAATGCCCTTTGCTAACAAGTCATTTTGTAGCCAGGTTGATATGTCTCTGTTGTGGGCTACTATTGTTGATGCTGAAAAAGGAAAACCCAAATGGCATTACACTGCAATTCAGGGCGTGATAGATGCTGATTGCACAATGGAAAATCAGCATGTGTTGGCATGTCCTATAAGAAACGAAAGGCAGCCAAAATGAAATTTTCCTTATTGTGTCTAACTTGTTAATCGAGCAGCACAATTCTTGCTTTGAGTGGGAGGTCTTAGGTTCAGTACCCAAACCACTGTCCAAAGCAAGGGTTTGTTCACTGGTGTCGCTGGACAGGTGTCCCAGACCGAGCTTTCATTTTTTAAAAGTGAGGAGGGGGAGAAACAAGCCTTTAGCCAACCCCCCCCCACTGAAAGTTATGGAGCAAAAGGTGCAGGTCCACTCTAAGTGATTTCTGTGAAATGAGAATGAGTGTGTTGTGGCCACAACCTTGCATATTTTTGCTAGTGCTGGGGAATGCTTCCTGTTGCGATTAGACACCGACAGCATCAGTGTGTATGAAATCAATACCTTTTGATCTCCACATTCAGGGCCAGCAGGGTATAGCTGACACGCCATTTAAGGTGGTCTAAAGTGGCTGTCTCTCTAACGTTATGCCATGGTCCTTGTGGCAGCCAATTTGTGTTGTGCCATGCTGCCCCTTCACCATTGCAGCTATTTTGCGGTCACAACATTATGATGGAAGATTGGGAAAAATTATGGAAAACTGATTTAAAATTTACAGATTGTTCCCTATTGAAGGAGAACTACGTGAAGATGATGTATAGATGGTACACAACACCAGTGCAGTTAGGGAAAATGTACAAAACTAGTTCAAATATATGTTGAGAGTGTAAAGAAAAGGAAGTGATATTTTATCATATGTAGTGGGATTGTAATGTAATTTTAAAATTTTGGGAAATGATATACAATGAATTGAAGAAAATGTTCCATATAACATTTGTTTAAAAACCCAAGGCACTTTTGTTGGGGATTGTAGCGAAAGACCTGCCAAAAAAAGCTGAAGAACATCTTCATGTATGTGACAACGGCCACAAGAGTTCTGGTAGCACAAGGATGGAAGCCTGAAGAAACCCCAACTAAAGAATCATGGCAAGAAAAACTGATGGACTATGCAGAACTGGCAAAACTGACATATAAGCTACGGGACAAGGATAATTGTGACTTTAAGGATGAATGGGAACCCTTTACAAAGTATCTGAAGATGCAACAAAGCGAACTGGTCTCCTTGGCAGGTTTTGAATAAACATTCACAATCTTTTTATTGATAATAATCAGCTAAATAGTTTGAGGATCTATACAACTTTGTAACATGCAGAAAACAGCAGTCTCAGAGAAACCAAAGACTTGAACTGAGGGAAGTCGGGGGGTGGGGGCAGGTGGGTTTTGTGTGGGAGGGGGGAGGGAGGAAAAATGGGGGGGGGACAAGGATGATATGTTTTTGGATAATATGTCTTGTTTTAATTTTGAACAAAAAAACTAAAACTAAAACAAAAACCATTGCAGCTGTTTTGTGACTGGTGCCCCCAGCACTCTCTCAACATTTGAAATGTGCCCACTGGCCCAAAAAGTTTGGTGACCGCTATACTAGAGGAGCAATGGGACAAAGCTTGGGGACACTGCTCAGTGGCAGATCATCTACTTCATATGCAGAAGATGCCTGGCATCTCTAGACAGGGGACAGAAGGAGCCCTGGAGAATTGCTGCCTACCAGACAAAATGGTATTTACCTATGTGAACCAATTGTCTGATTCATATAAGGTAGCTTCTTATGTTCCTGTCTCTAGCTGAAGGTACATAGTTTTTTTAATGGTGGCGTGTGGAAATGAAGAAAAATCACAAATAGTTTTAAAAGATGCAGCATAATTTTCCGGAATCACTCCAATATCTCAAGGTATCAAGGTATTAGATTCCTGGGTTATCTGGCTGTTTATCTAGAAAGATGATTAACGATTCCAAGACGAGCCCCAGGAAGCTCGCTGTGTGTGTTCCTTCTTCCTGGGAGAGCAACAGCTCCCAGATAAGGAAAGAAGAGAATTGCTTGTAAACTCTTAGTTCAGCAGAATTCTTAAGCTGGATTTGCATACTCTCTGGTTTGAGGTGTCTGTTTGAAATCAGCAGATGGTTGCAATAGTTTTGGAAATGAGTCCCCAAGGATCTAACCTTCCCAGAGGCCCCTAAGGGCACCGGCTTGTATTCAATGACATTAGCAGGATAGGACCTAGAGCAGTGTTTTTGGGTCTCCAGCTTCTGTTGGAATACAGCTCCCATCATTCCTAGCAAGCAGGACCAGCGGCCAGGGATTGACCCATTCCAAGAGCACCGTACAGTGGCACACTGTGGGGCGGGCACAGGACTGTTTGCCCTGGGCGCAAAATTGTTAGGGGCACAACATTTCAGCACCAGGTGCTGCCTCAATACAACTGCACGCATCCATCGCTGGGCTTCATTGAAAACGGTTTCTCCATGCAAACCTGGAAGCCACCTCTCCAGACAACGGAACGACTCTTCTTATCTCTGCAGCTGCAATCTCCTGGATGACACAGACGCCTCTTATTTCAGATCATAAAGTCCTTTAAGCAGATCAGCTATACAGTACTCAATGTGAGACTTTAATGTTGTGTACTGTATAAGGTAGGGACGTGGATGGCACTGTGGGTTAAACCACTGAGCCTAGGACTTGCCGATCAGAAGGCTGGTGGTTCGAATCCCTGTGATGGGGTGAGCTTCTGTTGCTTAGTCCCTGCTCCTTCCAACCTAGCAGTTCAAGAGCACGTCAAAAGTGCAAGTAGATAAATAGGTACCGCTCCAGCGGGAAGGTAAACGGCGTTTCCGTGCACTGCTCTGGTTCGCCAGAAGCGGCTTAGTCATGCTGGCCACATGACCCAGAAGCTGTACACCGGCTCCCTCGGCCAACAAAGCGAGATGAGCGCCGCAACCCCAGCGTCGGTCACGACTGGACCTACCTTTACAGTTTAAGGTTGGGGGAAAAGAGAGGTGGGGAGAGAGAGTAAAGATGGGGGGTAGCAAACTTTCATTATTTTTATTTGGGCCTTTTATAAGCGAGATGTGGTTGTGGTTTTATGCACTTTGAACATTTTTTGTAGACAACGGTGCTGATTGTAGAAAGCTACTATGAACAAGTTTGTATAGTTCTGTGGCTTCAGCAGCACAGTACAAACAAGTTCTAAATGAATCCACAGCTCTGATGCTATGTTTACTCTCAAAGCCTTCTAAGTTGAGCTACGGCCAACCAGGAGTGTTCAGGAATGTATAAACCATGATGTGATATATTATACCCAGGCCTAAGAAGAATCTTCTGAGATGAGGCTGCAACATTTATAGGACTTTTGAAACAACAAGCTCTTGGGCCAAAGAATTGAATGCACCAGCATGATGCAACAAAGGAAAGATCTCTTCCATCTGCTGACCCCTACAAAATATTATCCCTAGGGAGCTGCCTAGAAGAGTTGCTTACTCAGAAGCCCTGGAACTAGTTCTGATCTAATAACTATCTGTTATGCTGACCTCATTTTCCCTGCAGCACACTTTCCATGCAACCGATTAGCAAAAGAGATGCATGATAACGAATGAGACTTTCAGGCCTTCCTCTTTTGATCCTCAATTATCATCCTCGACAGTCAGCGATAAATTGGGAGACGCTTTGTGCCGTGCCTGTCTTTGGACTAGAAGCAGGGAATGAATAATGGTAATCGGTCCCTGTTTTTAGTGCTTGCTTATTGTAACTTTGCACCCTGTCGTGAATTAGAAACGGGAGGTGGGATCCTTCAAAAGAAAACATGCATTTTCTCCACACCCCTCCAGCTGAGGCCTGTATTTGCCTCAGGGCCATCACTCTTGAAAACAAAACATGACATGTTGAAGGAGAGGCGTCGTCAAAAAACATCTACTTCTTCTGAGAGTAGAATCAAATCTGTAATGTAAGCAGTGAGTACAAAGATACAGGATGTCATAGCAGCATCAGGTAATGTGCTAAAGAAGTTTCATTGAATACATGTGTAGGTACAAAAAGCAGATATGTTAATCAGTCACAGTGCCATGAAACTACCATCTTAAGGCAAATCTATCCATTTGACAAGTGCTTAGGGAAACACTGATTCAGCTAGCACAAAAGGCCTTGGTTTCGTACATACAAGTATGAGCGTGTTAAATAGTACACCCATGTACACATGCTAAGGAAATCATAATTTGACAAGATTTCAAAATCCATCTAAAGTGATGTTTAAAAATGATGTCCACAGGTATTTGCTGGAAATGTAAAGAAAAAGGAGGAACTTTGTATCATATGTGGTGAACTTGCAAATTAGTAAAGGACTTCTGGGAAATGATATATAATGAAATGGGGGGGGGGGGAATGATGAAGGTATCTTTTAAGAAGAAGCCGGAAGCCCTTTTTATAGGAATAATAGGGGAGGAGATTCCAAAAGATCAAAAAAACTTATTTATGTATGCTACGACAGTAGAACGGATGTTATATGCCCAGAAGTGGATGGAAGGAGTAACTCTGACAAAAGAGGAATGGCAGATGAAACTGTGGGAATATGCTGAACTGGCTGATTTAACAAGCAGAATTCGAGACCAAGAGAAGGAGATGTTTAAGAAAGAATGGGAGAAATTTGTGGAATATATGAAGAATTATTGTAAACATCTTAAAACGCTAGCAGGACTAGAATAATCAGAGCAGAGAAACGAAATAAGGCTGAAGGTGAATATAAAATGGTAAAAGAGCAGTTGAATAAGGGAAACTTTAATGAACCATGGAAGGTGGGGAAGTCGAGGATAATGAGATTACTTTAATAAATCTGTATTTGTTGTAAAATTGAAAAATTTAAATAAAATGTGGGGGGAAAGATGTCCACAGGTATGATGATCATACATGTATGCTATGTGTTCACTAAAGGAAACGCTGGTTTAACATCAGTATAGTAAAGTATGAAGTTTCCATCAGTAAATTGGAAGGGAATCGTACTGTAAATGTAGGGTATAAATTTCCCTCCTTACCCGTTTTGGTTAAGGTTGTAAATGTGCCCCAAATGGATTAAACGGGCATATATAGATAAACAATGCAAACTAGTAACTTTGGTAAGCTTATTTGTAAGGTTGACATTTTGCAAATCAGTAACTTTGGTAAGTTTATTTGTATTCTGCATGCATTGCCATTTTCAGTTAGCAATAAAATTGCATCTTGAATGGAATTCCACAAAGTAGCTGCTTAAATAGGCTTTGGTACCTAATTGTAATGTTTGTGACAGATTTGACCTCACAATGCTGCGTGCAACGGCAATGCGTCTTCTCTGCAAGATTATTCTAATCTGCATGCATCCTGGTGTATTTATAGCCAATATCATCTCCTTGCAGAACCCTTCAGTCAGGTGGCAATTTCTATATATAGCTGAACTGTATATTAGTCCACCCTAGGGCAGGAGTTCTGATTTCAGATTTACAATACAGTACAGCAAACTTTTCAGTTGTCGGCTCTGATAAACGACATTTATTTTACCCTGTGTACTATGTCTGTCTTTATATTATTCAAAAGTTTTGCCTTGAGTACCTCAAGTGGATCTGGGCAATTGCTAAATAAAATAAAATAAAATAAAATAAAATAAAATAAAATAAAATAAAACCCAAACACACCAATAGCCCAAATCATTTCAAACTTACTAAAGTCCTATTCTGTAGACAATGGCTATAAGCATTAGCATTACAAGATCTTTCTCTTCAAATTCATGCGCAAACATTTTGAGATTATTTGAGCCACTTAAAAGGAGAACTATCTATCACATGTACGTTTCTTATTTCACAATGATCCAGAGATTGTACCTGAGGGAAGCAAATGTTGCATATAAAACTTTGGGGGTGCAAGAAAGTTGACCCTTGTGAAGTACAGTGGACTGCTGTAACTTTAAAAAAGGACAAAAGAAACATATAGGAGGGAAGGACGTGGGAAAGAAACATCACAATTACATCTAAATACTGATGTCTTGCGCTTTGTTTCTGTACAGCTACCACCACAACAAACACTTCTAAGGTTACAGAACTTGTCCTGCCTGGAAGATTCCTGAGAAAATCCGAATGAACTGTATACGGTACATTCGTCTGAGAAAAGGAAGTCCTTCATAAAGATGTTTGCAATTTTATTTATTTATTTAAAAAAGAAGCCGTACTGATTTCCCTGCTGCAGAGTAGGTTTTCTGTCTGTATTAGAAATACTTTTTTTTTTTTTAAGAGAAACATGTGTATTTGTTGAGGTTGCTGTATCACGTACACATTTGGAAAGATTTAGATTTTTTTAAAAGATCAGGAAGAGTTTTCCTTTTTGGCATACCTCTGAACTGTGTATCATTATGGGAGAAATATGGGAATTGCTAAAGCAAACATATAGGGCAGCCACTTAAGCAGAAGAAGAAACAATGTTTGAGCTCCCTCTGGTGGGACCACAGAAGGAAATACGTAAAATAAACTCTGGTCACTGACAGACTGCCAGTTGTTTTACAGGAGGGAATCAATGCCTTACCAGAAATTCAGGTTTGTGCAATTAAAGAGAACTAAAATGCTGTATTGTTCTGGCCCAACAAATCCACTTGTAAAGGAAAAGAGAGAGGTCACTTTGGGGTTAGAAAAGGAATGAGGAAATGCACTTTGAAATGTGGCACAAATAGCCAATTAACCAGTACTTTTTTTCTGGAGGTATTCAAGGGTAAGCAGTACCAGCACCCATTTTCCCCCTAGAAAAAAAAACCAGTGGTTAAAAGCGTGGTGCTTCCTGTAACAACATCATGGTTAGTAAGCGGAACTCTTTTTTTCCTGGAAGAAAAGCGCAATGTTTAACTACTGTGTAAGCACATCAGGCGGGACACGGGTGGCGCTGTGGCTTAAACCACAGAGCCTAGGACTTGCCGATCAGAAGGTCGGCGGCTCGAATCCCCGTGACGGGGTGAGCTCCTGTTGCTCGGTCCCTGCTCCTGCCAACCTAGCAGTTCGAAAGCACGTCAAAGTGCAAGTACCGCTCCGGCGGGAAGGCAAACGGCGTTTCCGTGTGCTGTTCTGGTTCGCCAGAAGCGGCTTAGTCATACAAGCCACATGACCCGGAAGCTGTACGCCGGCTCCCTCGGCCAATAAAGCGAGATGAGCGCGGCAACCCCAGAGTCGGTCACAACTGGACCTAATGGTCAGGGGTGTACCTTTACCTTTTTATGGTATAGAAACAGAGTCAGATTTAGGGCAGCGTGACTGGTTTCTCCACGCCAGGGGGCTGCAGTTAGGACATGGTGCATGCGCAGAACAGAGAGAGAGGTGGAGAGGGAGCACCAAATTTTGGGCTTGCGCAGGGAGCCGCTGAAAAACCAAAGTCCACCCTGGTTGAAACTATACCCGCTTATTCAAACAAGGCTAAGTGGCAAGAAAACAGTCTCCTTTTCACCATATTGAAAATTATCTTTGCAGCGGGGGCCCTCGGACCTTCCCGCTGCCGTGACAGGCCTTGCGGTCTCCTTGGAGCATGTGACGCCTCACGTTCTCAACCCTTCTGAAAAATAGTTAGGTGGAGCCAGGTGCCTGTGCGCCCCCCCCCAACTCAAAATAGTATTATTATGCCCATAGTACTGACGGAGAACTGAGGCAAAGCCGTCCCTTGCCTAAAGCCACCTCATGAGTTCATGGAAGGGGCAAGATTTGAATGGAGGATTTGCCGATTCGTAACTCCAATCCAACCACTTACCTGGGACTTCTGAACGGACATGCGCAGGATTGTGGTGGCAGTGTCCTTGCCACTTTGAGAGCTAGGGTGTCACAAACAAGGAAACAGGCAGGGAACAGGGAGCACAAGAACATAGAGATGAGCCCAGCGGATCGGACCAAAAGCCCAGCATCCTGTTTTCAAAGTGGCCAGCCAGATAACTGTGGGAAGCCATGCCACTTCCAAACATGGCACCCAACTAAGACACTAGTCCGCATGAAGCAAGCACAGAAGACAGTAGGCTTACATTGTCGAGTTTCCTTTTGCTGACTCTAATTCGCAACAAGAAGCAGAGGTGAAATTTGTCAAACCGAAGCATTTTTAAAAGTTTAGAAATGTTCAAATGTGTACATTCTTATTTTATGTAAGTATATGAGCATTGCTGTGGAGGTCCATTTTCTAGGAACAGGATTTCCGACGGTCCCCCCCCCAAAAAAAACCTACCCAGAATGCCAATATCAACATTCCGATATTTGGAATTAACCGTTTCCCCTCCAGTCTTGAACCTGAAATATTGAGATTTCCATTTGGATTTTCTCGTTCATTTCCCCCCACATTCCCATCTTACAAAAAGACAACTGCTTTCTAACTCCATGTATATGTACAACACATTGATATCCTTACATTGCAGTGTTTTCCCCGGACGCCTGCTGTTTTTACTCCGGGGGTGCACTATTCTCCTCCTCTGTAAAAAAACGATCTATTCGAATGAGGGAAGATGCAGTACCTGAGATCCATTCTGCCCGTTTCCTACGCCAGATGGTGAAATTCCCCTTGTGTCAATTTCCATACTTCATGGGCACACAAAATCAGGCCCACAGACCGTAGTGTCAAATCTCATTTTTCGCACGACAGCCATGGGCTTGACAGGCTCATCCCGATGTCACCAAGTTCCATGCACGGTCATTCCATTCTACAAACAATTGTTTAACAGCCAAGAGTCTCCGTGTTGCTAAGGATATTGATGCATTCCAGGAACATGGAGAATTTCAGCCTGAGATCCTCAGTTCAGGTCCATTCGCGGTATGTAGCATTTTACGGCTTAAATCCTCAGAGGATTTGTCGCACTACAGGATTTTAACGGCTTCACATTTGACTGCTGTAGTCACATGACGGAATTCGTTTCTATTTCTGCTGTGTTCAGGAGGAGGACAAAACTATTTATAATATTTATTATACAGGATTGATGACCATAATTGATACTCCCATGAACACGGAAGCAGTTAGCTGCTTGGAGGCACTTGGAATACAGAAATAGCCAAATGGGGAATGGTAAAGAAGGCCAAAAACTTCTATCCTCAAAACGGTCCCTTCCTTTCCTTTTAAATTAGCAGCCACAAATTGCATATGCCATAAAGTCTTGGGCCCTCATACCCAAGATTTATTGAATCATCAGACAAGACTAGCATTCTCAGGATGCTTTACATGTGATAGGCCACATATATCTCATAAAACATGAACAGGAATGCAGCTACGGTCGTACAACACTACATCCAGCATGAAAATGTTCTATCATAAAGCATGGAGAGTTACAAGTGCTGCTGTTCCTCCAGTCCCGAGTCCAGCTAAATCATGAAGTTAATTCTTCATTTGTAGCCTTATGAGGCTTTGCCCTCGGGTTGGAAAAATATTGCGCCCGGGAAAGGGAGATGGGAGTCAACAGACACTCAAGGAATAGTTTAGGAGAAAAAGCTTTATTTCTACCATCCATGAACTGGTAGAAGGAGCAAGTGTGATAGCTCACAAACAAGCACGGGTTCACAGTCATTTGCACAGAGCATATATTCCCCTTCTAGTTCCCTCCCCTTTCTCCTCCTCTTCAGAGTCCTGCCCCATGTTGAGGTTCCTGAGCATGAACAGAAAGCTCCTGTCTTGGGACTCTTGGACTCTTGGCACCCTTCCCAGGAAAGGGAGGGTGAGAGCGGTTCAGCATGTCCAAGGTGTGTTGCAACTGAATGAGATAAAAGTCAGTTCTCAGGCTTGCTTTGAACAGAGCCTATTCATTAGCTTTTTGAAGCCTTCTTGTGCTGATAAAAGTAACATTTTTGCCTATGGACAACATCTTGAGAGAAAAGCAGAAGAAAGCTTTAGCTGTGGATTTTTAGAAGACAAAAGGAATTTTGGACAGTTTTGAGGCCTGGTTGGGGGGGGTGACTTCGGGCCTAGGTGGGGTCACCTGTCCTCACCTCCTTCACATTTTGTAATTACATCACTAATACAGTTTGTTATTCCATATTAGTATATTCAAACCCACTTAATGGCAGCGAGACACACTTTAATACACTCCCCACAGCCTGCTATATTCAGTGTTAGGGTAGGCAAAAATGGGCAAAATAGCTGTTTCCCCAGTGAATATTTATGAATAGAGTTTCCAGTCTACTTTAGCAACTGAGTGCTGAGTTTGTGGTATAATAAGAGCTTTGCAAACTTTTCCTGAAAATGATTCCTGCAGGGTTTGGCAGTACTTACTGCCAAGTAACTGGGGTGAGCAAGAGGAGAAAAGAAGCATAAGGCATCAGGACATGTTCCAAAGGCGCAGCTTAGTCATACGCCAGACGCAGGAGAGTCTTGCAGAACGCGGAAAGGCAGGCCCATTGTGGCAGAATGGGCTCATTCCAGGCACACAAGCACATTTATATAGAGGGTGGAAATTCCAAACCCTCCAACATTTCTCCAATGAAAATAGGTACATCTTATTCAATAATAATAATAATAATTTTATTATTTATTCCAAGCCCTCCCAAGACTGGGGTGGAATCTACACACATATAAAAAAACGCTGTAAAAATGCTTTTAAAAAAATGTTTTGAAAAACACACTTGAATTTTGCAGAGTTCACTGTCGCCATCTAGCATCACATTTGTATATTGCACTTTAAAACACATTTAAAACGTTTTATTTGCAGCTGTGTAAGTTGCTGCAGCCACTCTGGGCAGCTTTCAACATATAAAAAGCATAATAAAAATAAAACACTAAAAAACTTCTCTCTACACAGGGCTGCCTTCAGATGTCTTCTGAAGGTTGTATAATTATTTATCTCCTCGGCTCGGGATTGCATATATTGTAACTCCATACCCTCCGACGGGCCACGCCCCCACGCTTTTGAAGGCGATCCCGGCCCTTCAAACCAGCCGGGGATGCGCGCGCAGCCTCCTCCGGCTAGTGACGCCCCGCCCCGCCGTGCGCCTGCGCGCTAGCTCGCTCTCCCCGCCTCCCGCTTTCCCCGCGCGTTGCGCCCCCTCGCGAGGTTTCCGCAAGCCTCGCGACGCTTCCCCGCCGCCATCTTAGTTGTTCCTTGCGCGAAAAGAAGACGAGGAAAGGAAAGGAAGGGGCGGGAAAAGGGGGGGTGGAAATAAGAAAGAAAGGAGAGAGGCATTAGCTGAGGCCGCGTCTGCATAAGCATTCCGGGGTCAGAGTCAGGGCCGGGGAGGCTGCCTGGCCGCCTGCCGTTGCCCCTTTCCTTGGCTCGGGCCTCTCTCTCGGCGTCCCCTCAGGCCCGGGGCCCTCGCCGCCAAGCCCTCGTCACCGCTGCCTGAGGAGGCGGGGCTCGGGCCGGCTCTGGATGGTGGCGAGAATGATCATAGAAAACTTCGAGGCGCTGAAATCGTGGCTCAGCAAGACCTTGGCCCCCATGTGAGTAGTAGGGAGCGTGGGGAACGTCTGAACGCGCGCGCACACGTGTATTCAGGGCGCCTTCATTCTGCATATGCGTGTGCGGAGGTGCATAAATGCGCACCCGCCCGCGTGGAGCCTCTGCAAGCGGGGGTTACAAAAATGGACCCATAGTGTCACTGGGGTGGGGGTGGGGGTGTCTGGTGTGCAGAAACCTGACGACTTCTTCCTCCCTTGCATCCAGTTCAGTGGTTCCCAATCGCGACGCGTGACTACGTTGCAAGGTTTGGCTGGGGATGTTGAAAAGCGGGGTCGCCTAGCCCTAACACACCCCTGTCCCGTCCCCCCCTAACCATGAACACCTTATGCCATTCAGTGTCTGAACAGCTTCGAGACGTGAAGCTCTGTTACTGTACCTCAGAAGCAAACTGGAATGCCAGTGTTAGAAACCGAGATGGGAAAGCTAGGAGCCCTGTGGCACCTTAAACCTAGGTTATGGGCTCCACGGTGTGCTTTTTTTTATGTTGATTTTGCACATGGTCTGGTCCTCCCTAATACAGTGGTACCTCGGGTTACATACGCTTCAGGTTACAGACGCCACTAAACCAGAAACAGTACCTTGGGTTAAGAACTTTGCTTCAGAATGAGAACAGAAATCACGTGGCGGCAGCAGGAGGCCCCATTAGCTAAAGTGATGCTTCAGGTTAAGAACAGTTTCAGATTAAGAACGGACCTCCAGAATGAATTAAGTGTTTAACCCGAGGTACCACTGTACTCTTAAGAGGGCCTCTTCTGCAGTCTTCGGAGAGCAGCTGGAAGTGGGGAGGCAGAAAAAGGTCCTCCTTTCCTTCCACTCTGCATTTTTAAGCAGAAATCTCAGGTGTTGTACTCCGCCCAGAGCTCAGAAACGGCTCACGCTAATAATTTCCCTGTCACAGAACACGCCTCGAATAATGGGAGTTTCGAACGCTGGGTGTAGGCAATTTAAAAGTAGCACACGTCTTCTGTTCAAAGCTATTGCAGTGCACTACCCAAACAGAAAGTGACAGCCTTAAAGGCTGTTTGTGGTTAGCAAGAAAACCATCATCACCTTATGATTATTGAATCATAAAAAGTTTCAAACACTGTTCCCAATTAGGGGTCCAGGGACCCCTGGGGGTCCACAGAACCTATCCCGGGGGTCTGCAACTCCATCCCTTGCTTCTCCCTTAAATAAATTTCTGCATGGTAATATCACAAATTTTATCGTCTGTTTTTTTAGCGTACCTAAAATCGTTTGCTTATTAGGGGCTGCTCCACATTTTGTTTAAAAAATTGCCTTGCAGAGGTAGCTACCATAGAGTTAACAAAATTTCCCATGGCTTGGATTTTGAAAAATAGGGGGTCTTCAGTAATTAGCTGATTGGGAACCACTGATCTAGTTCACTCTGCTAAGGTGTGTTTCTTTTTTGTCTTTGGCGGGGTCGAGGAGGGGGGAACATTGTGTATGGAGGTGCTTTCAGCTCACGACAGCCCCCATACCTGCAGCCTGTAGTGGTACAACTCAAAACAAAAGTTGGAAATTAGCCCCCATAGGTATTGCTGCCTCAAAGTTTGTGGAAGGGCACTGCTGCGCAAGAGGATGGGTGACTTGACCTTCCCTTGCTGTATTTGTTGTGAAAGTTTGCTGTGCTTAACTGATCTGCACCTGTGGGTTATGTATGCATACACCTTGATCTGGTACACCTGACTCTTACATATGTATGTTTCAGACTTTATAGTGTGAATAACTGATGCTGTATAGAATTATACCGCCATCATATTGGATGATGTACAGTTTCCTTATGAGAAAGCACACTTAATTTACAAATGCTTTATGCACTTCTGTAATAAAGTCGTATGCTTCACAGTTCCTTGTGAGCAAGGAATTAAAGGGTAAAAGTTCAGTTGCAAGAAATTTTCGAAATGTCAACTGTCGTTCTTGCCTGTTTGAGACTCTTGCCTAATAATGTATTAAATTGAATTGTTGGTTCACTCTTTGGTGCTTTGAATTGAATTGTTGACACCAAAGTTTGAGAATGCAGTGTGTTTTTAACAGATGTTTATTCTTGCCAGCTATTTCCGGGCTACCACCAATTCAAAGGGTTTGCACTGTGCAGCTGATATGTAGAAAAACATGCAGGAATTGTGATTTGTGGCAAAGCAGGGTGTTGGTACAGTGGAAATACTCCTGGGATGAAGAATCAGTAATTCTTTTAACATAACAAAACATCATTTTAATATAATTTACTGCATAAAAGCAGAATGGACAAAACACGATAAGAAAATTTAATGACTGTGCTACTCCTTTGCATTGTCTAAGAAGTTGAACACTGTAAGTTGATTTCTGGGCGCGCAACTACATTTTGGGATTATAGAATTGTAGAGTTGGAAGGTACCCCAAAGGTCATTTATTCCAATCGTCTGCAATGCAGGACTCTCTTGCCCAATAAGGGCTCAAACCCACAACCCTGAGAATAACAATCTTATGCTGTGTGCAGATTAAGCCTCCATAACCAGCGTGATAAGAAATGGTATGAAGAGTTATCATTGGTTCTCAGTTTGTCCAGTTTTTGGTCACACCAGGGATTCTTGTTTCAAATGCAGAAGTAGGGACTTTGTACAGAAATCATTACATTCTTTGCAAGAGCTGATTTGTTTGGCTGAGGATAGTGAACCCTGGATGGAAATGCAGTAAGAGCCTTTTTAACACAAAGGTCCTGGAAGGAGCAGATGACCAGTTAGATTCTAAAGGTGTCATTTTGGGTGCCAAATAAGTACAGTGGTACTTCTGGTTACGTACTTAATTCATTCCGGAGGTCCATTCTTAACCTGAAGCACCGCTTTAGCTAATGGGGCCTCCTGCTGCTGCCGTGCCACCGCCATGTGATTTCTGTTTTCATCCTGAAGCAAAGGTCTTAACCCGAGGTACTATTTCTGGGTTAGCGGAGTCTGTAACCTGAAGTGTATGTAACCTGAAGCGTATGTAACCCAAGGTACCACTGTACTGAAAATGCAAGACGATTCTTTAACTGTGGTGCCCAATGAAGTGTGCTGTGTGTGGAAACATTCATGTGTATATGTTCAAACAAGGGGAAATCTTGAAATCCTTGGTCAGATATGTATATTTTTGTGCAGTTTTGCAGTTAGGTTTCTGGAGTGGTTGGTCATCTGCTACATCTTGTTTGTAAAAGCGGCACCGCATTGTGGTTGCTCTCTGCCTTAAGAACAGAAGAGATAGGACACATGTAGCCGCTTCATAAAATGGGAAGGGCTGCAGCTCAGAAGTAGAACATTTTCTTTGCAAGGAGGTTCAATCCCTGGCAACTCCAGGTAGGGCTAAGAGAAATTCCTGCTAGAAACCCTGGAGAACCATTGTCGGTCTAGACCAGGGGTTCACAAACTGTGGTCCACAAACATCATTCCGGTGTTCCACAGTGTGCCTGTAAATTCTGTGGAATTCTATGGACTTCAACTTTTATCAGTGTTGGATAAGAAATAAAAGAAGCAGTTAAAATGCAAATAGAAATCACACATCATTTCACATAGTGCATTACAATAGCTACAATAGGCGCGCGGGGGGTGGGAAATCATTAAGTGGCCCTTCAAGAGTCTAATTTTCAAACGGTTCATAGAGGGGAAAGTGTTAGGGAATCACGGGTCTAGATAATACTGAGCTGCTTTGACTAAGTGTATGGTTGTTTTCTATATTGCTTAGTACTTTTCTGTTAATTGTGGAGCTGGGAAATGCAGCACTGCTGCTGATGCAGTCCTAGTGCCCTGTTGTCTAGCCTTCTTAACAAGCAAAAAGTCTTATCTAGGTAGAGTTGAGGGAATCAATACAACCATTGTAGCATTTCACTATTTACCTACTTGGGGCAGAGTAGCATAGTGCAGCAATAGCTGCTTGGGCAGGTTCACCTTGAACTTTCGGGTGATCTTCGGAAACGATTATTACCAGCCCTAAGTGAGTAGCAAATTGCATAGCTACATTTGCAGGTAATAGTAGCACACCATGGAGAAAGATTCTAGTTCAGCCTTGTTCTTGTTGCACTGGATGGGCACACTTTTTTTTTCCACACCAGAGAGCTTTAAAAAATGTGATTCTTCCATCGTCTGAAGTGAGATGGTGTGTTCTGCCATTTCCATTCCCATCTTATTCCTATTCCCATTCCCATTCCCTGCATGTCTGGACCAGGCTATTCTTTGCAGATAAATATGTGGCTAAGGAAAACATTGACTTGGAATCCTTTTTTTTTTATATATCACTTTTTGATACCAAACATGGAGACTTCTTTGCAATCAGTCTCTCCAAGAAACATGCATAAACTTTTCTTTCATATGGCTACCGATGCCACTTCAAATATGGTAGATTTTCTTAATGGAGAATCTATCTGATAAAAGATGAGTATCCTCATAAGACAGCAGTCTTGTGAACACAATAAGTAAATATGGAATGGTTATTGTGAAAATAGGTTTTGATTATTATTCTGAACAGTCTTTCTCCCTGTTTTCCTTGTTAATATACTTGTCTCCTAGTTTAAAAGCATCCCTGGAGGTACTGTCCGTGTAGACTGGGCAAACACTTTCAGTCATTGTTGTTGCCGTGTTGATTCACTGCAGTGCTCCCTGGAGTTTTCAATCATATTTATTTCTCATTTGAACTACTTGATTTGGCTTTTTCAGGATATTCAAGCTATTGCCCTTTAGTTCTCTTGGAATGATACTTTTTGCACAAGTTTACTATTTTCTAACTCAGGTTATTTTGGGAAATCATGGTTAAACATTTGTATTGTACAGAGACATTGTAGAAGCATAGGCTCATTAAAATGGAAAGTGTTCCTTCTGCTTGTTAAATGCCCTGGGATTTTGTTGCTGTAATTCATTATGACGGGAATACAATCAAGGAGATGGTTTAAATGTAGTTCATGGTTTTATTATTACTTTGGTTTCCCATCTTTTATATTACCGTAAATAAGCAGTGTGTAGGAGAAATCTTTGGGCAGGAGGAGGAAGGGGCAGCATTGAGAGGCCTGCAAGTCCCCACAAGGAGGCAAAGCCTCAAAATGATGCAGACATTTATTGGAACAGTAAACTGAAATGCATTGTATACATTTCTGAGGCAAAGAAATTTCTATTCCATTTACGTTGCCTGAATAAATGGTAAAATGGCTTGACTGAATCGTCACAATGTGGAATAGAAATCTTTTTCTTGAAGGAGATCACTTATTTACTTGAATCTAATACGCCATTTAATCTAATGCACACCTCACTTTTCAGAACCTTGAAACCGAAAAAGTATTTGCTGGTGAATGTAAATGTGCCATAGAATCTAATGCACACCTTAATTTTCGCAACGTCATTTGGCAAAAAAAGGTGATCATTAGATTCGAGTAAATCCAGCATGATGGACATACTTTATTTTGTAATGAATTTCTGCACTTGCCTGTTTTGGGACTTAAAGTCCTCCTTTCTTTTTTAACTTCCAGAGAGGATTTGTTTTCTTCCTATATTCTAAAAGTTTTTGGTCTCCTGTTTTCTTAGATTTTCTCACATTTTTCATGTCATTTAGATTCTTTATATATAGTTCATAGTTTAATATATGAGCAAGTTGCATGGATGACCCATTCATTTTGCTCCCAGGGAACAGCACTAAAAACTGTTGTGTTTGGAAAATATGATGTTGCAGGTAAGCTACTAGTAGTTGGATTTGTTCTTTGCTGTTTGCACCACTTTTATATAATGTTATCCAAAAGAATACAAAGATAAAGTGTGTACAATTGAATGTTGCTGAGTGGGCAGAGTTTGTAGCTCAGAACTGGGGTATACATTTATAACTTTCATTAGGCTTCTGGAAATATTTGCTCAGATGGCTAAACAAATTATGATGCTATGCCGTATTGGCGACAAGATTCTTGTCAACAAGTCAATTAAAAATGGTAAATGTTGTATGTAAATAGTTCAAATGAGTTTGTGAGCTATATAAAAACTGGAAGAATGTCTGTAACTGACAAGAGAGTTAAACTTCCATTTTTTAAATGACTTCTTTTTTAAAGGTTTTTAATCTTGTACCGTGTAATTGTGTAAACTCTCCAGCCTCGAAAGGTTTGCTGAGTAACTGCAAAATACAGTGATTTTTAACAAGTCTGTGTTGCAGTCTAGCGTGGTTTTGAAACATTTGAAGCAGATGTAAGCTTCTGAACTTGATGCATCCAGGGGAATCATGACACGGGAAGCTTCATATGGTAAAGGTTTTAAAGGGTACACAACAAGGGACATCATCATGGCAACCAGCCCCTACAAGGTCTTTTGTTATCATTCCAGCACCATTGTTGGCTCACCTTCCTCTTTACTCGACATGATTTTCATGCTTGAGTCAGACTGTTGAATTTCTGAGAAGCCCACATACTTTTATTTATCTTTATGATTTCCTATGTACCCTTCATTGTAAGGTCCCAGGATGGGTTACAACAATAAAATGCAAAATTATGAAAACAGATAAAGCAATTGCAATGGTAATGTATGTAAACTGTTCCAAACAGAAGAGAACAATGTAAATTCAACAGAGGAGGTGGTTTCCAGAAGATAAAACAGTAGAACAGACTCCCATGAGAGGTGGTGGAGTCTGCTTCCTTGGAGGCTTTTATGCAGAGGTTGGTTGGCCATCTGTCATGTATGATTTAGTTGAGAGTCCAGCATTGCTGGGGTTGGACTAAATGACCCTTGGGTCCCTTCCAGCTCTACAATTCAATGATTCTATGAAACATTAATTCAGTGGCCATGTACTGTGCAGAATATATAGTAGATGTATGAATTCCTGAAATGCTTAGAAATTTTAATGTAATGCTGGTAGGGGACCTTTCACTGATAACTTTTAAATTTTAAGACAAAGGTTTTCAACCTTTTTGAGTCCACAGCTCCCTTGACCAACTCCATTTTTCTGCTGCACCCCTGTGGCGCTCAGGAGCCCAGTTATGTCACCCCTTTCTCGCAGAACTGGCAGCCTCTTACCCTTTTTTGAACACCCTCCCTTGTGGAGTGTTTCCTCAACCTCCTCTTACCTGTCCTTGGGAGTCCTCCAGGCAGTCGCAACTGCCACCCCTGGTCTCTGAGCTCCCCCCCATGCCCCAAAGAGAGGTGCCTCCTCACACTGCCTCACAGGGGCCTGGGAAGAGGATGCCCCCAGCCTTGGTGGCCCAACGGAGACTGGCCAGAGGTGAACATGAGGCCAGCACCTTACTCACTTTGGGAGGCAGCAATAGCAGCAGCGGGTGCTGCTGGATATGTGTGGTGGAAAGGCTCCCTTTCAGAACCAGACACTCAACTCCTCGGCAGGCCTTGCACACAGCAAGCACAAGAAAGGCAGAACCGTGCCTGCCTGCCAGGCCTCCCACTTGTCTGTCCATTCCCACCAGCAAGGACCTGGCAGACTGGCTGGCTGAGCTCCCTTGCCCACTTGCTTGCTTGCTTGCTTCCTCAGCTCCTGGCAACCAGCACCCCCTGAACAATCCCTGAGACACCATTTGCCTGGGGAGCTTGTAGCCAGGACTGCTGCAACAAACAGCTGTGCAAGCCCTTGGGAGGCAGACACATGAGAGGGCATCAGAGGAGGGAGGGGAGGAAAGAGGGACTGAGGCCAGTGTTGCCTGTGGCACATCTGACCTTCTTTCAAGGCACCCAGGGTGCCACGGCACACTGGTTGAAAACCACTAAGGTATCCTATACCATATTTCACAAGCCTCAGTTACTTGGTAATCAATCACTGTATTATTATTATTATTTTTAAGTGCCTCAAAATGGTGGGTTGTAGCCAGCTAAGTTCTATTGGTAGACCCATTGAAATTTAATGTACTTATTAATTTCAGTGGTTCTATTCTCAGTACAACAACAACAACAACAAATTATATTATTTGTATGCCGCCCATCTGATTGGGTTGTCCCACCACTCTGGGTGGCAAGATACACCTTGTATCTTGTTTTTAAGAATGCAAGTGCTTATGTTTAATATTATGTTCGGTGTTTTTTCTAATCTCTGTGCAAGTGACCGACTGTTTTGTCTTGAAGAACATGATGGATAAGGAATATTTAAAATAGTGTAAAGTTAATTTTTAATTTAAAAGAACATCCAGTCTTGCAAAGACTGTTGATGCTTTCAGGTGTTCCCAGTTTCCTTGAACCATCTCTTTAAGGCTACTTTGATCATGACGGTCAGAGAACATTACTTGTTTAGATGGAATATCACACTCCTCCACTGAGAGACTGAGATTAGTCTCCTTTAGATAGATGCACAATGATGAAACAAGTTAGTAAAGTTTCAGCTGAACCCTATGCCAGCCGTGTATCACACCTACATCTTAAGGATACTCTAGTTGGATAAGTAAATTTGAAGATGCCGCGTATGAGCATATTGAAAAGCCTAGATCCCCCTTTAACTGGAACTCTAAAGCAATTTGGTGGTAAACATGTGGAATGTTATTGACCCTGCCCTGATACCATTTGTGGTGGTGTTAAAGGAAGTGAATGTCTTGGGATCATGTTGACTTCTTGGACTTTTGTGCAGCTTTTATGGTTTCTCAGTTACTACAGTAGTGGCAGAATTGACATCAAAAGTTGTAAAAGTAAAAACCTTGATTTTTCCATAATTTAATCCTCACAGAAACAACCTATGGCAATTTATACATCACCATAGTGCTTTTTAAAATAGAACTGTATTATAACAAGCTAAATAGAAGAAGAAGAAGAGTTTGGATTTGATATCCCGCCTTTCACTCCCTTTAAGGAGTCTCAAAGCGGCTAACATTCTCCTTTCCCTTCCTCCCCCACAACAAACACTCTGTGGGGTTAGTGGGGCTGAGAGACTTCAAAGAAGTGTGACTGGCCCAAGGTCACCCAGCAGCTGCATGTGGAGGAGCGGAGACGCAAACCCGGTTCCCCAGATTACAAGACTACCGCTCTTAACCACTACACCACACTACACCACACTGGCTCTCTAAATACATACAGATATCAATATTTAACAGTATTCCACAACCTTTCATCATTGAGGACTATTTGCAACATTGAATTGTGGAAGAACCCAAAAGTTTTATGAATGCTTTTTCAGTGCTGTTGGGGTGCATTTAACCCCACTTGTCAACGGATGGTTAAGAAATAAGTGACAATGTGATTGTCCTTGAGCCAACTTTTGGTTAGCCATGAAATGCTTTTATGTTTATTATTAGCCGGTTCTCTTTTTCTCTGTGTGATATCTCATCAGCTAATTACATATAGTCTGCAGAATAGTAACTAATGGCTAGAAGCCCAGTAATTATCATTGATAAAATGAACATCACAATGATAAAACTATTCCATTGAAAATTCACCCACCATTTTTTAAAGAAGTAAGAACAGCAGAGGCCACAATTCCTTTACTAACTAGCAAAATGTTACAGGCGGTGACCATATTGCGTGGGGTTTCTGTTCTTGCCCCCCCCCCGCCAGTACATTAGCCAGTCCTGTTCTGCCTCGCCCCCATTTCACTTCCAAAAGCTCCCAAGTGTTGGCAGTTACACATCAGCTGAACGCTCCTAAAATGGTCATTCCTGTATTTTAATGATTGGGGCAAAGGGGATTTAATACTTTGCAGAAAGCCTGGCTGAAGGGTACACAATGCCCAGCATTTTGGGTCAACCTTACACATTTTGACCCTGTCACTGAGGGCTGGGTAACCCTTGTTAAGGGATGGGAACAGCCATGAGCACAACAGTGGTCCAAAACGCAGTGAAGCAAAACAAATTGATGAAACTCATAGACTGGCTTTTTCAGTAGAAGTTGACACTTGATTCATTTTATATAACACACATCAATGCAAAATGAAAGTGTAACGATACAGAACACCCTGGGCATACTGCACCAGCTCAAGTTAACTTTTTAGGATATCTTCATTACTGACAGCAGTCTTGTTTTGCTCCTTTTACAGATGTGATGCAGACCCATCAGCTCTAGCTAAGTATGTTCTTGCTTTGGTAAAGAAGGATAAAAGTGAGAAAGAACTGAGGGCATTATGTGTTGATCAGCTGGATGTGTTTCTTCAAAAGGGTAAGCTCTTGTAAATATATCACTGACTTGTTCTGAATTCTGACTCCATCTTCAATTAATTGTATATGTTTATTATTGCATCCTGGGCTGAATGGCTCTGCATTAAATAGAACAAAAAGTATGCAGCCCAACAGATTTGTTGATTCAAAGAAATAACGTAGTGTATAACATCTAAGAGACATTACAGATACTCAGATCCTGTTGTAGAAAATAAATGCATCATATGTTTCACTCTTGGAAGCTCTGAATCCTTTTGAGTGGTTATTGGATCATCATCTAGAATTAAGTATTAGAAATACTAAGAATTAAATAGTAGGTGCCTTAGATATATAAAAAATACAGTCATACCTTGGAAGTCGAACGGAATCCGTTCTGGAATTCTGTTTAACTTCCAAAATGTTCGGAAATCAAGCCGTGGCTTCTGATAGGCTGCAGGAAGCTCCTGCGGAACCCGTGTCAGGTGTTTGGGTTCCAAAGAACATTCGCAAACTGGAACACTGACTTCTGGGTTTGCAGCATTCGGGAGCCAAAACGTTCTACTTGAAAGGTGTTTGACTTCCGAGGTATGACTGTAAATATAATAAATCAACTGCTTTCAGTTACAGAGCACTCCCCAGGCATTTTTATAAACCTAAACATTTTGTCATTTTTAAATGAATAGTGCAGTTTGTGAGTTTGTATCTGTCACACCAAAAATTGATTGTAGTCAACCCAAAGTTGTGTTTTAGTCTACCATCTTGATTCAAAATGGCTCCTGGCATCCAAACATTGACGAAGACTATCGCCCCCACTTTGGGCCTTTTTCTACCAAGTTTGGTGATGGTATATCAAGAGGCAACCTATAGAGAACAGACGAACAAAACTTTCCAGAGTGCATAGTAGATATACTTCTCTCTCTTCTGTGCTCTGCTTGCCAGAACTGCTCTTTTTCCATGTGCTGTCCATAAAGAGTGTGCCAGCACTTGAGGAGGCAGATGAATGCCTGATGCTGCTTTTTTCAAGATTGAAAGCTCCAGGGATGGGTTTGGGGGATAGCACTGTGCCAGTGATGGGGAAGTGTTGGTGAAAGGGTTACTGTTGGTCTTCTCTACTGTCTACAGTTGCCATGTACCCCAAGCAAATAGGAGAGTGACCATTTGCTCAACCGATGCAAAATGGCTAATTGAATTCTGAGTAATACTAGCCATAGAAATTGTTTGTCAAGTGTTACCTTTGGATCTTGTTTTAGAGACCCAGATATTCGTGGAAAAACTTTTTGATGCTGTGAATACAAAGAGCTATCTACCTCCACTGGAGCAGCCAACATCGGGAAGCCTGAAATCAGACTTTTTTCAGCATCAGGAAAAAGAAACTAAGAAGGAAGAGGTAGGGATCAGTCATGCATCCTCTTCTTAATGCGTATCTTGCAATTTGTGTCTGTATGTTTAATCTGTTTTCAGTTACAATGCATTTAAATGCCAATTTCTTAAAGCTCAGCACTTTTGATAGGTGATCGTTGAGGATAAACTTCACTTGGTGACTCTTAACTACGTGATATAGTGAACCTTAGAGAATGAAGCTATGGGTGTTACTATCGGATCGAGGGTGTGAGACTAGTATTTACAGGTGCAATATTTGTTTGGAGAACCCTGAGCAAGAGTGGATTATCAGATATATGTCTAAAAACCCTTATTTATTGTATTGCTCATTATTATTATGTTTATTAAATTTCTACACCGCCCTTCATCCAAAGTTCACAGAGCGATTTGCAATATAAAAACACAAAAGGACATACCATATTAACAAACAAAGCAATACCTCCCAGTTTAAAAGGCCATTGATTGTTTAATTAACTCAAGGCATGGGAGAAGTGGAATTTTTTGCCTGATGCCTCTTCTAAACTTCAAATTCTCATGTCAAAGCGTCTTCTTTGTTACAAAGATGTGCAGTTCTGAGGGCTGAGGTTGACGTAGAATTCTTGAGAAGGATTTTGAAATGGTTCTATTTTGTTTGGTTGCTGGATGTTTCTCTGGATACTGTACTCTTGTCTGATTTTCATTTTCCTTCTTTATCAAGGTCATTAAAGAGGAAGAGCGAGAGAAAAAGTTTTCTAGAAGGCTAAACCATAGTCCCCCTCAGTCAAGTTCACGCTATCGAGAAACCAGGTGATCATGTATTCTGTCCCTTGTAGTAAAAACCAGGAGAGGTTATTTAATAAAGTTTTCATGTTGTTCTTTTTTACTTGCTTTGTCTTTTTCATGTATAAATGTTTTGAGGTGGATTTAGTTACATTGTTTGCTGTTACAGCAGTTTGAAACAAATTATATTGTAAGGATACAAAGGTATAAATGAGCAAGTCCCCATGTGTAATACATACAGAGCACAATCCAAATTTTGTAGTTTTTAATGTAGTTTTTATAGATACATAAGGGAGTGTGCTTTCAAACATAGCTATCTCCTTCCACCTGACTGTTTTGAAGTTAAAGAGCACCTTAGTGAATTTTGTATTAGAAAATTGTCAACCTCTGAATTTTCCTACGACGACTCTGCATCATCAGTGTTTTTTACACCCACTTAAATGGATGGTGATTGTCTTGAGTCAATATACATTTTGTATGATATATTGGGGGAAATGCACAACACTTGCTTCTGCAGGAAAGCACCCAACTATGCTCAGATTATTGCATTTGAATTAGGATTTGCCTTTGGTATGTATCCATTTTTCATGGAAGCAAATCCTGCGCTTAGAATGTCTGAGCTCATGAAGGTCTAGGCTGCATTTGAAGTATTCTCTCCCCTTTCATTTGCTTTGTTTTCTCTTGTGAGAGTCTACATCGGGGCGAACTTTTTTCTCTGCTTCTGTGTTTCCAATGAGAGGAGGAGGGTGTCTGCTGTGCATCTCGATACTTGCATTGTTCTAGGTGCATTTTGCGACGTGGAATGTCATTAGTGTGAGCAGCTTCTCAGCTCTGGGTGCAGTACTGCACCTGAGATTTAAGATTAAAACTTCAGAAGGGAAGGAAAGCAGGACTTTTTTCTGCCTCCCCACTTCCAGCTAGACTGGAGAAGAGACCTGTGAAAAATGAGCATAACATTTTAGCTGCAGTTCATTCATTTTCTGCTTTGTATTCTTGCTATCTAAGGGACGCAGGTGGCACTGTGGGTTAAACCACAGAGCCTAGGACTTGCCGATCAGAAGGTCGGCGGTTCGAATCTCCGTGACGGGGTGAGCTCCCATTGCTTGGTCCCTGCTCCTGCCAACCTAGCAGTTCTAAAGCACGTCAAAGTGCAAGTAGATAACTAGGTACCGCTCCGGCAGGAAGGTAAACGGTGTTTCCGTGTGCTGCTCTGGTTCGCCAAAAGCGGCTTAGTCATGCTGGCCACATGACCCGGAAGCTGTCTGCGGACAAACACCGGCTCCCTCAGCCAATAAAGCGAGATGAGTGCCGCAACCCCAGCGTCGGCCACGACTGGACCTAATGGTCAGGGGTCCCTTTACCTTATTCTTGTCATAAAACAGCGCGCTGAGACGTTCCGTTGATGCACCCATGACCTAGGTTGAAGGTGTCATGGAGCTCCTAGCTTTCCTATCTCAGTTTCTAACACTGGCGCTGTGCTATTGGTATTCCAGTCTGCTTCTAATATACAGTAACAGAGCTTCATGTCCTTGAGCTCAGAAACTCAAATGGCATAGCATGTTCTTGCATCTATGGGGAGTTCATGGTGGGGGGGAATAGGAGTGTAAGTTAAGGCTGGGCGATACCGCCTTTCAACATCACAATGTATCACCAGCCAAACATTACAATATAGTAATGCATTGCGATGATGAAAAATGGAAGGGGGGGGGGAGGACAAGCTACATCGACCCCTGGCACCTCATGGGGCTGGGGCCAATGCAGCTCGTTTTCCCCTCAGCGTTCTGAGTGCTGGCAGCAGAGGGACTCCAGAGTGGTGTTGGTTTCAGTCATGATATACCGCTCAGAAAGATGCCATTGTGCTCTGGCCCTCAGACCAGTCCTGGGCGATGTATTGATACCTGAACAAGCCCCCAAACCAGGGCTTTTTTTCAGCTGGAACTCACCAGGACTTAGTTCCACCACCTCTTTGGTGGGTGCCATTGCCATTATAAACAAACAAGGAAGGTGTTCCTGGTGAGTTCCAGCACCTCTTTCCAGAAAAATAGCACTGTCCCAAACTATATAGCTTTTAAAATGGCCTGTGGTAGGTGATAACTGGTGCTGGTTCAAAGTTTGTTTTTGCCCAGAATTGGCACTTAAAATAGTGTTTGTGTTCATTTTAAAAATATTTTCACTGATTCTGATACAAATGGTTACACTCTTATATTTGGTATGAATTTTCTGTTTAGAGCCTAGAATTTATTTCTGTGTAACAATCCAAAATATTTAGAAGCAGGGATGAAAGAAAGAAAGAGGAGCGTTCTCGCAAGAGAGACTACGACCGGAATCCCCCGCGAAGAGAGTCCTATAGAGACCGCTACAACAGAAGAAGGGGGCGGAGCCGGAGCTACAGCAGGAGTCGCAGTAGAAGCTGGAGCAAGGAGAGGTTGCGGGATCGAGACCGCGACAGGAGCAGGAGTCGAAGTAGAAGTAGAACAAGGAGCAGAGGTGAGCGATGCTCTGCACATGCTGACTTGCAGCATTGCAATTCTTTTTGTAAACTGCTTTAAAGTTTTTCTTTGTTTTTTTACAATCAAGCAGTATATAAACTTAAATAAATGAATGAATGAGTGTAGGACTGTCTCCAGACTACAAATTGGTACTCTGTAGTAAAGGAACGTTTTCAGGTTTGGATGGATAAGACTTGCTTATCAGAGACTTTTCAATATATGTGGTTAGATATCATTTGATACATTCAGATGATCATTAATGTTCTGTCCAATGCCGGAGATTGCAAAAGTCTGAGGATACCGCTGAGAGGAGAGGAATCATATGTGCTGCCTTGGGATCCTCAAAGGAGAGGCAGGATATAAAGTAGGAATAAATATATATGTTTATGCTCTAGAAAAGCTGTGAAGATTTATTTTGAAAGTACCAGGACAATAATATACAAATATGCCACACAAGTGTGTTCTAAGACACATACATTTTAAGTACAGTGCTATCCTGTGGATATATACTTAGAAGTAAAACCATGGTGTTTGATGGTGTTTGTTCTCATGCATTGGATGAGCAGACACGTGCTTGTTGCTTTCCCTCGCATGTTTTTCCCACACTCTGTACACTAGAGGTGCAAAGGAGCGATTGAACTGAGAAAAACTGTATATATTTGAATGGTCTTTCTTCTGGTTCACTTGCCTGTTTCTTCCCATGGTGAGATTATTGGGGAAGAAGAGCACACACATGAGGCCTCCTCCAGATCTCTCTCTGGGTGAAATCTGATGAAATGACATCACAACAAGTTATTAGGTTTGATACTTCATTTGTCCCACAGCAAAGGGCTTTCTTTATATGTTTCAGGATTTAAGACGCTTAGCCAATTGTATTTTGTAAATGTGATTTGAGGTTGCCATTGGCTGTCCTGCATGCTTTCAGATCGATAAACCAGCTGGGATTGGGAGTTTTTCTAGTTTTAAAAATGTTCATCAGTTTGCGTAATACTTGTCTTACTGACATAATGTGGATGCCTTGTTCTTCTTTGCAGAAAGGGATATAGGGAAACCAAAATATGACTTGGACAGAACAGAGCCATTAGAAAACAACTATACTCCTGTTTCTTCTGTAACAAACATTTCATCCAGCCATTACCCTGCCCCTACACTAAGTAGCACTATAACGGTTATCGCTCCTGCTCACCATGGAAATAATACTACTGAAAGTTGGTCAGATTTTCATGAAGAACAATTAGACCACAATTCCTACGGGAGACCTCCACTGCCAAAGAAACGTTGCAGAGACTATGATGGTAAGAACAAAAAACGAATTATCCCATTGCCTTGCATTTCATTTTGTTGTTTTACAAGTGAAACATAAAAAGTAAAAATGGGTGGAGCTTTCTTTGCGAATGGAGGTTTATGAACTCAGTTCCGAAACTGAATGGAAAGCTATTAATTTGCACTGCTCAGAACACTGCAGACTTTTCCTGGTAACATACTGTTTTAACTTTTCAGAAAAGGGTTTCTGTATGAGAGGAGATATGTGTCCATTTGATCATGGAAGTGACCCTGTAGTTGTAGAAGATGTGAACCTTCCAGGCATACTGCCTTTTCCAGCACAGCCCCCGGTTGTTGAAGGACCACCCCCTCCAGGACTTCCTCCACCGCCTCCTATTCTTACTCCTCCTCCTGTAAACCTTAGGCCTCCTGTTCCACCTCCAGGCCCTTTGCCACCCAGCCTTCCACCTGTTACAGGTAGGATGTACCTTTTAAATTTTAAAATAACTTACTGTACTATGTTGAAATCCATTAAAACACTGTTCAGATACAATGTCTCTAAACCAAATTGGGGGAAATGCCTGTTTTCTTAAAAATGAGGAGGAAGACAAGAAAATATCCTGGGACATGGAGTTCCATAACTGGATTTCTGTCACTGAGAAGTCCCTAGGTTTTGCAGCAGCTTGATACATCTTGAAGCATAAGGGCCTCAGCAAAACAAGCACAAAAGGTCTCGCTGCCTGGGAGAGGGAACATATAGAAAGTAGTGTACTTTTAGGTATAATGGTGCAGCTCTCGTAAGCTTTAAAGGTCAAAATTGGCACATTTATTAAATTTGCATTCTGACCAACTGTATCTCTAAGGATGAGTGTTTATATTGTCTCTGTTACCTGTTGCATTTAAAATTCTGGTGGCCGAAGTTTGAACTAATTGTGGTTCAGGCACCAAGCTGAAATCGGTAACCAACCAAGCACTACTCCTCTTTCCTTTTACTCCTCACCTTACACTAATAGGGAACAGCATGCTACTATTTTTACGGTGAACCTACATAGTACGGCAAGTAGCTTCTCTGGTGACTGTACACTTGTTAAACATTGGTTAAAACAACCAGGACCTTTATTTACATATTGAGGATAGCCTTAATTAAACAGCCAGAAGCTAAACAGTGAGTTCTTCTATCCCTATGTCTGCCTTTATGCTGCTGTCTTACCTCTGAAGATCCATAGTTCTGTCAATGGTCAGGATATTATATTTTGTGCTGTATGTGGTTGCTTTTTTCTTTTCACTTTTGATATTAAATTATTTCTGGTTTTGGCAGGACCACCACCTCCTCTCCCACCTTTGCAACCCTCTGGTATGGATGCTCCCCCAAATTCTGCAACTAGTTCTGTTCCTACGGTTGTAACAACTGGTATTCATCACCAGCCACTGCCTGCTCCACCCTCTCTTTTTACAGGTGCAGTACTAGAATATTTACTCATGATAAAGAAAGTCTTATTATCCTTAGACAGATGCAATGGACAATTGGAGTGTAATAGATTTTATCATCTGGTAGAAACTTGTCATTGTCAAAGAATAAAACTGTAGAATGTAGTTTTACACTCAACAACAGGATCAAAAGCATTGCAAAATTAGTTCCGAGCCCCATGGAACATGAAATGTATTTTTTGCAAGCAGCTAACTTCTTGCAGCAAACTACTTTTGAAACTCATGGGGCTTAAGCAGTTTGTAATTTTTTTTTACATTTTTTTTTGCAAATTTATGAATGCTTCATAGCCTGAAGCCATCCAAGTGGTGTACAACAGGATAAAAATAAGATAAAATCTACAAAATACGAAATATGTCATGGGGATCAGATGTTCATATTCAAAATGGAATTATTATTTTTTAAATCCACTGGGCTAGTTCAGGCTCCACAGAGGAGCCAAAGCAGCTCTTTGGATCCTGGCGAAGATTGTCCAGAGGAAAGGAAGGTATTGATCTGTCCACTACAGATAGTTTTAGCTTCATAGCTATGGAGAGTGTTGTATAGACTGCCTTGTTTGAATTTGGAGCTATGTAACCCTTTCTGTATTGTATTGTAACTAGACAACTTTCTCTTTAACAGAAACATATGACACAGATGGCTATAATCCTGAAGCACCAAGTATAACTATCACTTCAAGGCCCATGTATAGACACAGAGTGCATGCCCAAAGACCAAATTTGATAGGACTTACATCAGGGGATATGGACCTGCCACCAAGAGGTATCGTGAAAGATTTATTGATCTATGTTTTCAAGACTCGTCTTCGCATTGTTTTATTATGCAGTACTAGGAATAATTGCCTGGGTCTGTGTGTGTGTTATGTTTTCTGCCATTTTGAAATCTGCTAGGAGCAAGATGTTTTCCAAGCTCTGCTGCCTAACCAACTTGTGGTGTTAGAATAAAACATATTGATAATACAGGACTTGTTCGACAGCGACATGCTTATTATGGAAGCCTCTGTTCATAGACAGCAAAAATGTTGCTTTTGTAAATTTTTTAGCTGAATGTTGGTTTAATGCTATTGTGATATTTTATTATTGTATGTATGGGTTTTACCTATTTTATTGATGCTTTTATATTTGTAAGATGTCTTGGGGCCTCCCATACTGCCCAAAGGCAGATTTTAAAAGCTTGCTTAATATATCATTTGAACATACCTTTTCGCTATGTCACATCTTTTTTTTTAAGAATAATTTTTTATTAACCGACCAATCACATCAAATCAAACCAAATTACATAAATTCCAAATTACACAGCCGAACTTTAAATTTTTGTTGGGGGTACCCATATTTCAAGTTCCGAAGGGATCCAATCAACTTCTTGCTTCTTACTGCTGTTTTAATGTCCACAAATCTAACCTTATGATGTTCACAGTACTATCCAGTCCTTTCTTATTATTTTTCCACATCTCTTGTTGTTATTTTCATATATTTTTCCTTTCTCTTTGTGACCTCTGATAGTCTCCGCAAGCTGGTTAGAACAGTTTGTAATCCTGCATGGATTTATTTTTTTTTAATCCAGTAGCCATATCCAGACGTTTTCCATATAACATCACTTCCATACATCAAAACAGTCTTAGCGTCATTAATCTTCACCAATCTGCCTCCTTTCTCAAAACCTCTGAGGAGATTCACTAGGAATGCAGTCTGAAAACAAATCCGTTCTTCCTCCCGGCTATAAATCCTTTGGCAAGATGGCGACTCCAAATTAATTGTTGCGCCATTCCCAAAAGCTCTTATTGCTTCTCGGTCTCCATAAAGCATACTTTTGGTTAAAGTTTATCTCCACACAGACCTTAATCATCCTGCTTGGGTCAGTTCAACCGACGGTTCTAATGAGGAGGGGTTCTTGTAAATCACATAGAAGGAAAGTAAAAAAGGTTCCCCCCCCATTCAGCCCCGTGGTCAACATACCCCGCCTTTGGTGTATCTTCATCGTAAAATATTCCTGTTTCTCCAGCCCGTTGTCTTCTTTCGCAGAGGTCACTTAAATTAGCAGACTTCACTCCCCTTCTTCACTTGAAATATGTGCATTTGCTTCTTTTGTAATTAATTATTCCAAATTGCTGCAACTAGTGCGCGATCAGAGACAGCGTCCAGGAGAGCCGAGGTCCACACGGGGCATTCTGCCTAGGGCCCTCACCCCCTTCTTTCGAATTAGGGGGTGATTTATGGGCACAGCAGGCAAGGGCAGTGTTCCCCATTTCCTTGGGGCAACAAGGGAGGCTGCCTACTCCCATAACAGCCTCTTAATTACCCCGTGTGGGTCGGAGAGATGGTATTGTCGGCCATCTTCCAATGCGCCCCCTAGTGGCCCCCTATGTCACATCTTTTTTTCTGATTTAAGGAAGTATTTATGTAGTTATGAAATGTTAAGAATATCTTCTCTGAAGTAGAGAAAATAACAAATCAAAATTTTTTGTGTGTGTTTGGTTTTGACTGGTATTCTACTGTGGATACCAGTCATTGATGAAAGTAGACAATTCCCAGTTTACAAGTTCATTATCTGATTTAAAAAATGCACCAAAAAATAAAAAATAAAATTAAATGGTTGGTGGGGAGGGAGAGAGATATCAGCTAATGCACGATGAGACCTGGGCTTCTGATCATTGCCATGAAACATATTGTGGTTTTGGAAAACTTGGAATAGTCAGTACTTAGGGCACTAGAAATGGTATAGCTGCTTCAGGATACTATAAAACAGCCATGTTACATATATGATTGGTGCAGATGATGTTTGACCTTCATCTTGCTTTACTATAAATTGGCTTAAAGAGTTGTGGGGAACTAAAGCGTTTTGGTTCACTTTGCAATACACCACACAGTACAGAATGGTACTCCTTTAATTCTTTCTGTGTATGCCAAAACTCCTCATTTTTCTGGTGGACTGGTTTGGTTCCCTGGCTTGCAGCTTGAATCACCTGAGGCCAGGGCAGTTTGCTCAGAAAGATGTTTAGGGGAACTCTACTTTTACCAGTTTGGGGGCCAATAAGACTTGCCTAAACTCAGGGTATCAACGGAAGGCGTGGTTGGATCTGAAAAAGGAAGGGTAAATTTGTGTGGGAGGAAGGGAGACAAAGTTTGCAAAGCTGCAAGGCTCTCCTGAACTACCCATGTTATATTTGTACTGTGCGTCTATGGCAGCCCCCCATCTCTTGTCTAGCTTCTTTTTCAAAAATATTGGAAAATATCAAAGGCATCCCTTTCGGGCTCAAGTCATAAGCCATCTGCTAAATATCTAAGAGTTGAAAAGAAATCTTGCTTTCTGGGCAATGTATTCTATAGTTGCCCTGTGGGGTTTCTTGCACTTCCTTTTGAAGCATCTGGTTTTGGTATCTGTTGGAGACCAATGCTGAACCAAAGGGACCTTGGGTTTGAAGAAGTATAGCACTTAGTATGTTCCAAAAATGCAATAAGTCAGCTGATGGTAATAAGGAGAGAAAATCCTACTATAAAATGCACAGACAAACATCTTTTAAAAATTAATCAGTGTACTCTTCTCTTCCACACAGAAAAACCTCCTAATAAAAGCAGCATGAGGATAGTGGTGGATTCTGAGTCCCGAAAAAGAACTATTGGTGCAGGTGATGGAGTTCCAGCAAAGAAGAATTGGTTTGACAAGTGAGTAGTTGCTAGATGTGTTAACTGCATACTAATGCCTGAACTATGAAATGTGTTTCAAGTTTGCTTTTCCAAACCATTCAAGATATTCCAGTTAAAATTTCTGTTTTTGGTTTGGAGTATCCGCCTCTCCGTGATATGCTTGTTTGTCACAGGTTGTTTTGTGTAATAGTCAACACTTAACTTGTCCGTACACCTGTACAATCAGGTGTTTAAATTGTGTTATACAGCCTTTCAGTTGGTTCCCCATCACTATGTGTTTTTAGATTATGGTGGAGAGGACTTTCATCCTTTAAGTCTTGAGCATTTGGTTTCCATGATTAAGTCTGGTTCAACATGGCATGACATTGTAGTAAATTAGTATATGCAAACCCTGGTTAGCGTATCCAAACTGCAAACTCAAATCATTGGGAGGCCTTTGCCTGCAATGAGGGAGGTCTGCAACATCCTGTGGCCCCTTAGCCATGTGGCCAAGGGAACATAGGGTTGCTACCTTTGGTAGTGGTTTGGTGTCAATATGTGCACTCCTTCTACTCTCATGTTTTATTTTTTATTTTTTGCATTTCTAAACAGCCCTTCTCAGGGCAGTTAACAAAATAGTAAGAATTGCAGAACAGCTATTAAAAACATATGTAAGCATTTGTTCAGCTGCAACAATTTTCTTATCTCAGCAGACCAGATGTCTTGTTAGACTCCACATCTGTCTCCCAAAAGCCCGAAGGGACAGGAGCGTCTTCAGTTGACACCAGAACATTTCCTAAAATGCAGCTTTAGACTTGTTTTCACTGAAATTCCACATCTTACCTGTCTGTCCCGTTGCAAATTAACTTACTACTAGTAGCTCAAGACAGTCCCCAACTCATTGTTTTATTGCAGGCAAAACTTTAATAGAACAAGCAGTCCTGCTTTCCAGAAGAAGGTTCAATTTGGAAATGAAAATACTAAACTTGAATTGAGGAAAGTTCCTCCAGAGCTTAACAATATCAGCAAACTAAATGAGCACTTCAGCAAATTTGGAAATTTAGTAAATTTGCAGGTAGGTGGTATCTTTGACTTTTTCATTGCTCCTTATTTGAGCCTAGATCATGAGGGTGCTTTTTCTAACAGGGTGGCAACCTTTGGCCTTCCAGATGTTGTTAGACTCTCATCAGACCTCACCTGTGTAGTTAGTGGTCAAGGATGATTAAAAAACAGTAGTCTAGCAACATCAGGTGGGCTCTAGGTTAGCAACCCCTGCTTTATAAGGATGAGCTGAAAATTCTTTGATTTAGTCCACTTTACCATTAATATAGGGACGCGGGTGGTGCTGTGGGTAAAACCTCAGCGCCTAGGGCTTGCCGATTGCATGGTCGGCGGTTCGAATCCCCGCGGCGGGGTGAGCTCCCGTCTTTCGGTCCCAGCTCCTGCCCACCTAGCAGTTCGAAAGCACCCCTAAGTGCAAGTAGATAAATAGGTACCGCTTTATAGCGGGAAGGTAAACGGCGTTTCCGTGTGCTGCGCTGGTGCTGGCTCGCCAGAGCAGCTTCATCACGCTGGCCACGTGACCTGGAAGTGTCTCCGGACAGCGCTGGCCCCCGGCCTCTTAAGTGAGATGGGCGCACAACCCTAGAGTCGGACACGACGGGCCCGTACGGGCAGGGGTACCTTTACCTTTACCTTACCATTAATATAACAGCCAAGTATAAATGGTTATGCTTTCTGCACTCATCCCACTTCCTTAGCCCCATTGCCTTTGTCTCCTGCTGTAGTTTGTCTCCTTACTTCTGGCCACTACTGCCATCCCTTAGAGCAAAGGTCTTTATCATTGTGCAGAGACATGAAGCATGATTGGTCTAGGGATGCCAATGTCACAAAATAGCCATGTCTTACATATTCAGATAGCCTTGCAGTGGTTTTCTACACTGTTGTTCCTAAAAGAAAGGAGCTCTGCACACATCAAATCATTATACAGAAGGCTGTGCGGAGGCAAGTGTGACCATGTTGTTGTTTTCACCCTCTGGAAAATAATGTTCTGTCATCCCCTCCACCAATATATAGTAAAAAAGAGGACCTGAAATTAGAAAGAAAGGCTACTATTTATAAAGTACTAATGCACGTTTTGGACAGTGTTTGTACATTTAGAAATGGTGTTCCAAGTGCATTACAGTAAAACCTTATTCGTCGAACATAATCCATTCTGGAAGCCCACTAGGCTTCCAAAATGTTGGACAGCCAAAGCGCTGCTTCTGATTGGTTGCAGGAGCTTCCAGCACTCAAGTGGAAGCCACATTGGACATTTGGCTTCTGAAAAACATTTGAAACCCAGAACACTTCCGGGTTTTCGGCTTCTGAGAGCTGAAGCGTTCCAAAATGGAGGTGTTTGGGAACCGAGGTTTGACTGTATTAATAGTTAATCTTCTGTCTCCATTCTCTTTTGCTACTTACTCCCCCCTTCCCTATCCAATTCCTGTTGCCTGCTTAGATTATAGCTGTAGGTATCTTTGAGGCAGGACACATTTTGCTTTGAGGCAGGACACATTTGCTAGCACACTGGCAGTTTGGGGTTAGTTTTCCCAGTTTTCCCAAATGATGTAGCTGAATGGGGACAGCAAGCCTGTGTGTTGTTATTTCTGCTCTTATTCTTGGGTTTTCTTGAAAACCATAGGTTGCTTATCAGGGAGATCCAGAAGGTGCCCTTATCCAGTTTGCTACCCATGAGGAGGCAAAGAAAGCTATATCGAGCACAGAAGCAGTATTAAACAATCGCTTCATCAAAGTCTATTGGCATAGAGAAGGCAGTGCTCCACCAATGTCAACTTCAGTACAGAAGGTAAAGGGGTAGAAGAAACCTGGTTTAAATTTTGTTTATTTTTTTTAAATCCACGTAAATATACATTAGTTTTCATGCACATACACATTTATGTATGCTTGTGTTTATTTATGCAGAAACATCCTACCCTTGAGGAGGCCTCAGGGGTAATGTTGGAAGGTTAGCAGTGGTAACTCATTTAATATCTGATGTGCTACAAACACAAGATAGCAGCCTGGCTCAGATGTAATTTAGTGGCTGCATTTGCACCTAACTCCAAGCCATGGTTTGTTCAACAACCCCGAGTAATCTCACAGATGAACAAATGAGCCATGGCTTGCTTGCTTTTCCACCTGCTTTTGCATTGTTCCTTTGTAGCCTGGCAAGCACCTGGGGTAGAGTAGCTAACTAAACCATGGTTAAGCAAGGCTGTTCAGGCATAATACCAAACCATAGTTAAAACAAGCCAACAAAAAATCATGGCTTCACATTAGGGCTTGTTGCTAGAAGACAAACCATGATTAGCCTACAGGACTGGGTTCAGTTCAAATGTTCAAACAAGCCACACTATTTAAACAAACAATGGCTTAGCTTTATGTTCCAAAGAGTCCAGTGTTTCAGAAATTAGTCTGCATGAACCTTAGGTTTGCATGCTTCTCCTTCATGAAAGGAGAATATTTTTCACCTTATGCTTTAGAACTACACTTCCTAGTGACATCTGAATGAAGAATTCTGATTTATTCCAACAGTGGTTAGTAAAAACAAACTGTCAGACTGTTTAGACTTTGAAGTAATTCATTTTTAGACTTAGAATTTACTCTTGTACTGCAGCCTTGTAAACAATTGCACTGAAATATAAATGCTCCTACAAAAGTATTTGATGCTTAGCTTAGGAAATTTCTTCAGCAAATGAATACTTCCAGTTTAGAAAGCAATGGAAGAATGAGAACATCTGCATTTAAACATTTAAAAATGGTATTGGGGGTGAAAAGTTCATTTTGAAATGTTCATGTGCTGCTAAAAAAATCTGCTTTTCTTTTTAAGGTAATGCAGCCTTTAGCTCAACAGCCCATTTTACCTGTTGTGAAGCAGTCTGTCAAGGAACGATTAGGTCCAGTACCTGCCAGTAACATTGAGCCTGCTGAAGCTCAGAGTGCCAGTACAGAAGCTGTTCAGGTGGGTATAATATTTGTTTTCCAAAATATTAAGAGATTTGTAAAACTAAACTGAAATTTTCTCTTTGATAAAGGGTTCTATTTAGCAGAAATTGGTGGCCTTTATATAATAAACATACTGAAATTTATAGATGGTTTCCCCCCCTATTACAAACTACTGGTAAAGTAACCATGTTTCAATTTGTGGACCAGGTTATAGGCTCTTTAAAAAACTCCCTTTCACAGCCCTAGACGATAACTGACATAATACCCTTGTGATACACTATTTTGTCAAAGATGAAAGATCTGTCTTTTATGCTGCAGGTTGGGTAATATTAAAAGTCTTGGTACAAAATACATATCATACCAATATTGGAAAATGTCAGTTATTTTACAAGCAAAACCTATCCACTTAAGCAAAGTTCTTTATGTGGAAAAATATGGGCAAAGCAATTTTTATTTTCTGTTTTTATGGAAATTGTATTCACGTTTGTTAAATGGGTTTGCAGTCTGTCTTCATGCAATTCTTGATGTATTATCCAAACGAGAACTAATACACAGCTTCAGCCTGGGTGTGGAAACCATATGACCCTTAGTTGGAGGAAAGGGGGTTGGTTCATCGATGCCCTGATGCGTTTTCCTTCATCCTAGCCTCTCCACAGCCCCTTTTGCAAGCTTTGTTGCTGCATCTCATTGGCCTGCTCTTCCCAAGCATTTTGTAGCATGGCTTCCAAACTGCTGACATCTCTCTGCCAACCCTCAAGGTCCTGCAAAGCTACAGGGTCTTGTGATAATGCAGGAGGATGTGTTGCCATGGTGCTCTGACAACTTTTCACTACCTTGACCTCCTTGTTGCTGGGATAGGCACCTGCCATGCCAGCAGTGGAGCTCCTGAATCCTACCACATCCAGCAAAAGGTGGGGGGACATATTCTTACCTGTTGGCCGTGACTGCTAAAGTGGTGCTCCTTACTCTCGTATACTGCAAGCACCTTTTCTTTCAACCTCCTGGAGGCTGAACTAGATCCATCTCTCCGGCCTACCTACCACCCAGGCCAGCCTTTCTAACTGAACTTAAAAGAATATTTGAAAATGCAGAAGCTTAAGAGAAATAATGGCTTTGCTTATAGCTTCAGTTAAAGTGAGAAATGCCGTGTTTAGTTTAAAAACACATGATCACAAACTATTTTTTTAATTGTTTTTCCTAGAATGTAACAAAACTGTCTGTGAAGGAAAGGCTGGGCTTTGTACCTAAACCACCTACTCCAACCACTGAAAAGGTAAGGAAATAATCGTGCCCTTGAACTGTCACATAGCAATAATATCACATGCACACTTAGCATAGGGGCTTCTAATGTCCATTAAACATGTGAATGCAAAATGATTGCATGCTGCTGCTTCTTCCTCTCCTCCTCCTCCTCCTCCTCCTCCTTCTTCCACTGAATAGAACTCTGTAGTGAATTTAACACAACTAAACCTTGCTGACAAAGTTAAGATGAAATAAAGTTTTCAGTATATATAGGCGTCTTCATGAAACCTAAATGGTTGCGGTTTGGGCAGGAGCTTGCATGACAGGGTTGTTATTTGTAATACTAAACTGAGATTGGGCCTGTGAATGAAGAGTGGACAGAATTATGGTCCGTTGGAAATGGTCTCTGAGATCTGGTGACAGGCATCCCTTACCGTGATTCTACTTCTTTGGAGGTCTAGGATATTCAGTAAGAGTTGGAACTGCATGGGTGAGCTGCCTTCTTCCTGAAAACTCTGAATGTTCTTAGTGAGTGAGGGGTAGCTTCTGCTGAGTTCTGCTTTTTGCTTTCGGTGTTGCTTTTTCTGTTGCCTTACTGCTTGCCTAGTCTGCTTGGGTGCGTGACCTGCATCCTGCAGGATTGTGATGCCGCTCCCTTCTAGAGCTCTTCTGTTCTGCTTGGTGAAAACTGCATGATAGAAAGGGGAAAGAGAGGTTGTCTGGAGTGGGTAGAGCATCTTTGTCTACTGCTGCCTTTGGATTGTGGACTTAGCTTCTTGCCTTTGCTGAATCAATATACGTGAAATGTGCTTCAGGATCATTTGACTTGGAGAAAATTGCTCACGCTTAGTGCTATAAGCTTTCTGAAAGCTAGTTGGAAGCCCTGTTAACATCTTACTTGTATGTTGGGCATAAAAGCACATAGAGCAAGGAGCAGGGCTACGCTTTTAGGCCTGCCCACAGCATTGTGTGTTTTTCCTTCTCCCCACAAATGTAGCACTATGTGTGGTTGTATTAACAGAGGGCCCAGCGTGCAGACTCTTGCTCACGAGTAGTGGCTCCACATGAACAGGACACCCACATGATCAGGTGTTCTGATTGAGTGCATCAGGAACTCAACATGTTGGGCTTTTTGTTCATACAACATTTGATGGTTTTTGAGGAGTGGGGAAAGGCTCAGGTCATGCTAAGAACACAGCCCAGCTGTTTATTCTAAATACTGCGCCTCCCTGCTGTCCCCGGAGCTTGCGGGGCAGGCAGCGGGGAGAAGCGCTCTCTCCCCGCCGCCCGCCTTGATATCAAGTCCGGGGACAGCGGGAAGACGCGCTGCGCCTCCCAGCTGTCCCCGGAGCTTGGGGCAGGCAGCGGGAGAAGCGCTCTTCCCCGCCGCCCGCCTTGATATCAGTCCGGGACAGCGGGAAGACGCGCTGCGCCTCCCAGCTGTCCCCGGAGCTTGGGGCAGGCAGCGGGGAGAAGCGCCTTCTCCCCGCCGCCCGCCTTGATATCAAGTCCGGGACAGCGGGAAGACGCGCTGCGCCTCCCAGCTGTCCCCGGAGCTTGGGGCAGGCAGTGGGGAGAAGCGCCTCTCCCCGCCGCCCGCCTTGATATCAAGTCCGGGGACAGCGGGAAGACGCGCTGCGCCTCCCTGCTGTCCCCGGAGCTTGGGGGCAGGCAGCGGGGAGAAGCGCTCTCTCCCCGCCGCCCGCCTTGATATCAAGTCCGGGGACTATGCCTTGTAAGTTACGTGTGAATAGGGTCAATGTTGCAGAAAAGGGGGTGGGAAAGTAACCTAAAATTGAGGTCTTGCATGTTTGTGAGTGCTTAAAATAGATTTGGCAGCCTAGAATTCATTTCTAGTGACTGTTAAAGGAATATTTTGAAAATGGTTTCCTTCTATAGGTGTTATCTATTTCTATTTTGACATAGCTTCAATATACATATAAACAAACTGCTTGACTTGGTAGCATTGCTTCTGTATTTGATGACGCGCAATACAAAATAAGACTGGTTCTGATTTTTTTACTTGTGAATCCTTTCGTTTGTGACACAGTGTGAGGCAAGAGAGTTAACACCTTTCCCCCCCTTATTGTTTTTTTCCCCTGCGTGTGGGTTGGGTGACGAATAAGATCTGTGCTAAGTTTATGGAGCATATTTCTGAGACTTGTTTCTTAGATCGTAATATTCAGTACTGCATAGCAAAACTCTCTTGAAGCCGAGAAATGTTTAAAAGCAATTTTGTATGGCAGGGTGGCAATCTGCCATTCAAAGGGGAAAGTCAGCAATCCCACTGGACATCCTCAGACGTTAAGCAACAACCATTTGGGGGTGAGCGGGTAGGGATCAGCGGAGAATCTGCTTCTAGGTTTTACTGTGCTAGGAACTTCTGAGAAGAACATTAATCTCTGTATAGTTTGTGTTTTTCAATGAAAGACTTTTTAGTGATATAGAAATTCTTAGGTTTGCTAAGCAGATATCTCTCTTGGCTATAGAGCTACTATATCCTAGGGTTCTGTAGTCAGTAGAGTACTTATGTGTCTTGCTTGTATACTTGGGTGTAAGTGATCAACTTGTTCCACAGTGGGAATGAATCTCTCCCCAAGTCAATTTTACTGAGTTGTTGTGTTTTATCCTCCAATACTGCATAATGCTTGGCTTGCATGCAGCTTGGCTTGCTTGTTTATTTGAGCTATATATTTTTTAACCAACCATATTCCATGTTGGATATAATGCTTCTTTCTAGGATGCTAGGGACATACAAACATCTCGGGCAATTGCTGGCAGCTGGGAATTGATCTTATTAGCTATATTCCGGCTGTGGAATTCTATGACTTTGTAACTACATCACTTGCCAGCACTTAAAATATTCACCCCAAAATAAGTGAAGAAATGAGAACTCCCATCTCTTCATTAACTGTTTATATTGCATCGTCTGATTCATATAGAAACTGCCAGGCACAACTTTCGTGCTGAAACAGAGGCACATGTTGATAAAGCTCAAGTAGATTGTTTTCTACAACATATGGAAAACAATTCTGACCTTAGAGGCAGTCCTAGTCTGTCTTTAAATTGACATGAGTCTGTTTACTCCATTTTTTATGTTCATGCCATCTTTGCAATCACAGCAACAAGCATCTGTCTTGGAGTAATATACTTTGAATCCTATATTTACGAATTCTTTATTTACTAGCAAAATAAAATGGTTTCCTTCTGTAGGTGTTGTCTACTTCTACTGGCTTGACAAAAACAGTGTATAACCCAGCTGCTTTGAAAGCAGCGCAGAAAATGTTGCCTGTTGTTAACAGTTCCATGCTAGATTCTAGTGAAGCACAGAAGAAAAAACAGGTAAATTGAACTCTGCTTATTTATAAAACAGCAATAATTTATTTAGAAATTTGCAACATCTAGAATATAGTTTGCCATGATTGCTTATTCCTGAAGAAGCTGGATACTGTGCCTTTGCCAGAATCTCGTGTCAAGTTCTGAAAATTATTTCAAAAGTTGCAGTTTGAGATATTTTGTTGGTGCAACTTCTCAGTAAAGGCTAAACCTGAATCTGCTTTCATGGACACGTTTTAGGAAGAGGGGTAATTTTCTCCTTGCTACCTAAGGCAGTGGGTTGTTAGATGCTATTTGATTATCTTACTTGGCTTCTAGGGTTGCAGAAGATTTGTTACATTGTACTCAGACCAATTGTTAGAATTTAGTTATGTGAATTATTTTTCTATTTCATAATATTTATATACTGCTTGAATGTAAGAAAAAACCCCAAAGCGATTTACAAAAAGATAAGACAGTTGTAATTGCAGTTGTGCTTGTAGGTGAAGGATGCCTTTCTTACATCGGATCAGGCCAGATGCAGCCTAAAGCTTTCTGATCATCTAACAACGATTAGATTGAAGATGCCCCCTTCTCTGTGTCTTCCCCTCTTTTTAACAGATTCCCTTCCCTTCCATTTTTCGAGCTAACTGTGCTGTAGTGTCCTGTCCTCACTAGTGTGCTTGCTAAAAAACGCTTAACTCCAAATCAGTTGCAGCCAACATTAGTGGTGGGTTTGTAAACTGAAGGTTGAGCAGTTCATGGCTAGTGGAAATTCAGGTGCAGATTTAGTGCTATATCAGCATTATAAAGCAAAATGGAAGGAGGATTTATGTGCCGAAGCAAAGGAGAATGTAGGGGAAGTTACATAGGAGTTACTCATATCTTGTGACTTTCATTAGACTTGGTTTGGTGCCTAACTTCTGGTATTCAGTGCCTACATAGAAATAATACCATCATGAATTACGTCTGGCCTGCTTAATCCCTGTACTGTGGACAAAAGAACACAAACAATGACCTCTACACGATAAAGCACAATGAGCTATTGAATATCTTACACTCAAAAGCATGAAAGAAACATCTTCAGTACCAATTACTGAAATGCCCTTAGCTCCAAGTAGCAGTTTAATCTTGTGTTGATCTTAAGGACAGAACTGTGTTTCATGTTACATTTTACAGTAGTATGTATTTTCTGCTTCTGTTCTTCCTGCATACCTTTCTGAGTCGTCACTTTTTTCACAACATAGTGGACCAGTTTTCTTCTTACCTTTTTTACCAATGCACTTCATCTTTGGGTGTATTCATCTCCCTTTTCTAGAGTTAAATAATCCTGAGCAATCTGCCTTGAGCTGCTGCTTCTCTTCTCAACATCTTACATTTTCTCATTATCCTTGGAGAGGAGACTTCTTTCTTTTTTCACTTGATGTGGACAAGCGTAAAATGTTTTATCGGCATTTTCCTTTCAGGGCTGTAAGTTTCCAACATCAGATTTGCAGTATTCTGCACAGTATTTCGCTGAAGAAACCCTAGTATAAAAACATAATATTGTGCACATTCATTTTCAGAATGTCAAACCATTTTTCATTAGTTGAAATTTTTTTATCAGTGTATAGTTAGGGGAAGGTGATTAGTATTTGAACTTTGCTATGGGCATGAGAATTTATTTGAATGCTGGGGTAGGTGATAAGATCTTCAGAACAGGGATGCAGGTGGTAAAATTTATCAGGAGATGCAAACTCTGGTATTATATATATATATGTAACACCTAATAGTAGAAATCATTTGACATTCTGCATACTTCATTTTGCCGTAAGATAAATAAACTTGGTAAATTTACTTCCTAATGTCCCAAGATTAGCAACACATCTATGTTATCTAAGTAAATCAGACAGTTCACCAATTGAAACTCTTGCATTATCCACTTTAGTCTCCAAACGTAACAATTTGGAATCATTTATTGACCTTTGCATTTCTCTGTATGCTCTGGATTATTTGGGGAAAGGCCTTGAGTGATATTCAGCTAAGTTTTACTTAGAGTAGACCTCTTGGAATTAATAGCGCTTAGTCATGTTCATTAATTTAAATGGGTCTACTCTGAATAAGTTGAATAGCATCCCTTCAGTTTGGTGCCCAACTTTGGTTAAGAGATACCACATAGAGCTAATATGCGCAATATATCTGAAACATTGACACCTAATTCTAATGTTTTAGAATTTCTATGCATATGTTCTAATAAAAAGGGGTGAGATCCATAGTTACCTGCTTTCAGAAACAAGTTTGATTTCTTACAAATCTGGTATTCCTATTAACCACTTTAGAAAGTTGTCATGATAAAAGAGTTTCTTTCACTTCTCTTGCAAGCTCAGATTTGTTTCAGCTACTACAGAAAAATCAATAAAATAAAATCCATTTGATCAAATATTTTAGAAGGGTTCTCTTATTGCATCACATTTTCTTCGATTGTAAATCAGACATGAATGGGATTCACCTCCATTTGAAAACGACTGGATTACTCAGTATCTGTAGTCCCATTAATGTAGCAGTTCTGCAGGCTGGTTTCTTCATTTGCAGAGACCAAATATGCAGATTTCTTTCTCAGAGGCCATTGATTCAGAATAACCCAGATTTGTGTCACATCTTTTTGTATTTAAACATTGGGAAAAGCAATTCCTCTAATTTCCTTGCATATTAATCATATTTGTCACCAGAAATTGAGTTTCTGGGTATCTTGCTCTGAAAGTCACAATGCAGGTGGTTCAGTGCTTTAAGAAATTGTTCTTGAGGAGGACAAGCTGGTTTTGGAATAGCAAAATAGGCTACATAGAGTTACAGCGATTTCCTTAATTTAGAGTCTTACATGCTTTGTGACAAATTTTCTCTGTTAAACTGTTTTGAATTTCACTTTTGTGCAAGTTATGAAACTGAAGTATATGACTGTCATTACTGTGTCTTGCCTCAAAATGGAAAACTTTCTGCTATTTTTTTTTTAAAAAAAAACAAACTTCATTTGCAATTCCTTATTCAAAGAGTCATGGAAAGTTCAAACAGAAAGGAAACAAGGAATTCAGAATCATTTACTGAAGCAGTCCTAAGAATGCATTCCAGATTTAATGAATTGCATTTCCTTGCTATGTGTATCTATTTTTCTGTAGGCTCTTAATTCATATTAGTTGGAAATCCAATATATTTTCAATATTTTTGTTAATTTAGCTACTAGAAAGGTGCAATTTAGCCATAAAAGTTACGCATCCTCCAGATCCCTAACTTTAAAAATGCTCCAACAAATCCTGTAAACAGCACAGAATTCGTAATCTTGGAATTCCAGAGTGGCACCTGTGACAAAAAATAATGCACAAAAAGCTCTAAATATATAAATGGTGCAATGGTGCAGCATCCCCATAGCAAAGTGTGGAACCTTGCACTTCTTAATCCTGAATATGGTAAGGGAGTGTACAAGTGTCCAGAGGAGCAGATATAACACAAGCATTTGGTCCAAAAATATCGGTTGTCAAACGATGTAACTGCATATACTGCTGTTCTGTGTCAATTATAAATATAGGAAGAGATGCTATCACATAACCATTCAAGGCGAGATTCCATGTATTGTTAGCTCAAGATGTTTGAGAACTGACATTGTGCAAGTGGTAGCATACAGAGTTTAATAATAGTAGCTGCATTAGGGGCTGAATATGATCTTTCACAAATGCAACATGCCCATTGGATTCTGCTGTTGTGCTACACTAAGACATAGGCACGAGTTAGCAGTATGGCTGCCATTATTGGAGATCACCTTCAGCATGTTCATGCTCAGTCACATCAGTTCTTTCCACATTATTGGTTTATTCTAATAGGACGGAATATATGGGTAAAATGGGTGGAATTGTGTAGTTACTCATCAGCTTATGTTTAACAGTGGGTGATAATAATTGTGTTTTTATGCTTCCAGGAGGCACTAAGACTTCAGCAAGATGTGAGAAAGAAAAAGCAAGAGATTTTAGAAAAGCACATTGAAACACAAAAGGTAAATGTATACATTTATGCAATTGGACTACTGTTGAATAATGTTAATAATCATTGATGTATTGTAAGATAGTGCTACTCAAAGTGGTGATCCATGGACTGATGTTGGTCCACAAGCCATCAGTTGCTGGTCCATGACCCCATCACAGCCCAGGTTGAGTAAGATGCTTCAGGAACCAAATATTGGCCTATTGTGGGTGGGTTCTTGATCCACCACAGCAACATAGTTTGAGAAGCAATGTTGTAAGATACAGTTCTCACTACATCACCGTGAAATCCTGTGATGTAAAGGTTACTAAGCGGTGATTCAGGTGAAACACAAATCTTACTTATCATTCCAGGGCTCATAGGGATCCCACTAAAATTAATGAATCTGGGGCGGTGTGAGCTTGTGCACACCCAGATGAAACTTTGCAAGTAAAACAGAAAGTGGTGATGGAATTAATGGGGTGGAAGCCTCTTCCTCCGTATCCTAGGTATTAGTCTGTGTTATTTGAGTGGAATTCTGCTTGGGTCGCCAACCAAAAATCCACTCTGGAAGGTCCAAACTGTGTGAGATGATGCCACAGGGCTGAAGGGAGAACTAGTGAAGAATTGCCCTCCCACTTTCATTCATGGAAGCCCCTGTGGAAGGTAAAACACTCCTTCCAAGAACAAAATAACTCCTTCCGTGGACAGAACCTTTTGGATCTGGCTCATGGAAAAATAATTCCAGATTCTCAGCGGAAGCAATCCATGCTATTCACAGCTGGTGTTACTACCAAGCTAGTACTACTTTAAGAATATGGGTTTTAACAGCATAAAAAATCTTCCCAAGTCAAGTTGTGGAGAGCTTCTACAAATTCAGTTCAAATCTGCCAAACGCCGCCAAGCTTTTCCACAAGTTGTCCTAGCCGTTCTTTCCCAGCTCTTCACAGAGGAGAGCACAGTTTACAAATTTTGTAGAAGAGTTACAAGAATGACTAGTGGTATTCTGTATTGGAGAGTTCTCAATGCATCTTTCTAAGCGCACTAAGTTTGGTGTCAAGGCTGTAGTTCCTACATCAGAATTTAAGGGTTGCCTAATTCCTCTCTCAAGTTGGAGCTGTTTTCCATGGATGTTGGTGCCATTTTGGATATTTGGCAGGTTTCCTTATGTATGGATAATTATTTTTTTTAAAAAAACTTGTGTCTTCATAAATGTGTGCGATGGTGGGGAGCTTAGATAAACATCCTTCGAAGATGAAAAATAACCCACGCGTAAAGGATTCCTGTTAGTAATATGTGTAATTTCAATAGATGCTGATTTCAAAACTGGAGAAGAATAAAACGATGAAATCGGAGGACAAAGCTGAAATCATGAAAACTCTGGAGACCTTGACTAACAGCATTACCAAGTTAAAGGATGAATTGAAAGGGGTCTCAACTCCAGCAAGCACTCCCCTGAAAAACATGAAAACAAAAACACAGGTATCTGTATTTTGTCATCATTGGATGCTTTTAATCTTTCTTTTCTTTAAATCATTTTCTTTTGATGTATAAGTTTGCTGCAGAAAGCTGGGAGCGGATACATTGATCACATTTGTGTTTTGCTTGTCCTCCAAGATAACATATATAGGAATCTCTCTTTCCCACCACCACAATCCCATGAAATAGATTAGACTGAGAAGTAGTGACTTGTTTAAAGCCACCAAGTGACCTTTATGGCCGACTAGAAGTTTGAATCCATTCACCTGTCACTGGTGGATCATTACAACACACCAGAGTTATGCTAAATCCTAAGGTGTGGGAGGGGAGGAGACAATTTTTGAAATTTGAGAAAATAAAACTGCATTACCCTCCTGGATTTATACCCCGTTAAAAAAAGAAGTAGGCCCTTATGCTAACCTAACAACCATCCTTCCCATAGATGTCAGCTACAGTTTCTTTTGAAGATGTTCCCCCTGAAACTTGAAACATTGTAATGCTCTATTGGAGTCTGGCTATTTACTGCCACATTTTCTGCACGAGTTAAGAAATGCATACTAAATTGCTTAGTATCCCTTAGATGCAAAAAGAACTACTGGACACTGAGTTGGACTTGTATAAGAAGATGCAGGCAGGCGAAGAAGTCACTGAACTAAGACGAAAGTACACAGAACTGCAGCTTGAAGTAAGTTTATTTCATTTTTGATGGTCAACACGGCACTATTCCACATGTATCCCCCCTCTCAGTGAATTTGTGTAACAGTTAGGAAAAACATAGATTCTTACAACATATGACAACGTCATAGGCATAAAATAAAATATCCCACCCTAACCCAGAAGATGAAGTTTATGTAATATATCGAAAACAGCATCCAAATAACTTAACTTTGGTAGCTGCATGCATTTTCAAAATGTTCCCCTAGGTGGTGCTGTTGGTGTTTAGAACTGGTAAGCAGTTACTAAAATGTCTGTCATGTTATATATACATATATATATATATATATATAGTTATATATATAGTTATATATCTATATATATATATAGCTGTCATGTTAAATATATATATATATATATATATATATATATATATATATATATATATATATCTGTCATGTTGTCGCCAAGAATACGGAAATCAGGAACATAGTATTTCCTAAATGGGGCAGACATGAATTTGGCCCAGGACAAAACAGACTGACCACTACCACATATTAGAGAGATAAGAAAATGAATGGGTGGATGTAGGCATCTGGAATGATCAAATGTCTTTGGGAGTCCTAGAATCTGCGCCTGAGTATGAAAGTTGTTGCATGTAATTGCTCTGGGTTGTGTTTCAAGAGGTTTGCTATTCAAGGTGACTTGGGGTGGTGTTGCAAAGGGAATAAGCTGTCAATTGGCAAGTCTGGCTCAGATCTTACCTCTGCCATAAATTCCTGAGGTAGCACTAGACTTGCGTTTCCCAAACTTGGGTCTCCAGCTATTTTTGGACTACAACTCCCGCCATCCCTAGCTAGCAAGACCAGTGATCAGGGATGAAGGGAACTGCAGTCTGAAAACAGTTTGGGAAACACTGCAATTAGACAATCTCCCCAAGTCCCCATTTACAATGTGGAAATAATAATACAGGTATATCATCGAGATGTTTTAAGGTTTACAGTAGCATAATTACAGACCCTCGTACCTACGGGACCGCCTCTCCTGGTATGTCCCACAGAGGAACTTACGGTCTTCAAACAAAAACATCTTGAAGGTCCCAGGCCACAGAGAGGTTAGGCTGGCCTCAACTAGAGCCAGGGCTTTTTCGGCTGTGGCTCCGATCTGGTGGAATGCTCTGTCAAAAGAGACTAGGGCCCTGCAGGACTTGACATCTTTCCGCAGGGCCTGCAAGACAGAGCTGTTCCACCAGGCCTTTGGCCAGGGCACAGCCTGACTCCCTCCTTTGGCAATCTTCACAGAACTCTAGTCCAATGGTTGCCATCAATTTGATTTGAATTAATTTTATAATGAAATTATTTTCGAATGTTGTATTATTTTATTGTTGTTAGCTGCCCTGAGCCCGGCTTCGGCTGGGGAGGGCGGGATATAAATAAAATTTATTATTATTATTATAACACATATGTATTAGTTTGGCTTGTATTAGATGTTGTTGTTATTTCATGTTAGGCTGCGAAACGAGGAATTTTGTCCTCTGGTCGTGGGAGAGGAATTCATACACGAGGTCGTGGTGCGTCTCGCGGCAGAGGCAGGGGAGGACGAGGCCGGGGTCGGGGGAGAGGAGTACCTATCCATGCCGTGGTGGATCATCGTCCAAGGGCACTTGAAATCTCTGCTTTTACAGAGAACGACCGAGAAGATCTCCTCCCACATTTTGCGGTATGTACCCGCCCCACTGCCTTCCTGATCTCAGTGTGATAATATGTCTTGGAAACCTAACATTCTGTTGCAATGTGATCAGTGAAAATCAGCAAAGTGTTGTAAATCAAATATGCATCTCTAACTTCCGGAGGAAGGCCTTAGGCTAGGCGGGCACCATAATAATGTTCTGTCAAGTATGTGAAATTAAGTGCAATGGACAGGGATGACTGGTTCTTATAGTCAAGACTGCAGGTTTGTTTTGATGCCAGTGTGGTGTAGTGGTTAAGAGCGGTAGTCTCGTAATCTGGGGAACCGGGTTTGAGTCTCCGCTCCTCCACATGCAGCTGCTGGGTGACCTTGGGCCAGTCACACTTCTTTGAAGTCTCTCAGCCCCACTCACCTCACAGAGTGTTTGTTGTGGGGGAGGAAGGGAAAGGAGAATGTTAGCCGCTTTGAGACTCCTTAAAGGGAGTGAAAGGCGGGATATCAAATCCAAACTCTTCTTCTTCTTCTAAGTTGTCCGTCCGTGCTGGTAAATAGTCATTCAGAGAGAAGACAAATGGGCACCTGTCACACATGTTGGCTTTTCTGCACAGAAATTATCTCAAGAGTGTGCTGTTGCATAATTTGAAGTATGTTGCAACTGTTTGTTTCTACTGTGAATAAATTAACTAGAAAGGCAACAGCCATTCACTGACCTGTGTAAAACACTCGATGCCTATGTTTTTTTCTACATGGAGTTTATTTCACAAACTCATGTGAAGCTACCCTTAGCAGAACTAAGAACTGAAAACAGCTCTCTTGATCCAAAGTCAAAAGCAAGCAAAGTTTCAGGTCAAATCTCAAGTACATCCAACATCATAAATTCTTGGGCTACTCTTTGGAATAATAAAACTTATCATTAGTGACCTATTTATAAATCAAATATCCGTTTTCCTTGATATTTAAATTTGCTTAAGTTTCATTTTTCAGTTTCCTTTTCTTCCATTTTTTAAAATTTTTGGGGATGGTTTATTTTACAACTATCTTAGAAGATTTGGGACCATTAGGTTGCGTTATCAATCCAGAACTGTTAACAGCCCTTGCATGTTATGCATCAAGGAGAGATTATTTCAGTAAGGTGACAATTTTCCTCCTCTTAAAAAGCAATATGGTGAAATTGAAGACTGCCAGATAGATGACTCGTCTCTCCATGCAGTGATTACTTTCAAGACGAGAGCAGAAGCTGAGGCAGTAAGTATATCCTCCTTTTTTTGTTTTCATGTTAGGCGGTAAGGTTGAGTTTAACTGCATCTAACTATTGTACAGAGCTTCTGTGTTCCACCCCTTCCTATTACCTGTAATACATGTATCGTGTATTAACATACACTTTGTCTGGCTTCAGTTATTTAATTAAATAATGAAGACCAAACCACCGAAATGAAGTGAGTGTGTACAGAGGCTTTGCTCTCATTTTCCCGTCTCAATCGAAGATGTTGGAGGACGAAGGACTGCGGGTGTGTGTGTGTGCATTTCCTATAATGAAGTGTATCTGGCAATGTAACCTTAAGCACTTTGGATTGGTTTCAGCTAAGGAGTCCCATTAATGGAAGGATTTCTGCTGGTGTTGCAGGGATCTTCCCTCTCCACCCCACCCCGGGCTACCACACAGACAACCGATTGGCTCTGGGAGCGTTGAGAGAACCTCCACAAGCAGAATGTGGAGAGGGGGGTTCGTTCCAAGCATCATATGAAAATGCTTGTGTCTAGGGCTTGGATAGGCAAACTAAGGCCCGGGGGCCGGATCCGGCCCAGTCGCCTTCTCAATCCGGCCCGCGGGAAGTCCAGGAATCAGCGTGTTTTTACAAGAGTAGAATGTGTCCTTTTATTTAAAATGCATCTCTGGGTTATTTGTGGGGCATAGGAATTCGCTCATTCCCCCCCCCTCCAATATCGTCCGGCTCCTCACAAGGTCTGAGGGACAGTGGACTGGCCCCCTGATGAAAAAATTTGCTGACCCCTGGTCTAGGGAATGATTGCCACAGTGCTACATTGAATTCTTCCCTTCATGGTTGTGTGTGTGTAAAATGCAGTTTGAAACGCTGACCTCTCTTCTATTTATCAGCTTTTGTCATATTGGCGTTTTCTTTGGCTGTAGTTCTCTTTCTCAGCTTTTAGTTGAAGAATCAAGAGAAAATGTACTTTATCAAAGCTAGAAAGAGCTACGGCCTAAATTCCTTGTAACACGTTTGTTTTCCATGCTTGTGAGCACAGGGATCGTCAACTAGGATTCTCTTTAACATCTTGCAGCTTCTAGCAGTATTTCATCACTAAATGGCGAAGCAAAGTTTTGTGCAAAATTACAGTGGTACCTCGCAAGACGAATGCCTCGCAAGACAAAAAACTCGCTAGACGAAAGGGTTTTTTGAGCTGCTTCACAAGACGATTTTCGCTATGGGCTTGCTTCGCAAGATGGAAACGTCTTGCAAGTTTGTTTCCTTTTTCTTAACACCGTTAATACAGTTGCGACTTGACTTCGAGGAGCAACTCATAGAACGCAGTGTGGTAGCCTTTTTTGAGATTTTTAAAGACTTTGGTAATTTTTGAAGCTTTTCCAAAACTTTCCCGACACCGTGCTTCGCAAGATGAAAAAAATCGCAAGACGACAAAACTCGCAGAACGAATTAATTTCGTCTTGCGAGGCACCACTGTACTTTGGAAAGATTAAGGCCCCAAAGATGCTCTCCAAAACCCTGAGTGGCTGAAGAGGGGTCCTTTGTGACATTGCGAATGGAACAACAGATTTGTGTTTTCTCTAAAACTTTCAATCTGATTGTGTTATGGATATGAATATTTTCTCGAATACAAGAAGAGGAACTTGATTAGCTGTAAAACTAACAAAAAAAAGTTCATAGTGTATAAATCAAATATCTGCAAGTTAAGTTTCTACTTGTTAGCAAATCAAATATATTATAAATAATAATTGGTAGTAGAAGTTAATCTTCAAAGTAGTTATAGCTTTCTTTGAAGGAATGGTAGCTAATATTTTACTGTCTTGAATGAAAGAGGTTTAAGTTTTATGGCTGTGTGCATTTGAGCTTGGAAGGGTGAGGATTCCCTAGTCGTAAAATGTTGCATTTTTATGTTGCAGTAATTTCTTTCAAAGATTACAAGTTGTTTCTGAACCCAAATGTCATATATAAGTATTCTTTAAAAATTCCAGTTTGTGACATTGTGATGAGACCATGGACAAAAAACCCACTCCTGTGGTGCATTTTAATAGGCATGGAATCTTTTAAAATTGATCATAAATTTATATGTACAGATTTAAAATTTATACCTGGGGACCTTAATATCACACAATTCATGTTCAGATGTCATGAAACATGTAATTGTTTCCACATTTCACATTATGCTGTACTTTCAGATTGTACTATAAATCTTTTGTGACTGTGGCAGTTATTTCGGAATGTTGCTAACACTGATTTATGCTAGTTCATGTTACTTTAATTTGAACATACTATTTCCAAAGCAGCCACTTAATGCAGCTGGTACTTAAGAAGGCATGAATATCCCATAGGTTAATTTTTTTATTTTTTACATTTCAATTACCAAGCCTTTAAAGAAAATGGAATGCTTTTCGGCAGAATAAGTTATATTCTTTAAGTTTATTTTTTTAAAAAACCAACTCAGTTTTATTTTCAGGATGCCCCGTTTTGGGCAGTAGTAATAATGTATGAAGATTAAAAAGTATCAATATTTCAAATGTAAAACACCAATGAGGAGATTGTTCAGTAACAGTTGGTTTCTCTGAACAGCATGCTACCTGCATGTTGAAATAATTCAGGACTTTAAAAAAAATCATTTTTCTTCATTGCCTTGTGTATGTGTAGACACCAAAAGAAATCTGGAAAGGCTTGCATGCACGTTTACCTTTGAAATAGTAATCTGCAATAGAATACTAAGACTACAGTATACCTTATATACTGCACACCTGCATTGAAACCTAGGCTTAAAATTTGCCAAAGGACTTGGGGATGCCCACTGGGGTGTTGATTTGTTCTCTAAACAACCCCCCCCCCAAAAAAAAACCCACCTCCCAATGCTATATCATAACCTGCTTTTGTTAATACACACATTTTCCAAAGTGATTTGTCATGTGGCATAGTGAATACTGTCCTAAAAACAAAAGTCCTGAGAGTTGGGACAATTACTTCAGTTGCAGCCTAGTTACGCAGAGGTGCATGCAGTTTATTCTGGTATTTGTTGCCATTCAACCATTTCCCCCCAGAGGACATGTTTCGTTATAAAGAGAATATTGCTGTTCTCTTTAGGCTGCTATCCATGGATCTCGCTTCAAAGGGCAAGACCTGAAGTTGGCCTGGAACAAGCCAGTCGCAAATATCTCAACGATGGAAACGGAGGAGACTGAACCAGATGAAGAAGAAGTAAGTTTGCGTCTCCTCCTCCTTGACAAACGGACGAAGGAATAGAAAACTTGTTGCTGTTTAATAAAGATAGCTTTTGCGGATTCATAACAGCTCTGGTGATTTTGTAACACTAATACCACTTGTTTTCTCTGGGGGAACGTGTGTCTTTTTGGTAACAGAAATATTAGCAGAAAACTTGAAAACAATTATTGAAAAGAGGATGTCAATATAAAGCTCTTAGGGATAGTATGCAACCAGATCATACTCAGTTGACCCACTGAAGAAAGGCAATTTATTTCATATTAGTAAAATGTAAAATAATATATTAATAAGTGTCCATTATTTCAGTGAGTCTGCTAGGAATAAGACTTGATCAGATACCATCCATAGATTATGATTCAAAAGTTGAGTGGGTAGTTCATATACACACTTTCGTCTTAATAGCCCTACAATTTCCATGTATTGCGCATTGGAGCAACTTTTATATATTTAGTACATTTTGTTTACTGTTCCCCCTTTCAAGTAGTTTAGGGGTCATGTTATCGTATTTATCCTTACACCAGCTTTGTGAGAGAGAGTGAGTTGCCAATAGCTATCCAGATTGCTTTGTGGCTAAGCAGAAATTTAAAACTGAGACTTCCGGTTCTATCTACAGCATCAAACTAGTGCATTCAAAATAGCATGCTCAGATAATAATTTTCATGCAGAACTATTGCAAGTGGTTGATATTCAGATCTTACTTGGTGTATATGCTGAATGTAAAAATACTGCAAACTCTCTTGCTATCTTCTTGTGATGCAATTGGGAGTCCTTAATTTTCTCTGAATTTGTGTACTTTGCATTTGTAATAGTTTTGGCACAGCACACACCTATATTTTCCCTTCCCCCCCCCCTTTTACTAGCTTATAGTCTTAATATACATTCTGTTACTTAAGTCATGTTTTCTGTCCTGTATGCATTGGCCTTTTTCTGATTTACTTAACCAGGTTATATTAATTTACGTTCTCTTCCACTATTACAGAACCCCTCTTTTCTTCAATAAATTCCCATACATAATGGATTTCCAATCAAAGTTCCCTCAAGCATTTTGTATTTCTTAAATGTCAGCTTTTCCTAAGATAGAATTTCACGAGTGCTTCTAGCACAGACACCAAGGAGTATTGAAATAGAATATTTGTAATCACCAGGTCCTGGATGTATCAGCTGTAGAGTAAATTATGAGTGAGAACCTACATTGCTTTCACTATAAATTTTGTCAGAGTTGCTGTTCCAATGTCAGGATATTTTCTGTTATTTATGGGTTTTGGCTCTGACCTTTGCGTAAGCACCTCCTAGAAAATGCATACTCCATTTATGAAAAATTAGTTTCATAACTTCTCACTGGAATGGATTATCTCTCGTTCTGAACTAGTAGTATGTGTTCATTGCAAAAATATTGTATTTATTTAAATAAATAAATAATAAGTAATTATCTATATTCAATAAATAATTAGAGGAGAATTTTGGCTCAATAGTGGATAGACCCTTACTTGGGTTCAGCCCTATCCAAAATTCTCAGGATGAAAGTATAATATATGTGCATTACTAGATATCAAGGTTTGTTTAGGGCTTACATCTTGTAGATTGTTTGGAGGGAAAGAAACCACAAGTCCAGGGTTGGCTATAATGACTAGCCAAACCATGGTTTGTTTCCCAGCAGTACAGCAGCAGCAGGAAGGAGGAAGGGGTCTGGGGGAGTGTTTTAGCTTATGATTTCAGCACATGTACCAGGGCAATGCATGTTTACATTAAAAAGTTTATTTTAACGATGTTTTAATGTGGCATGCAAACCAAAACTGAATATGCATCTGCTGTCTTGTCGAGTGTTCAGAGCACAGGACTTCAACCCTGGTGAGCCCTGTGTGGGCTGGTCCAAAATAACAAGAGCGACTGGTTTGGATGTAAAATAAATGAGCAAATGACTCATGCTCTCCCCTCTAGTCCTCTGGTGCAGTTACAACCAAGAGATTGGAAATTTTCTTTTCCATTTGTAGCTAGCCATGGTTTGCTGTTACATGCACACTGACGTGTGGTTAAACGGTGGTTTGCCAAAACTAGCCAGGAACATAAATCACATTTTGGAAGTTGGCTTGTCCAGACAAGACCTACAACCGTTATCCATACCTCATGTCACTTACAGAATAAATCAATGATGTTTAGAATTTATTAGATAGCTTTTCAAAGCATTATACAGTTTGCAGCAGCATAACGGCTTAACATAAATAAATGAATCCCAGCATGAGATGTATATCTCATGATCTGTAGAATTTCCTACCATTTGTTAATCTTCATAAACAACACTTGGCATGGAAGATGCTAACATTCTGATTGTGTTTTTCCCATTCTTTCAAACTGCAGAAGTAATTTGCATAGTCCTAAAAGGTGCCTGAATGCCACACACCACCCCTTTTCGTTAGGGAATTTCATATCTTCAGTGCTTCCGGCATGGTCTTACGAAACATTTCTTTTTCAGTTTCAGGAAGAATCCCTGGTAGATGACTCATTGCTTCAAGATGATGATGAAGAAGACGACGACAATGAATCTCGTTCTTGGAGAAGATGATTCAGCGGATTGCTGAGAATGCTAGAACTGTTCCTGTGTTGCATTAGCATTTTCTAATGTACTTTTGCATATTTGTACTTCGAGGAGTTTGGGTGAAAGTGGTGAATTTGGATTTCAGATAAGACTCAAGCAGCTGATTGGTCCCGTCTTTTGAGTGATTGATGTTCGAGTTGCATTTACATTTCGGTAAATGATTGCTAAAGACATCATATTAGGAACATATGCAATGTTTTTATTACTCCTACAGAAACATTATGGAATTCTTTGGGTTCTTTGTAATTTAAAGAATTGGTCACACAACAAGATGACCAAGAGTTGTTATAACATAGATTTTTGTTTTGTTTTGTTTTATTCCAAGTATGGAATGGAAATTTGCATTTAAGATCTTTGTGAATGTTTTCAGAAATAATAATAGATAACATTACTAAACTGAAGTCTCTAAAGTTACGTATTCATAATATTGCATAGTAGTATACTTAGGCTTTACTATGTACTAGCCTTTTGTTGGATTTGTGTACGTATTTTACGTATGAGTTTTAATGATACAGTGTATGACTGCTTTGCATATATCTCCTTATCACTTTAAGATGTTTAAAAAAATAAAGAGATGGAATGGTCTTGGGGAAAAAAGAAAAAAAAAGCAATAATGACATTATACTACGGCCCATGATAACAAAGAAAAAAAATTGAAAAAAAAGAGAGACCATTCCATGTGGCGACCCCCACCCCCCCATATTCACGAAAAGAGCTGAATCACTATCACTATTTCAACCTTATAAATGATAAAACAATTTGGCCTTGAAGCCAAATGCTGAAAATGCTTTTATGCACAATTTAAATTACCAGCTGGCTACCTAACTTCAGAACCAGGCTTTCAAAGGGAGTTCTTGCTTCAAGAATGGTATGGCCGCACTCACATTTGAGAAAGCAAGAGGGCTTGTTTTTCTTGTGTGGCAGAAGCTCACGTTTAAAGAAATGCAGCAAAGTGACTTGACCGGTAGGTATTAAATTTTATTTATTCTTCGTTAAGCTCTCAATATTGCACACAGAATAAAAATCGAGGTTATCAAAATGGGTTATGCTCTAATAGACAAGGCATAAGGGACAACGGGAGAGAAAAACAAGAACATTCAGAAATCTGATCCAATCACTTTACAAATGATAGGGCACACTGGTCTCTGATAGGTTCTTTCCTGGGAGGGAGGAACCCAGAAGTAGCCAGACCAGTCATGCCTCCTTGCCCCTGCCATCTACCCTATAGATACAATTTTGCACCAGATTATAATGTGTCTATTTTGCCTTTACAGCTTTGGGCATCCATTATTCTCCAGTGTTAAGTATTATTTTTTAAAACCCTCCCCTTCTATTTACAGCAGGCCTATTCTCCTTCATCACTCCACGAGGCCTCTTCCTAGGTTGTTCTGACTACCATCAGCTTTAAATTACTCAATTTTAAATCCATTAAGCCAGTTAAATATTGAATTGATTGCTGTTATATTTCCTTCTAAAGTTTCGCTTTCCATCCTTTATATTTTATCACCCGTTGAACAGTTGTTCTGATGATTTCCTTTTTTCATTTCAGGCAGATGGTTTGAAAAACAACAAAGAAAGCCGCAACTGTTGGTCTTTCCTCCTCTGTCTTTAATTTTGATTTGTTCTTTGTATCACAACTGTACTGTCTACATGCCTTATTGGTAAGCCATGTAAGCTGGGAACCTAAGAGAAGTTAACTCTTGCAAGCTAATGGAGTTGCTATGGACCCAAGCAGCTGTTTCAAAATATTGTCAAATATTTTTTAGCAACCTGAAGCACTTCATCCTCCCCTGACTGGCTTTGTGGGGTCTGATTACCCATATTGAAATGAACGAGAAGATGAAACTACCGATTTCTTGAGCTTGCTGGGGTCTGTTCTGTCTCCCAACAGCTTCTCAAATAGGCTAGGGAAAATAACTTTGTGTTTTGCCTTATCATATTTTTAAGAGTGTGCTTATGCAACTTAGAGAATGCTGGAGGAGATTTTTTAATTTTTTTGTAAACCTTTTTCTGTACATTCATGTGTATTCCAACCCCCCCCCCCCCACTATGAACCCGTTACAAAGCAGTGTAGGGGTTCATTGAAACTCGTAAAATTCCCTGGTGCAGGGGTCTCCAATGTCACAGGTAGAGCTGGGCAATGTATCGGTAAATGGTCAGAAACTGGTACAGCGTTCAGATCACTATGCCGGTTTCAGACATTTTGAGCTGGCAATACAGATGGCAAAGGCGCAGGCAGGTGGCAAAGGCGCAGGTAGGCAGGCAGATGGGAATCTGAGAAGGCTCTGGGCAAGCACTTTTTGGGGCTCCGTTTGCCTGCCTTACCTGCCTGTGGCTTTGAGGAAGCCCCCCTCCCCAGCTTGTGCGAGCCGGAACATTACCGGGGTTCACTCAGCTTCCTGCCCCCAGTGGAGCAATTTAAGGAAGGCTCTGCCCCTCCAGCTCCTGTGAGCTGGAGTGATAGGGGGGCTTGCTCAGTAGGGCTGGACGATGTATCTTGACTGCTTCTTCCTCCCCTAAGGTGGGAGATACATTCCAGATATTGTGCTATATCAGCATATCGCGGTAGCTAACTGCTGATACATCCTGATGTTGAAAAACAGATATTGCCCAGCCCTTGTAGCAGGGACACAGGTACTGCAGAACCAACCCTGCTGAAATTAGGCTTGAAAAACATACTCTCTTGTAGCTGATAGAAGAGGTGGTGCCCATGACAGTGTCTCTACAAATTTGCCCACCAACCTAAAAAGTTTGGTGAAGCAGGTCCTGGGGCTTAATTATGCTCCAAATTTTATCATGACACAGGAGGTAACATTCTCCTTAGTGCGAACTTGCCCCACTGATTTCTTTCTTGTTGATTTGGGGGCCAGGGGACCCTATTTGTCTATTGGGGCACATTGAGCTCCTGCCGCTTACTAAGAACCCAGTATTTCACCTAGGTAATTATTTGTCTTCTGATTTATTTTCTCTTTTGCTATAAGCCCCTTACCCCAGTATTTAACTTCCAAATTTCTGTTTCATCCTCCCAAGATTTTGTGATAGCCCAAGGAGGAATTTTAAGTTAATAATCCAAGGTCCAATGTACCCTAATAAATTATGTGTCGTGTTATGTTTTTGAAACATGGTACCAATAAAATCTTTTTCTTTTTTAATGAAAACTGGAGTTACTGGTATGTATGATTGCTGAACTCAAAAGTTCCTTGGGATTTCTCGGAAAGGAAGATGAAATCGAAACAGCTGCTGGGATTGTATTGTGTATGCTCCATTCGCAGGGAAAGTAACATGTTCAGCACACTGGAAAATGTATCACGAGCCACAAGTTTATTGCAAACTTGCCTATCATTAAATGGATGCACTACAAGCCAGGGGCTGAGATAAGGACGAGTCCCCTTTTCGCAGCTGGAATCCCAGCCATCTGCGATGAACAAGATCTTTGTATTGCTAGATCCAAATAACTAAATCAAAGCTCTTGGCTTTTCAAACACATTATCTGTGAAAACTGGCATTGTTAAAATATACAGTATTTTAAAGATTAATTCGAATATACAATCCGTACATGTGTATCTCTACAAAACAGGAGGCCTGGAGTTTTAAGCTCAGATTTTTTATTGTGCCTTCCAGAGGTTGCTTCTAAGAGGTTGATACTTTACCCAGCTTTTGCTCTAGCTCCTGCCATTGTTACTTTTTTTTCCTATTCTAGAAGAGCTGCAAAAAGTACCTAATGACCAGATACTGTTAGTTAAGTCTTGAAAACAACAAAATAGGGGGGGGAAAATTAGGGTTAAAAGCAGTTTACTTAAGAAGAAAGGTGTATACAGCCAAATATTACTGCAGAATTTATCATACTAGTATTAAAGAAACATGGCTTATCCCCAAACGAACTTCCTTGTTTTACAGAACTTTCCCAAGCTTGAATGCAACATGTCAAAATCATATCCTGGATTCGACAGAAGCAGCTGGATAGCAATGCAGCAAGGATCTGCCTCAAAAAATAAGCAACTGAGGGTTTTGCTGATGTTTTCGTAAGTTGCTCGTTTCTTTCTATCACCTTAACTGGTCCACTTTAAATTAATAAAACAACTTTTGTAATCGGTCAACATAAAATCAAAGTCTTCCCAATTTTTTTCCTTTTCACATTTCCAAAATGGATGAACTACTAGATAAACAAAACACTTCAACAGCCATCATTATTGAAGGTATTTCCCCCCAATTTGTATTTTATAAAGTACCACTGATTAAAAAAAAATCTATTGGAAATCTGCTTTTGGGTTTATATCTATTAAGGTAATAAAAGTATTTTTTAATATTCATTGCATTATGACATTGGAGTCCCTAGATGTTTCCCGCATTCTGAGTGTTTTCATGTTATATAAAAAGTAATTGCTAATCTTCCATATCATTGTTACTCTGTATTAAATGCTTAATTTTTTGTCAGGCCTCTAACTGGACTGTATTTTCCTTTCAACACCATAACAGAATGTCAGACTTGAAAATATTGAAATGAACATGGCTCATCTGGTCTCATTTTGGCTTTGATCTGTTAAGTGACAAAATTTACTTGATCAAAAAGGGCCCTTTATGTAAACCAATTCCCCCACAAAAATGAGTGGCTCAGTATAGCTTGTTATCAGATTTGTTGATTAATATCATGTGAAGGGGGACATTTCAGAATTTTAATGTTCATTTACATTCCACATTGTTAAAGAGACTTGACGAGGATTGCATGTTAAATTATTTCAATACTTGCTTGGTTAGAAAATGCAGCATATCATTTGATCAGTGGTACACAGGTTGTTGTCTCAAATAATTATTTTCTCCTTGCATTTTTCAAACTATTGTCAGTCTGTATTCTTGTTAATTCTGAGCCTAGGTTGTAGGAAACCACTGAGCCACCCTGAAACAAAACCTTTTATGACAATCAAGGAGATTTTTTTGCCTGCAAAATCTAAATGTATTTTTGCCAATTATAATGCCATGCCTTTATGCATGGTGTTGAGAGAGTGGTTAGAGTTTCCTCCTCCCTTTCAATATCTTATCTATCTATCTAGATCTATCTATCTAGATCTAAATAGTCTTAAGGTTTATAAAGGCAAATACAAAGCTTAATATCTTCCCCCCTTTTTAAACCAAACCAAGACTTTTATCTAGATACAATAAAAAACACAAAAAGGGGGGGGGGAGGAGAAAGAAAGAAAAATAAAAAAGAGAAAAGAGATTAAAAGAGAAAGTTAGAAAAATAAGATTCAGAAAGTAAAGAGCTTCTGATTCTACATCTATCCGCTATATAAAAACAATATTCACTTTGTCCAATCCAACTCCAACACCCAACGAAGCTGCTTTCTATATCAACAAACATTATCTTCAATTTTCCAATTCAGGTAATCATTATACCATTTTCTTTTTCACACAAGAAGTCCATGAGAGGTTTCCAGTCTTTAACAAATGGTTACACATGCCAATTTTGACATCTCAGCTAAGTCTATATCTAGGGCTGCCAGACATCCGGGATTTCAAAGGCGAAATCAACATCCGGGGGGAATTTTCCAAAAGACGATGCTTCGCCCTGTATCTTGGGCAAGTCAATCGAAAAACCACAAGTGTGGGGAATTCTTTGTGTTTTTTGAAAAGAAAAAAAGTTCAACAATTTCGGAGGTTTTCATAAAAAAGCTCAACAATTTTGGGGTCTTCCTCAAAAAGACTCAACAACTTTAAGGGTGTGTTGGTTTTTACTTTTTGAAATATAACAGCCGTTCTTTCATTTTTGGTAATAAGGGGTCCTTTCCTATAATTCTTGAAACCCACCACCCAACAAAACTTTTGGGTAAGGAAATGTCGGGCCGACAAATGGAAGTACTTTACACAGGACGTAATTCTGTTTATGGATTTCACCGCCAGAAGTTCATAAGTGTTGCCCTCGAGCTTAGATGACTTTAAAAGGGGCTTAGACAAATTCATGGAGGGAAAGCCTTATCAGCTACTGGACATGACAGCTAAATGTTGAATATAGATTCAAATGTGGTTTGTCTCTCAGTGCTGTCAAGCAAGAACAGGAGAGGGCTGTTGCTTGGCCTTGTGTCCTGAATCCTGAATGCTTTAGATTCCTGCATTGCAAGGGTTGGACTAAATGACCCTTGATTTGCATGTGTGCTTTTGAAATCCCTGCAGATCATGCTTCTTCTGACTGAAAGCTTTCCTCAACTGTTAATTCCCCCCTTTTTCTGTAGCAAGGATGTAGAAGGCCACCAGTCTGCTTGAAGACCAGATTTTGAGAACGCTCATGCTTTGCAGGTCGTTGCCAAGTTTGAGGAAAGTTTCCTTCTTATAGCAAAAGCTACGCTTCCCGTCCAGATTTTCTGAAAACGAAGTAGAAACATGTTGATGGCGATAATACTGTTATGTACGTGGTTTTTTTGTTTGTTGAAGGCTAGGGGGCAGTCTGTCTCCGTAAGTGAAACCAAATTCATTTTCTCGCACTTGCCGGCTCCTCTTCAGTCAGTTTCCCCTCTCTTGGGCCTTTCCCATCGAATGAATGAATGAATGTTTGTGGCCAGTATTTTGCGTTGAGGTTGCACATTCTTACAAAGTCCCCACTTGAAAACTGGTTCCATCAAAAGTTCAGAGTTTAGCCTGCTCTGCTTTTAGAGCCACTGAGATAATGTGATTTGTGATTTGTTAACCTTATAAGTCACCGCATGGCTTCTTATCAAATGTATAGTTGGTGATGATTTCATGACCTGGAATGCGATTCCCAGTCGTAAGGTATATTATTGTCTTTACCTGCCTGCATTGCCTGCCCTTTCTACAGGTTGCTGCTGAAGCATACATAGCAAGACGGAAAAGAAATAGATAATCCTACAGAGAGACTCCACAGCTGCACAATTTTTTGCTTTGTTTTCCAGCTGCTGTTATAGTTCTGTCTTCTCTTCTGATAATCTCCAGACGGACACAATGATGGCTTCCTAGCCAGCCAGCTGCTCCAAAGGCATAAGCCACAGGAACAGGTTTCGCGTGTTCTTGATGTGCCAGAATAATCTCCAGCACATGGATCACGGGGCTACGTAAACGATAGTTTGTAACGTGAAAGGCGGGGAGGAATGAACTTCCAACTTGCCAGGAGAGGAAAAAGACACTATTTTTAAAAGGTTCAGGTGTCTTTCTAGCATTTTCCTGAGCAATTTACATTTCCGTTCCTTGTAAACGCAGGAAAGTTGCACGTTTGCCAAAACTCAGCAATAAAGTCGACTAAACGCTCATTATGTTGTGGTAGTTTTAAAATAGTCTTTTTTAAAAAAAAAAAAAATTACTAATGCACAACTTTCTTCTTCAAGACCGCACAAGAAGATATTTTTAATGTGTTAAGATATTAGAAAATTTCTTTCATGGTTCCCAGTATTCTACTTAGGGGTAGTAATGCTTTGGACAGATTGGTCTAATGTTTTTCCCTTCCTGGCATATGCTTAGATCAGCAGCTTGAATGTGTAGTTTGCCCACAATCTGGTGAACAGAAGCTCAATGCAGGCATGTTGAGTAGCCTTTCCATTCCTTTCCTTGTCTTATTTTTCTCTCCAGCGACTTCTCACAATTCCTGAACATCATTAATGTGTATGGAGGCGCCAACTTCTCGGGATGATTGAGGGGCCCCTACACAGCAGTGGGTGAAGCCAAACACCTTCTGAACATAGAGGGATCCTGCCTCCATCAAATAAAAAAAACCTGGGGGGGGGGCAAAGTGTCTTGGCCCCCAGGAACTGGTGCCTATGAACATATACCATTGGTGGGGAACCGTTTTCAGCTCTTCTGGGCAATTATTTTGGGGGCTGCATATGGGCCGCGGATGATGATTGCAAAGTCCGGGTCTGTTTATGTGGGGAGAGGCGGTCTGTGACATCTTGTGACATCTTTGTCTCTAGATGCCCAGATGTCATCTGTGGCTACAAGTGCCTTTCCCAGCTTGTCTAGACAAGCGAGAGATATTGTCGAAATTCAAGGCTACGTAAAGACCCCAAAGGAAGTTGTGTCAGGGTGAGGGGTATTATTCCCAATGGTCCCTTATACCTCCACCTTTCTCCCTGTTTCCTCATTTTATCCTTTTAATCTTTCCACAATTTGTGTTCTTCTTTCCCTTTTCAAACACTAGTTCTGTAGGATGATGATAACCTTCTGGTCGCTGGAAGATGTAGTTAACCCTTCTCACTGGGAAGCTTATCCCCTGAATATCTCACTGGGATTGGTTGAGACAGTAAGTGGAAGGAAGAAAGGAAAAGAAAACTGTTGAGCAAGTGGCGGTTAGACTACTTGGAGCATAAATTCATAACCAATTTATACCAGCTGCTATTCAGATTTTTCAAGCTAAAGTGTCATCCCAGCTACTTTTTGGGATCCCAGTATGGATACAAGCATATCATGATTTAGATAAGATACAAGAGAGTTTCTTGAGACGTATCCTGGGGCTGCCAAGTTCAATCAAGTGTGAGACGATGTGAGGAAGCAAAAAAGTAGCTACAACCAGTCATTGCGGCAGCAGCCATAGCTTGTGACATTGAAATACTCGTTTCTGTGGTGGCTTGGTTTTTCCTTTGAACGTAACCAGCTCTGTTTCCCATCTGTGTGCGAAGGAAGGAATTTATAGTGGGGAGGTTTGCTTGGCGCAGTTTAACCAAAGTTTGCAATGCAGAAACACTCATAGTTCCTGCATGCTAGCTGAGGTCCCTTTCTCTGATTTCATTTGCTGGTATTAAGACCTCTTTGTTTAAAGGAAATGACTTGTGGCGAGGTAGATCCCAGTGTGAGTAGCATTCCTCAACTCAGCTATGAAGATCACTAGATAGCTCTGGTCTTACTTTACATATAGACTGTGAGGCTAGGATATTATACTTTGCTTCTGGCTGCAGGATGGAATGCAAATGTTATAAATTCTCCTCTTGTTGTGAGTTAGGCCTCCAGTAGAAAAAAAAATTGAATTCTGATTTTAAAAGATGAACTTCCATGTACATACATAAGGCAGCCTGTAGTGTCGTTCATTATTTGTTACATTGCTAACTACTCAAATACTCATCTCGGCTGTGAGCCCTGGAAGAGCTGCTCCCTGCCTTGCAGGACCTTTTCCACCTGACCTGGAAGGGCAGGGCCCTGACTGACTCCAGCTACAAAAGCTGAGGCTGCTGAACAGACTGTTGGTAGGGGTATAAACACTGGCATACTAAGAGGGGTGTGGGGGGAGCGCACTTCCCCCGGCAGCACGATCCTGGTGGGGTGCCATTGCGGCTACCCCCTGCCCACACTGGGTGCCACACCCCCAGGACACGCACCAGCCCCGCCCCCACCTGCTCTCCACCCCCAGGTGCTGTAGAATGAGCTCTGCCACTGGGTATAAATAGTAAAATTATTGGTATTATTATTGAATATGCAGGACCTTTTCTGCCTGGCCTGGAAGGGTAGGGCCCTGACTGACTCCAGCTACAAAAGCTGAGGCTGCTGAACAGACTGTTGGGGTGGGGTATAAACAGTAAAATTATTATAATTTTTTTATTATTATTGAATAAAGGTAAAGGGACCCATGACCATTAGGTCCAGTCGTGACCGACTCTGGGGTTGCGACGCTCATCTTGCTTTATTGGCCAAGGGAGCTGGCGTACAGCTTCCGGGTCATGTGGCCAGCATGACTAAGCCGCTTCTGGCGAACCAGAACAGCGCACGGGAACACCATTTACCTTCCTGCCGGAGCGGTACCTATTTATCTACTTGCACTTTGACGTGCTTTCGAACTGCTAGGTTGGCAGGAGCAGGGACCGAGCAACGGGAGCTCACCCCGTCGCAGGGATTCGAACTGCCAACCTTCTGATTGGCAAACCCTAGGCTCTGTGGTTTAACCCACAGTGCCACCCACGTCCCTATTATTGAATAGGATGTCCCTATTTTCATCAGAGAAAAGTTTGGGGGGTATGCATTCTTAGGACACTGAATGAGGTTCATTGCTTGTCTCTCTTGGCTAAGCACTGGGATAAGTAGTGTCTAGGCTCTGTTGTGCCCCAGCTACTAGTTTGGTGGGTTCTGTTTTTTTATTTATTAAGATAATACCTTTTAAGAGGGTGCTCTGGCTAGAGACCAATTGGGGTGGAGGAATGAGATGAGGAAACATCTTCTGCATTGGCTTAGCCAATATCTAAAGCTGTCGTTCCTCTCACAGTATGCAGAGACGGCTCCAGGCTTTAGGCCGTGTGTAAGTTGGTGGCCATAACAGAAGTATATAAAAAACACGAAAAAATTTAAAGACGGTTATTACTTTCTTTTGCATGGAAGGCTACTCTGTTTTATGTGCAGAAGAATGCTAGTGCTCCTTTATTCAACTGGTTGAGATTGAAGGAACCAGCTCTCGGGGCAGTTCTGGTTTATATTACCAGTGGGAGTCTGTTTCTTTAAAAAAATAAATGGATGAAATCTCTGATCTGTAATTTTTCTATCAAAATTATACCTGCCGTTTAGTGGAGCTGTGCACACGATTCTCTCTTTCTTTCTCTCCTGTGGCCAGGACCACAATACTGTGCTGGATTCAGTGTGACTTGACTTTTGAATAGACAGGTTTAGGCTAAAGAAATCCTTTCCGGCTAGGGTTGCCATATTTTGAAGAGCAAAAAAGAGGACGCCATGACTCTCATTTTAAATATCTCAACTTATATGTAGGCTGTAGAAGTTGTGATATATTGCTGAGGGGACGGGGCAGGAGAAAAGGAGAGGAAGGCAAGTCTTCAACCACCAGTTATGTCTATGTCTCATCTAGAAAGTATAGCCAGAGAAATTTTAAAAATCTGCCCTGATGGAAATTTTACCCCTGAAAAAGAGGACGTGTCCTGGAAAAAGAGGACACATGGCAGCCGTATTTCCAGCTCAATCAAGCATCGTAATAACTGAATCCTCTGGAGTGCTGTAAGATTTACTGGCCAGTTCTTTCTATTGCTGTACCATTTGTATATCCGTAGAGGGACTGGATTAAGCAAAAGGTGAATTGTTTAAACAAGTTATAGTCCAGTAACTCTTAGGCTAGTGTGTTTTTCTTTGTCTGCATTCTCTTCTTTCTTCCCTCCACCCCCTTTCTTCCTCAAGTGCCATTACATAAACTGTCACAGTCCCGTAAAAAGATGCATAACCCAATTATTACGATCTTCATCATGCATTTTATTCCTTTCTTCACAACGGAGGGCAAATGCATTGGCTTTGATGAAGTATATGCCCAACTGGCATTCATTCCTTGTTGTTCTGCTTTGACACATCGCGGCGTTGGCATTCGAGGTCCTGCGGTGTGCACCTTCCCGGAGAAGTTTAAAATCGGTGTTCTATACTTACTAAATTTTGGGAGAAAGTTCTGGATTGTATAACTATGACTGTTAAAAAAAAACAACTAAAAGCAGAGAATATTCTTCCGAACTATATACCTACTATATGGAAGTTAACAACCGGACAACAAAAATGGATTATATGAACTGTAATGGTAGCCAAGAGGCTGATATTGATGAACTGGAAGAGTGAAGATTTGATCTCCTTTAATCGGTGGATTGATAATATGATAACACTTGCAACCTACAAACGGACTGCTTATAGACGTAGACTCTGCTTGGATAAATACGACAATATTTGGAACGGATTTATACAAAACGTAGACTATTAATATTTCTATTAGTACAGTGGACCCTCAGGTTACGTTACCTTTGGGTAATGTAACTTTCGTGTTGCGAAAGCGGCAAACCTGGAAGTGTATTCTTCCGGGTTTCGCCTTGCCTGCATGCGCAGAAGTGCTCTGCGCACCTCGTGCATGCACAAAAGCGCTCTATTGTGCCGTGCGCAGAAGCGGCGCCTCTACTTGCAGATTTTTTGGGGGTACGTACGGACCGCTGGAACGAATTACATTGATATCCAGTGTCCACTGTATTAGGATAACAATATCAAATTTATCAAAGAATGTATGGGTTTGGGTGTTTTTGGTATGTATTCAAATAATGTTCCTCCCCTTTACACAGTTCTTTGTTTTGTGCTTTTTTCTTCTTTTTGTATCACTTTACTGCTTTATATTTGAATTTCCCCCCAATAAAATGTCAGTTAATAGAAAATAAAATAAAATAAAATAAGAAAATCAGTTCACGAGATTTCCAGAGCTCTCCTCCTTGTCACTTCTCCATCAGCTTTCGGTCCATTTAATCTGGGCCTCTCCTCTGTGCGGCTCCAGCTCCTGTTGTGAGCGATCGGCCTGGTTGAGTGATCTCAGCTTTTCCTGTCACATCACATTTGCATAAAAGAGGACGGATAACCAAATTTGAGCACACAAATGAAAACGCTAAGCGCCGAACCTGTCACAGTTGTTGTCCAACTAATTGTGAAAAATCTGATTTGCTGGCTTTTCGCTGTTCATCATGTAGGCCCCCTTCTCAAATTTGCTGTGCCGTTATGCTACCATACCTGTACCTTTTAAACTGTCTGCGTGAACCTCACGCCCTGGGGATTACTTACCTCTCCCCCCAGCTTTTAATGTCGGCTCATCTACTTGACAAAATTAGGCCACCACGGCAAACAAACACATAATTAAAAACCTGGTAAGACAACGGCAGTTGCATCTTCCCTAAACTGATATTTGCGGTTGTGTACTGGCGTGTTGAGTGCCCTCCCTCTCTAATTCTGTGTGGGTTTTTTTATTGTGTTGGCAGAATATATTGCTACTTGTTGTCATTGTTAAAGTTACTTCCAGGGGTCACATAATTAAACCCTTATTGGTAAATTTACCTGGAAATTCTGAAACCTATCTCAAGTATCTTCTCGAAGGTAAGACAAATGTTATTACCCTGGCCGTGTCAAAACCTCTCTCGGAGGTAATAAGAATTAGAAATCAACATCCTCTGGATAAAACATAGTGGCTGCCTTGGGATGTTTTCTCTGTATTCCTGCTGCATTTTGCTTTAGAAACTGTTTTTGTGGGTCTTTGGACCATAATAAAAAATGTGTGTGATATCACTACTTACATTCAGGATAGTGGTTTGAGTATTATATATTAATATTAGTAGATATCCAAATGCCATATGAGTATGGCAGATCATTTTCTTTTCCAAAATATTTTGTCTTTTTTAAAAAAAACAAAACAAAAACCCAAAGCCATATTGGAAATTTCTGATGAATCTCTAAAATTCCTCTACACTTAACTTGTTTCCCCTTACAGTGGTGCCCCGCAAGACGAATGCCTCGCAAGACGGAAAAACCGCTAGACGAAAGGGTTTTCCGTTTTGAAGTTGCTTCGCAGGACGAATTCCCCTATGGGCTTGCTTCGCAAGACGAAACTACCTTGCGAGTCTTGAGATTTTTTTCGCTTTCCCCTTTATCTAATCTGCTAAGCCTTTAATAGCCTTTAATAGCCTTTTAGCAGCTAATCCCTAAGCCTTTAAGCCTTTAATAGCCGCTAAACCGCTAATAGCGCTAATAGCGCTAATCCGTCAATGGGCTTGCTTCGCAAGACGAAAAAACCGCTAGACGAAGACTCTCGCGGAACGGATTAATTTCGTCTTGCGAGGCACCACTGTATTGGTTTTAAAGTGGTTGTATCCATTTTGTTGTATTATTGGCTCATGCATATTATAGAAACAAAAAGGATCACTTCCAATCTGCCTCTTCCAATCATTTTTTTAAGGAATTCCTTGCTCCCAATCATCTCATGAGAGCCAGTGTGGTGTAGTGGTTAAGAGCGGTAGTCTCGTAATCTGGTGAACCGAGTTCGCGTCTCCGCTCCTCCACATGCAGCTGCTGGGTGGTGACCTTGGGCTAGTCACACTTCTTTGAAGTCTTTCAGCCCCACTCACCTCACAGAGTGTTTGTTGTGGGGAAGGAAGGAAAGGAGAATGTTAGCATGTGCAGAAGTGCTAAATCGCGTTTTGCGCATGCGCAGAAGCGTGAATCACAACCCGTGCGTGCGCAGGCGTGCAGCTGCGGGTCGCAAACACTGCGGGTTGCGAACATGCATCCCGCACGGATCACGTTCGCAACCCGAGCGTCCACTGTATAGCCATCCAAATTGGTGGCCATCACCACCTTTTGTGGGAACAAGTTCCATATGTTAACTATAACTTTCAGAATAAATAGCGTTCTATTACAAAGTGCATATCTGTTACATGTACATACACATCAACCTTGAAGGCGTAAAACAGGTATGAAGTATACCTTCTGTTATTGTTGTTGTTTAGTCGTGTCTGACTCTTCGTGACCCCATGGACCAGAGCACGCCAGGCACTCCTGTCTTCCACTGCCTCCCGCAGTTTGGTCAAACTCATGCTGGTAGCTATGAGATCACCATCCAACCATACCTTTTATCTATGGCCAGTTCAGATGTTTGACCTGGGCTGGATCTAGACACATTGGAAAAGCATTTCAGGAAAACGCATTGTAAACCTCAAAGGGGGGAATCCCGTTGGCGAAAGACGGGGCTCCACAGCACCATCTGGCGTCACGCATATAAAACATTTTTCTTTATTAATGTAGCTGAGTCCCTGGTGTTCTTGGTTCAGTGCAAGAGGAGGAGATGAACTGCACGAATGTGTGTGCTTGCTGCCGTGGAAAGGTAGTTGTTTGAGTCAAGGTATTGTGGGTATGAATAAATTCTTTATGGGATTACATGTGTGAATCCCTACAATCCACAAAAGCTGACGTGTGGTAACAAGAAAGCTCGAGTCCGGGCCCTCCACACTGAGGTCACGGATCCAGGAATGAATAGCTGAATGGCTTTTAAATGCCATCCGGCGAAAGCTGAATAATGTTTGCTGCAACACTTACGCTCTAGCATTGTGCCTTAAGGGATCAGGGAGTTTTGCTGTTAAAACACATTGTTTGCTTTTAAATTTTGAAAAGCGTAAGAGCAAATGACATCTGTTAAGTGTAAGGGTCTGTGTTTTAATCAACACTGAAAAATGAAGGGGGGGAGCAGAACTACAGGTTATAAGTAGACTCTACACACCAATGGATTTGCCACATAAGTGGAGGGATTTTTTTTTATAAAAAAAAGGTATTTTAATGGTTTTACAAATAAAAAGTACAAATAAACAGAGATCAATAGAATCATACTGTATGAGGGGATTCTCCAAATCTCAAGACACCCCCATCCTATCCATGGAGTCTTATTTTAAACATCTACAACTGCATATTAGTCCAGATTCCAATTTTTATATCAAGCCATATTATCCATAATATTTTTTACACTACAAGTGAGTCAAAATCCTGGTCTTGTTTCCATCTGCTTCCAGTGGTCTCCTAAATAAGTGCTGGGTTTACGTAGAAGCCAGGCATGGCCAAACTTGTCCCTCCAGCTTTTTGGGACTACAACTCCCATCATCCCTGACCACTTGCTAGGGATCATGGGAATTGTAGGCCAAAAACATCTGGAGGGTCGAGTTTGAGGGAGCCTGATCTAGAGGACCCACAGATTCTCTGCTCCACCTTCATATATGTGGTCATCTCTCACCTGAATGTGCATCTGTTTTTCACCCCAGATGGCCAGTTCTTAATTCCTAAAATGTACAAATTGAGCTTCTGAGGACCCATGATCCTAAGTTTACTTATAGAGGATTCTGTGATATTCTCTCCCTCGCCCCCTTGCCCGGTTGTAAAATTTCTTGACGGAATGTTTGTACAGAGCTGACACAAGGTATGTGTGAAGTCTAACGATCCATTTAATTTTTGAACCAATATTAGTGGGAAACTGTTTTGTGCCGTACCCCTAGGTCTCAAACACACAGCTCCTTCTTATCCTCCTATTAGACATCTATTGACATTTGATTAACAGCAGTCCTTTCTCCCGCTTCCATTAGTACCTCTGTGAATTGTGTGGGGATTTTTCTCATTTTCCCTTGTCTACCTGGGCAAATAACCGTCCCTCCATTCCCTCCCTCTCCCCACGTTCTCTTGCAGAGCTAGCAAAGTATCCACACACATGCAATTTGATTTTCTGCAGAGCATGTCAGAACTCTATTCTCCTATAAGTTCTAGCGTGTGCAAAACTGTTTTGTTTTTTGTTTTTTCATGCTTGCTCATCCAGTTATAAAGCGAATTAGGTTTTTTTACTCCTCATAATGCCGTAAGAATGATAGGCTCTGATCTTGAAATGGGCACACAGCATTCTCATTTAGCTGCTGGGCCTCTTGCTTTAACAACGGAGGGTGTGAAAGCCACCTTATATATCTCCCACAATGCCTCAGAGTGATGCTGTGTTGGGGTATTATGGGACAAGCACAAGAATGGGGCTTTCCCACCTCCTTTATGCTGTAGCCCCCATTCTTGTAACTTGAAGCCATTGGTTTGGTTTCTACCCTCTGGAGCAGCAGAACACAAGTTTTCTCCATGTTCCCTTCAGATACTCTGAGGTGGCTATCACATCGCCTCTCAGCCTTCTCTTCTCCCAGCAAAACATACCCAACTCCCTCAACTGTTCCTCGTAAGGCTTAAGGGTTTCTTAAGGGGTTGAGGTCTCCCTAGAAAAGTGTTTGTAGCTGGGTCTGTGTGTGTGATAGGTGGAAATCAAAAAGACCACCCCTTGTCTGGCTCTAAGTTAGGGCTGCCATACACCTAAAAGTTGTATAGTTATTTATCTCCTTGACATCCAAATGCAGTGGTACCTCGGGTTAAGAACTTAATTCATTCTGGAGGTCCGTTCTTAACCTGAAACTGTTCTTAATCTGAGGTACCACTTTAGCTAATGGGGCCTCCCGCTGCCGCTGTGCCACCGCCACGTGATTTCTCTTCTCATTCTGAAGCAAAGCTCTTAATCTGAGGTACTATTTCTGGGTTAGTGGAGTCTGTAACCTGAAGCATCTGTAACCTGAGGTACCACTGTAATAGTAATAATAATTTTATTATTTATACCCCACCCATCTGGCTGGGTTTCCCCTGCGACTCTGGGCGGCTTACAGCACATAAAAAATTGTAAAACATTAGACATTTCCTGATACGGGGTTGCCTTCAGATGTCTTCTAAAAGTCATGTAGTTGTTGATTTCCTTGACATCTGATGGGAGGGCTTTCCACAGGGCGGGCGCCACTACCAAGAAGACCCTCTGCCTGGTTCTCTGTAACCTCACTT